TGACTCTCCTTAAGCTGCCGCTAAACTGTATGAATTAACAAGCTTATTATGTCAAATATAAAAATACATCGGTAGCAGGGGACATTTTTCAAATTAATGAGTGATTATCCTTTGAGTAATTGCAGACGATGATCCTACTGCACATTTACTTGAGGAGTATTTTGAATGAACACTACTTACTTGCAATGGATTGTCTTCACATCAGTGTTTTTTGTTACTTGTTAAGTAATTGATCTGAACTCTTCTTCTGGAGACAATAAGACAACAGTGGTGCTTAAAGTAGTCCCACAGTGGAAGGCGACCGAGAGGGATTTTGCTCAAAATAAAACAATTTGTGAGAGTCTGCGATGACTGAAGGCCAAAAATAGTTTGTTATACGTCAAATTAAGTCTTTTGTCTCACTTGAAACGCATTATTATTTCCTTTTCTTATCATGGATTCACCAATCCAATGAATGTACTGATTCCCTCTTCTGGGCAGACACAGGTTACCTGAAGCTCCGGGACAATCACAGACAGTTAATGGCATCTCTAAAGGCTGATATGTTGTTTCATAATGGAAACAGAATGAAGATTGATCTTTGAGTGAGTCACTCTCCCTGAGTCTATTTACTGTCGTGTGTCATCATGTCTTCGTGCTGTTTTCTTCCTTTGGGACAAATGAAGTAAATATATTTCGATGTTATCATCAACATGTCTCAAAATCAGTCAGCTTTGTTTATTCCATCCATCTCTCTTCTTTCTCCCTCTGTGTCTCTTTCTCCTCTCTGCTTTCAAAAGCTCACAGAGAACAATGCAACCCTACAGTAAGTGTACACACACACACACACACACACACCTTCTGAAGGCAGACTATTGAGGAAATATGCTACACTTATACTGAGTTCATTCACAAAGAAATCTTTATAAACAGTGTGTTTGTTTTAATATGTAGGTCAGCGAGCCCCACTTGTTGCTGGACCTACTTTAATTTGATTGGTTTACGGATGTTTCCTGTTATTCTGGCTTATTAGGGTATATACCTATGCTGGCAGTTCACATGAACTGCACCTCACATGGACCATTGGACAAGATCAGGGGGGCCCCAGCATTTAAAAAACATTAATAAATGTGTTGAATATACTTTTCAACCTTGTCAATCACTTTTAATTGTATCAACTGCAAAGGATCTGTTAAAAAACGTGGGTCGGCATTAAGTCTGATGCATGCATTGATCTAATCTGATCTGATCTCTAATCTAATTCTCAATTTGCAACTCTGTGCCATTATCCCCAAACAATATGGTAGCTGCAAGTAACCTTCTCCTTCTCTAAACGGGCCTTTTCCACTGCAATCATTTTTGATTTGTCATACAGGAAAGCACGAGTGTCACTGATGACAGTGGCGATGTGTCAGTGTTATTTCAGCCACTCATTAAGCCGTGACAGAGTGAGAGTGACCCTGAGCCCAAAGCAGCTGGTCAAAATGTCTTCTGTGGAAAAGGAGAAGCACAAACTGGGGCGAGTTTGCCAGCCAGAAGGGAAAAGACCAAAGGTGTGAAGACACTGTCCCGTTTTCCTCAGCGCCAGAGTCACATCCCTCCACTTCAGGAGCCCCTAAACGTCCTCAACCAGAAAAAAAACCCTTCCGTTTGTTATCACCTACGACCCCCCCGTAATGCACCTCTCCAGAACCAACCAAACCAAATAGTGTGTCATTATAAACCAGCGTGGAATAACACACCTCAGATGTGCCGTTATCACAAACCTCGTTCACAGACATTTCATATTTAAAATGATTAGCGGATGTTTTTACATTGTAACTATTCCTGTAGTGGCCATTTGTCCTTGGTACCAACACATCTTTGAATCAAAGGGCCACTGCTGCACCTAGTTTTTCTTTTCTTTCACGCAGTAAGAAAGCGGATTGTCCAGGTGATCGTTTCCTCTGTTTCGCCTTTATTCCACGGAATCCACACGTACGATACAACTCGTCTGCCTTCCTATGCAGTGCTCTGTCTCACTGTTTCACTGGTAAAAACTGTTAGTCACCCAGGTGCATGCTGGTCCCACCTGACTTAGTAACCTCCAGGTGCCCCCAGCATTACCCAATTAGTGATGCAATTAAGCAAACTATATTTAAGAATAAATAACTAAATAATAGCTCCCACATATTCATTACTGATTACTGCCAGGTTTGTGAATGACAACTTTCTAACATGAGTACACACGTTGAGATTTTTTAAAACAAGTCATTTCAACGCAACTTTGCAATTTAATTTATCTACAGTTTGGCCCTTCGACACATTGCAAATGACCAACTCTCGCTGATACACTCTGATCCTGTGAGCTCATACCGAAAACCTTCACCAGTCAGCTGCAGTGGGGAGAGATTTGAGGCTCATCAGGATTCTGGGATTTGATCACTGCATTACCGTACAGAAGCTCTCAGCTGTGAGGGCATCCCAGCGAATCCGTGGGCTACGGTGAATACCGTGTACTTGTGATGTTGTGGGCTCAAATTTGACTCCTGCTTCCCCCCCCTCCTCAATTTGTCATCTTCCCTGCCACCGCTCTGCATGCAATTTAATGAAGCAGAAACAAATCCCACAGCTTTGTATCTGCAGTCGACAGAGCTGCGAAGATGAGATGTTTCCTCCCACGCAGGCCCGCAGACCGGCAGCAGCCTGAGAGACCCGAACACCTCCAACGGTGCGGTAATGCTGTGGAATATCTGATTCATTCTCACTGGTCGCAAGCCCGAAGCCTCCATCTGAGCTGTGAGCTTGAGATGGATTCATGTCTGCAGCGAGGATCTGAATTCATTGTGTGGACTGATATCAGACCAGCGGTCACTTTGCAGAGGACAAAATCAATAGGGACTCTTTACGACAGATTCCTAAACTTGTCAGACTGCCGTGTTAGTCAGTTTTCCACCGGTTGACAGGATGAAGCAGAGTTTTATGTGTTGTGAGTGGATTACAAAGAAAATGGAAGATTTTGATGGTAAAATAGTCCCATTTCCAGCTGCACCAAACCCTACTGGGCAAATTGAAGATTCGACATGCGGAAAATATTGGCCATCAATCCTCCGTCCGGCTGTCCGCCCGTCACGCGCAGCGTGATCTGGGAAGAACGATTGACTCAAAAGTCACAAACCTCATCGTCTTGGGTTTTTACCGTCGTAGGTCAGCGAGCGAGGAGCAGACTGTGGTAGTGGAGGAGCCTCGGGGGCCAGCTGGGTAAGCTGAGCCTCCATCTCGGCTCTCCTCCATCTCCTCCACAGCGCAGTTTGGAGGCGTTTAGTCCGGCAGGTCTGGCTGCTTGTTCCGCCGTGTGGGCGGGAATCAGCTCCACTGCTCTTTATTCGATCTCCATGCTTCCGTTTGTTCGATGTCTATCAATGCGTTCTGTCAAATGTCATTAGTGATAAACCCGAGAAAACCAAAAATGAAATGTAACGAAATTTGCAAGAGTTGCCTGATGTGCCACCGTTGCCATAGTGATGGATGATGGTTAGTAGTTTTCTCAGATGTATGAAACATGTATTAGTCTTTAACAATCACTGGTTAGCACATGCATTTAAGGAGAACGATGATTTACAGGCACCGCCGTGGACCCAAATACTGTGGGTCTTATTGAAATATTTTTTGAATGTACAGGTCATCTATGATTTTGTATTTAGTAAAGAATGTGACATTAACACAAGGGACCCAGAAATGTGATGTATGTATCTAGCAATGTTGACTGTCTGTAGGGATGCAGCTAATAATTATTTTCCAGTCAGTATATTGATGAAAGTTCAAAAAAGAAAATGCTCGTTATAATTTTCTAGGGCTCGGCGAATAATTTTGATCCCTTATTTTACCAACCAGCAGTTTAGCCCCAAAAATATTTGGTTAACTATCAAATAAAAAAAAATCACCTCCCATCTAAGAAGATAGAACAGGTGAATATTTAGCAATTTGACTTGGAAAATGAACTATTATTTTTAAAATATTACTTGATTATCCAAGTAAATCTGTAAAACAACTTTCCATGAGGTTTCCAACTTGTTTCATACAGATTACCTCAACTAAATGTCATTTTCCAATATTGAGAATTGGAAGAAGGATCTCCAACATGTCAGCTTTTCTCTACGTAATCCAACGCCCATGTCACAGAGAACGCCCCAAAAACATTTCCTGCAGATGAAACTTTTTACACCTGATGTAAAAAAAGCGTTTGAGGGTCACGCAGTGATGATCATAAAGTGGTTTATTGATTATTCCCCCGCTGAGACCTGAGGGCACGGAGGCGCCTGCTGTCACCGAAACCCGCGGGGACTCTTGGGGGGGTTTTAGGGAGTCCTGCATGGTGGCACGGGGGAGGGGGGGGCTTCCACCAATGCCATTTCCCTAACAGCCAATGCAATCCAACACGTGACAGCTGACTCTTAGTATATGCTCTTTTCAAATTGCAACACAGATATGAGGCACCAAAAAGTTTGTCACAGGCCCACTTGTTAACTCACACCAGCAACGCTGCACGTCCTCCAGACTACAGACTCTCCTCTGAACGACGGTAGCAGGGATGCTTTACTGGACCAGTGGGACAGCGTGATGCTGCACAGCCCCCACACAGGAGTATAGATGGAGCGTTATGTAATTAATACTCCTCCTCCTATGCAGATACAGTAGACAAGCCTAGAAATCCTGGCCTCAGCTGTAAATGAATGACACGGCTCCATAGAATCCCTCTGCCAGATTAATTATAGACAATGCTCTCTGGACTCAGCCCATCTTTGCATCCTGTGTAGAACATTTAGTTCACAACTGAAACTAAACCCCCTCTACAGCCACGCAGCATGCAGAACATTTAATTATCTCTGCCTCACACACACACACACACACAAATCTACAGCATGAAACCCAAGAACCCCCCCGTTTGCCAGCTATCCCATAATTCACAGTGCGGGCGCGGACAGGTGAGTGGTGAAGCCAAGACAGACACACAGAGAAAAGTGGTGAGCGGCTTCTCTTACCGACGAGTCCCTTCTTCAGGAGTCCCCTTCTTCTACCGGCGCTCCCGCGTTCATCCTTCCGGCAAAGAGAGCGCGAGGACGGCGGCGAGGGACTTTAGACAAAAAGCGTTCCTCTCGCGCCCATGTGTCGCTTCTCCGTCTCTCCCTCTCTCGCGGATTTCTCCTCAGTGTGCGGGAAGGGGAGGTCTGCGCGCTCCGCCGCAGGAGGCTGGACGTCAATCACACAGGTAACCTAGGGAACCGCGGGGCCCGCCCCTTTTCTCAGCGAACACCGATTGGTCGGCGGCCGACGGGGAACCAGAAGTCCTCGCGGATCCACAGACGGCGGCTCATGTAGAGCCAAACAAACAGTAGTGGATCGCGGTACTTGTGAACTCTCCCTCTCCCTCGCTCGCCCTCTCTCTCTCCCCTCTCCCTCTCGCTCTGACTGCAGAGCCCACAGCTTTATCTTACAGTTGCCTAGCAACAGCTCCGCGTGTTTGAGTGTGCGTTTGGAGAGAGATGTGGGGGAGAGAGAGTTGAACTCTCTCTGTCTCTCTCCCCTCAGAAGTGTGGATGGATGTTGAATATTTCATCCTCAGCAGCCTGGCTGTGTGTGTGTTGTTGAGGCGGATGCTGTGGTGCCTACTGGTTAAATGCAGCACTGAGTTAGTTAACAAGCCTTGGAATGAATCAGGAGAATGAGAGAAAAGTGGGTGCTGTTGTTATTTGGATAAAAAACACCTTTATGGTGCATATATAGAAACGTATGGCGCACGGCTGAGGGAAGTCTCATTTGAGTTTACCGCTTGCATTGATATTCCAAACAAAATCAACGTATTATCGGATATAATATTTCTTGAGTATGAGACATAAGCCGTTACAGATTTGTAAAGGCAAAGGATTCCAGCAGCAGAAAAGTATCGAAATATGAATAAAAACTGCTCAAACCCCTCCAACAACGTCCACCTCTCCGCTGCCCATACATAAGCTTGTTACAAAAAGAAGACAAACACACTACTTCCCTCTCAAATTTCACCCACAATCCTGCTACGACCAAATGAAAGGGTGACATTGGAGGATGTAGAAAGTTTTCAAAGTGAGCCTTTCTCAGACACATGAGAATCTGTAACACGTGTGAAGTTCGTCTGTAGTCTACAACCCAAAACTATTTTATATTTGGTATTTGGTCATCAAAGGGAGCTGTATGACATCTACAATTGAATTTGAATTGGAAACAGACACACATTGTATCTGCCCGGCGTTGTTACGTACCACTTCAGCTCGTTTTACACGTGGTGATGGCGAGGAGCAGGATTGTGTCATACTTAACATACACAGGCGCACCTTTAGGGGGACCAGGGTTTGCCTTCTAGATCGTGACACACTTAATAAGAGTCTGCAGCTGGATGTGAGCAAACTCTCAAAGGAACTGACCCAGCTGTCCTTGTACTAATAAGCTGTGCAGACTATCCTCCGCAGCCCTGTCATCATAGTCACTACACACACTACGTGGTATGGAATACATTATTGCTTGTGTCTTTATTTGCGTTGTGAGAGTGAGGTCTGGGCCTTTCACCGTCGGCTTTCCTCTGCTCACCAGCAGTCATCCTCTCTGATGCTGCTGCTACATCCAAGATATTTGGGCTTCACCATTGGTCCAGAGCATATAGGGAGGGTCAAGGCTATATACCAACTATCTACTGCTATTCGGCTCACACTCATTCGTCCTGCTTTTGATTTATCTGGTTTTACAGCAATAGTGCTTCTTAATTCCACTGTCTTCTGTCTTTACACAAGGTGTCTCTGAAATTGCTTTTTTTAGTCATATTTACATTTATTTAAAGAGTGCAGTAAATTGACAGTGTTCTACATGTAAGCATGTTGAAGTTAAGGAAGTGTTGATGTTCCTCCAACACTCCCATTAGCTGCCTATCACATGACAACGTGGTCTTTGTCTCCATCCAGTGGAGGAATCATCCAGCGTGAGCTGTCCAAATTGTTTTGTGAATGGGAACATGCATAGGGGGGCAAAGCCCTAATCTATTATGGGATCATTGCCTTTTGTGAATTTAAATACAGTTAAATCAGTTTTACAGTCCCGTACAGAGAAAATGTCAAATAACACAGATGGTAAAGATGTAATGGTGATGCTCACGATTTGCAGGGTTTAGGCTGTAACTCCATCATTCAAATGGGGCATTCACTCAAAAAGTGCAGGAAATAAGTTTATGCTGCATGTCCATTTACTCTGACTCAGTAACATTTATTATGATGCTTACACCTAAATATAGAAAACGTTACCCCCTATTACAATGCCATATAGTTTTAGTAGTTGAGTGATGTTCAATAACGGATTAAGTCTTCCAGTGGTTGTAGGAGTCACAGGTCACTCTAGTCAAAAAAAGTATTTTTGTAGGATGTATTTATCACTCAATATTAATTTATACGCCTGATCTTTAAGCAGGTGGGCGTCAGATGGGTCACAGTGAGAGACTGGAAGAGATGAGGGAAATGTCACGGCTCCACAAGCATCGACTGGCCCTGATCAATGCTCACGACCAGGAGCTGCAGCAGCAGAGGCTCTGAGGGACAAATACAATACATCTCTTGAGACCTTAATCTGACAATCTGCTTCGGCTTTTGTTTAAAATGTCACCCTCTCAGATTTACACGCAATGTCGATGTCGAAGATTGCAGATTGAAGACTGAAAGTGTGTGTGTGTGTGTGTGTGTGTGTGTGTGTGTGTGTGTGTGTGTGTGTGTGTGTGTGTGTGTGTGTGTGTGCTGATGTTATTGTTTCAACGTGACTGCTGAGTCACACTTAATGGTACTTGATGTCTCGTCCTGACAGAGAGTCTGTGCTCTCTGAGCAGTGATACATTGTGTGTCAGGTCAGCTGATTGTCAAGACGTTTTTGTATGTCAGTCTCCAGATAATCTTGTGGGAACTCATCAGGAATCAGGAATCAGGAAACATTTATTTGCCAAAATATGTCAAACATACAAGGAATTTGTCTTGGCGGTTGGTGCGCGACAGTAGACAGACAAGACAACAGCGCACAAGTAATAAAATAAAGTAGAATGAAATGCTAATGCAATGGGTTAGTAGAATAAGGCTAAGGCTATGGGTTAGTATAAAACAAGGGAATAAAGTTAAACATTTTAAATATTAAAAAGTTAAAAAGAAAAATATCGAGCATAAAGTGCACTAACGAACAAGTAACAGAGAAGTGACAAAGTGACAAAGTGACGACAAAGTGATGAATTGCGGTAAAAGTGTCCTAAGGTGTAGGACATGTTGACGTCCACTGTGTGTGTAAATAAACTGATGTGCACAGCATCTGCAGGGAGAGGTTGCTGCAGCGTCCCGCGTATTGCGTCATTCAGGCGTGAGTCAACAGGGGCGGGGCCAACAAACAGGGCGGAACGAGCATGTAGCAACATTTCACCAGGCGACCTGTTCGGGTTGTTTGGAGCCGGGGGGAAAAAGCACCTGGCCCGGCGGGGGGTGGAGCGTGTTTTGGCAGGAGCTATGGACGCGGACACGCAGGAGCAGGAGGACGAGCTGCTCGCCCTTAACAGTATCTTTGATTCGGACGAGTTCGTCCGGGATGAATCCAAATCAGCCGGAGAGATCCGAGTGTCCGTAGAGGTCCCTGCAGACTTCACCGCGGTCCTGAAAGAAGGTAAAGGAGGAGACGCGTTGTGTTCTTATTGACATGAACGCATGCGCGTTAACACAATGCGCCAGGAATGACAATTATTACTGAACAAAAAGTACGCAAAATGCAGGTAATCAAGATTTTAACAATGGTTCTATGTACAGTATACAGTAAAATGTGAAAGAAATATTTAAGTTAATTTTTGTGTTCATACAAGGCTGCGTGAAAGCTTGGTAAATGTAAACCAGGCAGGTTTCTAAATGCTCTTGAATATTTAACATACTTTTGTCATGTTGGGATATTGTTTTTATTTCTTTCGAAGGTGAATCACTGAGGCAGTACCAGCTATCGTTCCTTCCGCCTTTGCTTCTGACCTTTGAACTGCCGCAGGACTACCCGTCCTCCTCGGCTCCCTCCTTCTCCCTCACCTGTAGCTGGCTGACAGACACACAGGTAATCAGTAGAAGCCCGCCTGGGGGCACTAAGGGGGAAAGAAATGACGGTTAATAAAGATAACACTGCCCTCACTTCCCACAGCTCTCCGCACTGGCTGCTCAGCTAACCGATCTCTACCAGGCCACTGGTGGCGCTGTGGTGCTCTTCTCCTGGGTGCAGTTTCTTAAAGAAGATACCCTCAGGTTCCTGGACGTCCATTCCGTGCTGGAGCTCCCCTCCGATGAACCCGGCACCCTGTACGATGGCCAGGACTCAATAAATGCTCCACTGTCAGAAGTCGCAGCATCCTCAGAGGTTCCTTCAACCTCAGACCGGGGCGTCGCGGACTCGATGGAGGCTGAGCGGACCCTCCGGACCTCTGGGAACAACGATCCGTCCACGGTGGCAGGCGCCTCAAAGCATCTCCAGTATGCGTCAGATGACCTGGACGATTTCTCAAAGGACGGGGGCGCGGCAGCCTGGTCGCTACTTCCCCCTGGCTCCTCAGACCCGCTGGATCAAAGTGAACGAGGAGCTGCTTCCCCTCAGAAGGGAAACCCAGCGGGCTCTGGTCTTCCTCTGACTCCGTCACAGACCCTCTTATCCCAGCTCCTGATCTGGAACGCGGCTCGGACGCAGAGAGCGTTCTCAGCCACGGTGTTTGACTGCGGCGTGTGTCTCGCGGGCTTCCTCGGTTCCGACTGCGTCCAGTTGCCCGAGTGTGGCCACATCTTCTGCAGGGCCTGCCTCGCCAAGTTCTGCGAGCTCCGGATAACAGAGGGCAACGTCAAGGGTGTGACCTGTCCTGAGGCGGACTGCGCTGCCACCCCAACACCTGCACAGGTACGGCCCCGATCGGCCTCTATGCGGTGAACAGCACAGTGTGAGAGAAAAAGGTTCAGAGTTGATTTTCCACCACCGCATGCATACATTACCAACATCATTCAACGGATTGCTCTCTTGTGTGGTAGGTTAGGTGTCTGGTAGGGGAAGATCTGTTCGGTCGCTATGATCGTCTTCTGCTACAATCCACTCTGGACTGCATGGCTGGTATTTCTTTCCCATATATTCTTGTTAAGCTGCGGATTTATTCAAAACCTTTGTGCATCAGGATGGCTGTAGGTTAAAATATAGCAATTTCCCGAGTCCAATAATTCTACAGATTTCCAGTCATTGGTCACTGCTGGGGTATATACTGTAGGTGTATGATTGATACACTTGTTGATTGAAACTACTTACCTTATGCATTGGGTTCATGGAGGGGTCTCCGCTCAGGTGTCTTCTTCCCTCTCATCCTCGTAGACGTGGTGTACTGTCCTCGACGTGTTTGTGGCTCGGCCGTCATTTTTGAGAGCTCCGGCGCTGCAGCCCAGTGCTCCGTGTGCAGCTTTGCCTTCTGCGTCACCTGCAGGAAGAACTACCACGGAACAGAGGGCTGTCCAAAAAAGAGGATTACAGAAATACAGGAAGCCGAGGCGGACCTGCCGCAGTCACAAGGTTCAAGTATATGCTTGTTTCCTCCACTTCATTTGCAAAAGTAACTAGTAACTAAAGCTGTCAAATAATTGTAGTGGAGTGAGAAGAGGAAAGGAAAGGTACTTAAAAAAACCAACCAATCTGAAGCAGTGCTCTGTTTGTGTCTCAGCGGGGTTGATGGGGCTGTGGGAAGACTATACCAGTGGCAGTAAGAAGAGGCAGCGCCTCCTGGAGAAAAGGTATGGCCGCGCTGTAATGCAGGGCACCGTCGGGGAGTGCCTGAGTGAGGACTGGATTTCCTGCAACAGCAAGAAGTGTCCCCACTGCTTCTGCAAAATAGAGGTATTCAATTCTTCGGCCAGTAGCGCTCGTCTCCACACATACAGACGGTTCCAGGGCACCGTGTCTTTGGTAATGTGTTGTTTGTTGTTGCTTTGTGCGTTGCAGAAGAACGGCGGATGTAACATGATGACGTGCACTCACTGCGGACAGCGGTTCTGCTGGATCTGCCTCACCAGACTGCCAACATATCAGGCAGGAAAACACTTTGACAACAGTGAATGCTCGCAGTACCAATAGGCCCTTTTCACGGCTGCCATTTTCACATGTTATTTAAGGGTAAGAAGAGGTTTTATCGATTAAAAAATGAATTATGGTCCCATTTTGATAATTATAATACGGGTAGATGAAATCCAGCATGGTTGAGACTGTCAGGCCTAACAACACCCCCGAACTGTCACATTATTGGAAGATGAAGTACAGCATCTTGTACCTTATTGCTTAAGTGTGGCATTCAAGTGAGCCAGCATTCACATCACCGGGACTAAATACCACCTAGAGACACATTAATAATAGGATTACTTAAACCTGTGTTTACGCTGCAGTTAGGATGTCAAAAAGAGCTCAACCACCTTCAGTTAGTCGCACCGCCAGCCACTGCCAGACACGGAGAGGATGAATTAAATGAATGTTGCACGGGTTTGCTGTGATCAGTTCAGTTTGATTTGTAATAGCGCTTTTAACAAATGCTTGTCAATGCTCATGAATGCTGATTTTAAGAAAGAAAAATATGCAAATGGTATGAATGACACAATAATGATGTGGAACATCAAATAATAGTTGTCATTTCAACACTGTTTGAAACTGCTAGTAGTGGAAAAAGTACTAAGATCTAAATCTACAAGATTGCAGCATTGTTAATACGTTGATTTATACTTACTTCTCAAAGCGGAAAATAAATTAGAAATAGATAAATAGCCGTCTCAAAATGTATTTTTTTCAAAATGTGTGGATGTATGTAAGCAAAGGTAAACTACTTTGGAACTTTCACTACAGATGATACAGGATAAATGGGCTTTATCCACAACAGATTATTTTGCCACAATCCATTTTTAAAAAGCCAAACGACATACCAATACTAACTAAATGGCACCTTTATGAAATCACAGCACAAGTCTTACTGTGTCATGGCAATTAGTGGGTGCTGAAAAACAAGAATGTAAAAGTAAACAGACTAACAGATTGTAGCACTTAAATTGTGCTTATAATGGCTCTTATCTATAGCAAGTTGTAGATCGGCTTATTTTATGAAATTGCACTTTGTTGTTTCTTACGTTATCTTCTTACGTCGTCTTCTTTTTTCTTTTAGCAAATATCATTCAAGTAAGTAACATCCCAGCAGCGTTTGAGCACAGTCAAAAGGTTATGGTTCTAGGTGTCCGTTACGAAGACTGCTAGGAAAGATTTTACCCTCCAACTCTTGAACCTTCTACCGATTATACGCACATATTTGGCATAAGTCCACAATATGAACACATTCGAAGGCCCTTGATTGGGACCTCGCAGCTGCCTATTTGGAACAACAAAGAACACTGTCGCTTTCTGAGACATGGAGATCTACAGCTGTCTTTCATATTGAGGCAAAATATACCGGCCCTCTCTATTGCTGTCTCTCTTTGTGTGTCTGTCTGTGTGTGTGTCGGTGTGTCTGTGTTTCCTCAGAGGGGTCATCTCTTCCTCATAAATGTCTAAACAACTGTTTGCCATACTGACCCAGCAGGGTGGAGGTGGCTGGAATGTGTCAGTGGTTGTCAATCTCTTTTTTTGTGAATCATGTGAAATATAAATACAAATGAAAAAAAGTTATAATTCAAAGTAGCAAAGCACATAAATTAAAAAATATGATTGTCAGCTTGACAGGGAGTTTCAATATCTTTGAAACTTGCCGCAAACACAGTTACTGTAGCGGGAACATTATAAATAACTGCCTTCCACTTATTAAACACTGGGAAACTTTGATTTCCAATCTAAAGTCTGCATCCGGTGTTTTTTCCAACTGGTGTTTTAGCAACTACCCATATTGGTGAAAGTAGAAAGTCCACAAATGACATGCAATAATAATTATAAATGGATTTTCATGATGTACTAATCATTTTTTAGATGTCCTCCTGATAAAACAGAGGATTTTGTATTTGAAGCTTTCTTCCAGCAGCTGTGCTACTAAACATCAACTGAACATGTTTGCTTCCTCATATTGCTGGTTTTATTTGGAGTTAGGCACATTTTGCCAATCAAATATATACAGCATTAGAACCTTCATACAGTAATTCTAGTAGTGTGCCAGTAATCATACTGGTGAGGACCTGCCAAATTCAAGCACTAATTTCATACTTGAAAATAAGAGAAGGAAGCATCCAAAGGCAAAAATCCAAAGTGAAACCCAAGGCCAGTACAACATATTTCAGGCAATCTGTTCATACGATTTGTGAGATTTCCTGCTGACAGAGAAAAACAAACAAACTACCGAGGGCACAGGAGCAGCTTTTGTGGCAGGAGTAATATAATGAGTGAAGCTTGACTATCAGTACAGTAGAAACTAAAATATTGAGAGCTATGCTTCCATAGCACATAAAACACACACTTGGAATAATCATCAAGGCAGCTTGTTGGTCATCTGGACTTTTATTTATCTGTCAGAAAACACACACAGCCTCAGTATATCAGTACATCAGTCATTCAGGCATCCAGTCAGTCAGTCAGTTAATGGTATATTGGCAACATTGATTAGAGGCACTCAAAGTGTGCTGAGGTTTTCACAGAGGGTGAACCAGAATATATATATATATATATATATATATATATATATATATATATATATACTACACTGCAGGGGGCGCCGTCGGGGTGTTTTGGGTCCCTCCGACAGTGGATGGAAGGGAGGGGTCCTGAATTCTGTTAGTGTAAAAGGCCGACTGAGTCTGTAGACCAGGATCCATGTGCTCTCATGTGAGACAAGTGTCACCAATGTGAGTGAGTGACAACATTAGTAATCCATATATATATATATATATATATATGCAGGAAAAGAAAACAGTTTTCAAGGAACAGTGTAACCTTTAGGGACGTGTTCTATCCTCTTTCTGGCCATCAGGAAGCACTCTCGTGTCCGCCCCCTTAGTATGGAGCTGTAGCCTGCAGGCGATTAGCTTAGCTTAGCATAAAGACTGGAGTGATGGGGTAAATAGCTAGCGTTGCTGTCTCTAGTTAAAGGATGTCTTTGTTCTATTTACAGCTTTAACCCCCAACCCTCTTCTTCACCATGCATTTGCCACTTTTCTCAGTAGTTAAAGTACCACTTTGGCCAAATACTCGAGCAGTTTGTTTCACTGTGAGATCGCCAAATAGCTGCACTTTGTACAGTGCAACAATAAGAGGTAATTAAGTGTGGGCTTGGGTCATTTTCTCATCAAATAGGGCATGTTTCTGACACCGAGGCGTTGCCCCCGGCTGGTCATTAGAGAAAAACATTTACGATCCCTCCACATTGGAGGGACTCAGCAAAACATTCCTGAGCCCATATCCTAAGCTAAACTTATAATGAATAATTTAATCAATCAATCAATCAATCTCTAACTCATCGGTGTTTCCAATCTGCCCTGATCAGTCAAACAGTGCAATAAATATGATACACATCCATAACAGCTCCAATTTCTCACCTTGTAAACATTAGGAAACAAACTATTGAGAGGCAAACAATGACAGTGGGAGCAAAGTTTTCACTTGAACTAAACAGCATATTGTACCATACCTTTCTTCATAGATGTCTTTTATATTCAGTGCAAAATCACGATTCTTTCCAATGCCCCTTAGTAGAATCAGCACAACATTACAGACATTTCCAAACATGTAAACCTCAGAAAACAGCATTCTCGCTGTCACAGTTTCTCTCCATAGTAGCAAGATCTCTACAAATATTAAGTATGACCTAATCATGCAAAAAATAAACCAGATACAACTTATACGGTGCAATACACATCAGCATTTAGATAACAGCATTGGTTAACAACAATGAAATCAATCATTGCCAGTGTAATATACAATATGACACAATATGACTTGGGGAAATGCTTTGGTTGTGCACACAAAGGCCATAACCTGTGACGAGGGGTCTCAATTAGATTTAAGGGGTCCAGAGCCAGTCCAAATACAGTACATGACAGGAATGAAACAGAAAAATGTTTCCAGACTTAAAGGTTATTTTGGTGATGGCTGTTAGTAGTTTAATAGTGTCCTACCATCACGTTTCCTCCATTCTCTGCTGCTTATTATTACACAGTGTTCCGTAGCTTCTTTGGAGCGAGCGCTTGTCAACCTAAAAAAAAGGTAATGCTGCCTGTTCTTTAAGGTAAGAGTGTTATTAATAGGAGGAGGAGGAGAGATAATAACAGCCTGAAACTCAGTCCAATGTGAAGAACTCCTTGATGAGCTCTATCTCCCCCACAGATTTCATTATAGCTGCGCTTTCATCAGCTCATTTGTTCCATTTCTATTCAACCGTGCAGCACAGCGGGCTATTAAAACAGCCCGGCGTATAGTTTTCTATTTGTATCTCACCCTCGCTCACGTGGTTGAATCCCTAAACACCACAACATTTTGTCCTCCAGTTCTTTTCTCCTGAATGTCCTCATCTGTGTGCGGTTGTGCTCTAGAGACAAGTGAAAGATGTGAACAGCTGCCTCCACACAGCCGACTGAACCAGTGTGTTTCACTTCATAACACTTCAGATGACGTGACCCAAACTGTCCTTTCACTGATTCTATTATGTGAGTGTGTGTGTGTGTGTGTGTGTGTGTGTGTGTGTGTGTGTGTGTGTGTGTGTGTGTGCGCGCACTGCATACAAATATGGAAAACCAAATTGGAATTGAAAAAGGACGGGTTTTTTCTCTTCTGAATAACAGATCTCCCTCTATATATAAGAATCTAAATGGGAAAACCCTTCAACCGCTACATAAAATGACTTTTGAGGCACGGACAATTTGTTTTTTTGTTTTTAAAGGATTAAAGCCACACACATTGAGAAATATGTTTTAAAGGGCAGGAGTTGTATTGTAGTCACTGTATTCTTTAGACATTTATGTAATTGCACGATATTCAGATCAGTCGCACTGAACTGGAACAGATAATCAAATAAGCTAAAAACAGAAAATCTAATTTGGTTCTGATTACATAACTGATCTTTTGGGGATGGGCTTCAAACTGATAAACAGCTGTACCTGGGTCATACAGGGTGAAAAAACAAAATAACAACACTAAAAAAAGATCTGTCCTGAACTGTCTGTCCTCCTTAACACTGTGGTAAAACCCGGTTATGTGTCCTGTGGGAATCGAGATTGATTGTGAGAATTAAATTATACGTCGCACAACCAGGAACAATCACGAGGCTCTGCACACTGTTTTATGCAATTTTCAAATTAGTTAGATTGCACATTTCCTCTCACCACAGTGCCAGTTTGGGTGTGTTGGGAAGACAAAGATTTAGGCTGCGCCCTCCGTCACGTGGTCCTACAGCGCCGTCAAAGGATGAGACTAGCAGCTTGTAACTGGGCGGATGATACCAGAGGACTTTACCGTTGATCAAGTGGACGGTCGAAGTGGTGGCCAACAGTAAAGTCCACACATACAACGTGTAGTGCTGCTGGGTAGACATTCAGACGCACAGTGCACAGTTTATACAAGATTCCTGATCATTATTAAATAGATTAAAGTATTAACAATATAGGCTAGGCTAACAAAAACCAAATGATCCATAGTATTCATGTATATTTTCCTATATTTACATTGATATTTAAGTGAGAATATTTACACAACATCTGTGATTTGTGATCACAAGACAAGAGGTGGCACAAAATCTAGAAATACTGCGGATTATTTTCCACTATTGTGTCAAAATGGCTAGCCAAAGTTTATTCTTTAGCCTAATTCTCACCAAAGGCACAAAGAAGGCCAGCCAGGGTGTAGCCTCCAGCCACATACACACCAAACGGATTAATGAGCACTGACCGGATGATTTGGTTTGTTGTGCTTTGTTTTTTTAACTTTGCAAACAGCGCTTTGGATTTCCTGACCTGTTTAAGGTTAGAACGATGTTGAATATGTGGCTCCGTGACCACTACAGTAAGTGGCCCTGAACTCCTTCTGTAGGGCCTGTAGAAAAAAACAACCCTGCAGGGCTCATTCAAACTGAACGTAAGAGTTGAAACAGGTCTCAAACTTAGTTGTCACTGATTCTGTTTCTAGAGGATGAATTGTTCCGGCTTCAAGTGTTTGCTTCTATTCTACCTTTTATTCATACCAACCAATATTTTTTTCACTTTTTTGCATTCTCTCTTGATGTGTAAAGTGTTTTTCTCCCTCCGTGCACCACTAGTCATCTCCCTGCAGCCTTAACAAGCTTAAGAAATACATGCAATTCATCTTTATTTACTTCTACCATTAGTCAGAACACAACCCATGGAGTGGGTCAAAAAGGTAAATGTAAAGGTAAAAATAAATACTTTTTTTACTCAAAAAGTGCTTACTTGCCTAATAGTCCTGTTCTCTGTTCTCTTGTTGCAATCTGCTTCAATATCCAGACTGAATTTTAAGAACAATACCCAAATGAAATAAATCCATCGAATCCGATTAGAGCATTATGTCAAATATTAGGATTTAAATGTTTAAGCGTATATCCAATGAATTACAACAAAATCTTGAGGTAATTTGGGCTAATCCCTCTGCTAAATATGCCCTTCAACCATAGCTTGGTATTAGATTTTCTGCGCTTTGTCTCTCCACACATTCTGTTCTACCGTAATCTCTGTTTGATCTCTCCCCCTCCTCCCCTCTTGTTCTCTTAGCTGTAGCCGAGGTGCTCCATCTCGTGGCGGTATCTTAACTCGGACACTTTTGCTTTGTGCTGCTTGCTCTCCAGATGCTGCCTGAAGTCCGTCTCCTGCTCGGCCCCGCAGTTGCACATGGAGCAGTAGAACTGTCCGCTGGGGGTCACACACATGGCCAGGTCCCTGGGAATGCGCTGCCTCGGCCTGGGGTTGTAGTACGGTCCTGGAGGGAGAAAGACGGGACAGACAACCCAACGAATATGAAAAATGAATATGGTTTAAGAGCGCTTGTTTTATGAGGTTAGCGGTGCCAAACCCAAAGGTATTAAGTTTACGCGAAGCATGTCAATCGCTCCACTACTTTGGTGGGAACTAACATACTCAACATCTTCGTCTTTTATTGGAGGAATCACAGTAACGGAAAATGTGGAGGCTCAACCTGAAGCCACTCTGGTGTTCCCCTGTATAACCATAAGGTCAGAATATATAGCCTAGTTCATTCTGAAATACCTGCAGAACTATACTGACATTCCCATTGGGCCCAGCTTTGCTTCGTGTTGAGCGCTAATTGGCTCATTTTAGCATGCTGGCATTAGAAAAGTACTCTGCACTGTGCCTGCTATGCATCCGGATGTTAACATATCACTGTGAGCATACTGATTCTACCACTGCAATACTTTTGTCAGAGGGGTTTGGACAGAAATGTGCAGCCCGAGCGGGACTTTAATGTACCATACTCTATAAATTACTAAATTAATCAGTTATTCAAATGTATTAAGTCATGTTTTCCACATGATTTTCAGAATAAACCATCATCTCAGACTTGATATGTGACTGATGTGTGTGATTAAGATACACAATTTGGGATTACAACTAGGTTGATCTTGGAAAAAGACTATTGCCAGTTTGTGTGTGTGTGTGTGTGTGTTTTTTTACACAGCAGAAAAATGAGGAGATAAAGAGAGATACAAAAAACAGCAAGAAGGCAACTGCAGGAGAGAGTGTGGCTATTTTGGGATTTGCTTATCATGAAAACTGACTGGGTCAGCAAAATGTTGTTGATGTGTGTGTGTGTGTGTGTGTGTGTGTGTGTGTGTGTGTGTGTGTGTGTCTGTGTTTCTTAGCGTGTGACAAAGACGAATGAATGGAGACCGCCGCACCATAGAGACCGTATTATAACGTCAGCAGATGACGTTATCCTTCCTTCTGTTTTTCAACACACACACACAGACACAGCGCACGCATTCCCTCCATGTGTATTCATATATGGGACTATTTATTATATTATATATTTCATCCCTTTAAAAAGGTTGTGTCCAGCTGCAAGTTGTTTAAACACACAAATGTGTGTACCGACACACACAGATCATACTGCAGCTTGTTGGTTTTTAATGAAGGTTTAACGGTACCAGTTAGAAGTTAAGCAGTGGGTGTCTGCTTTTAAGCCTGTTTTTCATTCATTGTTAAGTTTTTACCTGGCATGCAAGCAGGTATCTGTGGACTGCGGCGGTTTTTCACCAGTCTGTATTCACTGCCATCGTTCCTGTTTCTTCTTGGGGCTGTTTCATTGCTGCCCTCCCTGAAATAGGAGAACCAAAGTCCAAGTTACTTCGGTTCAAATCAAAAGGTGATTAAGACACTCTAATTGTTGAGTTTAGTTTAGATTGCTGGGTTTTGTAATTAAAAATTAAAAAACCGATTTGTCCTTCAGTTTGGAATAACTGGGTAACTTAAATCTCAAGACAAATACTTAATATCTACACTAATAAAAAGCATTAAAGCCAAAATATAACTTTATTATTTAACTACATATGTTTTACTGAGCTGCTTTTAATTCAGTGTTTGCGTCCTAAGAATTTGCAAGACAAATCCTAAAAACAATAAGAAAAGAAATGAGACCTGTGTGCTGCTGCAAAAAAAAGTCTCTATAATTATACCTACACGGTACTAGAGTTCTGTTGGGCCTCAGCGAGCCGTAGTTTCTTGGCATGGTTCTTTCCCTGGTAATGGGCCTGTGCAACGGCCAGCGAACTGAACGAGGCATCGCACAGCTTACAATAGTCATTTTCTGTGGCCAAGATAACCCGGGTCGCCCCCTTATACTGCGCCTGCAGACACAGCACAAGCGGTGCAGTTTATACAATGCTGTTCGCTACACAGTGCTTTTAAAATAGTTTTGAGAACTATTAACTTTCATTCATGCAAATAGGTACATATAATACAATATAACTGTTATTTGCTCTTATGTTTGCTTGATGCTTTCCTTCAAACTTAACAATGAACAGGGAGAATCTTTTTTGGCCACAAGCTGGGAACAAACCTTTAAAGTGTGTACCGCAAAGATGTTAAACTAACTAATTCAGAGCTTTTATAGATTTAGAGTATCTTATCGCCTGAGGTAAATCCATATTAACGGTCTCTTCCGCTCAGTTTTCCTTTCCGCACCAACTCCTGAAGGAATTATCTGCCTCTTTATGTGCTAAATACGCCACTATGTCCATCAGCTAGTCTCTGACTGTGTCTAGTTACTATAAAGTTCGGTGAAACCGATGGGAGCTGCAGATTCATGGATCTAGGCCCCCAATACACGGATATTGATTACAGCCATATTTAGGTGTAAGCAAATGGAAAATTAGAACCAATGTGTGTTACATAATCATTCAATTGAATTAGTACATTGTTCAGTGGTGAGCGGATGCTGTGAGATTGAAGTGGAACAGAGTGACTGTGCAAGTTATTACCGCCTCCTCAGAGGGAATCTCCCTGTAGCAGCAGACTTCAGCAGCAGTACACCCACTCGCTCAACGGTAAAAGGGCAACACTTAGGTAGGTTTGGCAGCGTTGGTATCTGACCTGCCTGCCTGCGTCACTGTCGTTTGATCCTGAGCAGAGGGACGTCTGGCCGGTCGCCTCGAGGACCTCTGGGTTCCTGATGGCTGGAAGCTGCTGATTGCCAGCGTAGAAATTTCTAAGCTTTTTGCTGTGGTTCTTTCCCTAGACAGACAAATCAGGAAGAATTTGGGGTTCGTGTATACACACCTTGACGTTTTACACCTTTTGTACACGTGCAGTTTCAACTGACCTGGTAGTGAGCCTGTGCCTGCTGAGCAGAGTTGAGAGTAACGTTGCAGAGTTTACAGTACAGGGGTTTACACAGCTCGCCCAACCCCGCGGAGTCTTCCTGCTCCTCCGTCCCAGGATGAGAACCCTCATCCTGCGGTCGCTCGCTGGCCGGGGCGCCCTGACCAGTGAGCGGGACGGGGAGGAGGCAGGACATGGAGGCCGGGATGATGGCCGGTCTAGGAGGCATTGGGGGCAGGTGTGAAGTATCTGGGCAGGGAGCAGAAGGGGAGGACAAGGGCCTCGGAGGGAGGGGAAATCGGCAGATTCCAGGTGGGGGTACCAGGGATTGTGCAGAACTCAGAGGTGGAGGACCCAACTGTTGTATGAGGTCCATGGTGGGAGGCACTATTGCTTGTGTGTGATCTACAGGTGGGGGACCCAAGGTGTGCGCCATAGGTGGAGGACCCAGTGGCTGAGCTCGGGCCATCGGAGGGGGTCCTAAGCTGTGCGGCGGAGCAATCTGAGGATGTCTTAATGCGTGAGAAGCAGGCATGTGGGGAGGGCCGAGAGTCTGGGTAGGAACCATCATCGGGGGCCCAATCGCCTGAGCGGGGGCAAGAGGCGGCGGGCCGAGAGGCTGCGTAGGCGCCATCGGCGGAGGTCCCAGGTGGTGCAGAGAGTCGATGTGGTGGAAAGGTTGCTGGAGATGGCTGAAGAGACTCAGGGGAGGTTTCAACATGGTCTCTGTTTCTGTGGGCAACAGGGGAATTTACATTATGTTTAGACAGAGGCAGATGTCCGATGATGTCTTACAAGGAAATGTAGCAATGTTGATGAGGAAGGGGTGTTGCTTTGACATTTGTAACCCTGTTTTCATGCAATAACAGAACATTTTAAAGTTTTAGCCATTGCAAGTTTGGTTGGCTCGTTTACCACGTTGGTGCTTCCTGTCTTTGCATCGGATATCGTAACAATTCCTCACAAGGACATTGTGATGGAACCCGGTTAAAAATGTAATATCCGATGTACAGTTACATTAAGAGAAGAACATGTTTTTTCTCTGAGGCCTGAGGCAGAGGAGATGTAAAGAGATGCGTGAATGGAAACACATTCTCGGACAGAGAAGCTTCACACTCCAGTGGGCATCAGAAAGATTAGGCTTATCCCGCGGCGCCTGCAGTCATGCATACGGGGCATTACATGCACATGCCTGTGCACACACACAAACAGAGACAGTGGCAATAAAAAATACTCAAGCCTCGCTGATCAGAAGAGATCTCACCCTGAAGTGCGACTGTTCAAACACGCTGACGTAGTGCATGTGTTTGTGTGTGTGTGTGTGTGTGTGTGATAAGTATGAGGGTGAACTTATAAAGAAAGCATCAAACACAAAACATTATAATAAGAAAAGCATACGCAGATTTGTGTTTGTGTTCATTTGTGCCGCTCTAATGCTCAATTTTCTGTGTGTGTGTGTGTGTGTGTGTGTGTAGACACATATATTGTTGGGTCAGTAATAACAGCTGTGTCAAATCTCACTGCGCTGGAAGGTTTTATCTATGATCCAATTGGACGCTCAAAGGCAGTGATTCATAGACCCAAAATAACGTCCTGAGGTGTTTGTGTTTCCGACTGCTGTTTGCTGTCGAGTCCGTCTGTCCTGTCGGTCCGTCTGCCTGTCTCTCATCTGTCCACCCTGAGCTCAGGAGAACGGTATGCTGGACAAGGCACTGACCTCGCTCGAGTTCTGTCAACTGAGACATTGATAGCTGCTGGATGAGTTCCCTGCACATTAATAAAATAATGGTGTGCAGCTGTTGCATACACTGAAAATAATAAGATCTAAATATATCATCTGAATGAAGCGTCTACATTTGCTTTTTGGGGGAGGTATCGATTGAAAGACGTTCGGGTTTATCCGGTATGGGCAAACAGCTCCTAATTTGTGATGAACATCAAAATAAGTTTGACCCGGCCGTTGTGAGAGGACAGTCCAAGGAAAGCATTTCTAACAGAACCTCAAGGTTCCTTCACAGAAACCATCCTTGGACAGCTTTAAAAAATGTGAATACAAAATTGAAATTCAAGGGTAAAATGGCCCACAAATTATTATAATAGGATATTTATGGAGAATTTTTGACTTCAAATACATATTCACAATATTCATTAAATGAGTCAACCATGTGGTTGAATTAGGCACCTCCTCAATCACTAGTAACGGCCAGCTGAAACCAGATCCACCAATCAAGTTTCAAACATTGCACATCAATCTCAATCTAATCAGCAGAAATGTCATGATTGAGACTGTCAGTTCTCATCATTAACACAAAGTGCAGCAGAACTTCTTTGCATGATATCATCTATCGAGAGGTCCAACTGCATATCACTCAGAACGGGAGGTAAGCTTGAAGATGTTGGTGTCAACGGTTTTCACAACACAGCCTCGTTACGTTTTAAACTCCCGTTACATTGTGTGAAGCTGCTTCCTGATTTCATGTGGCCATTGCTTCGCTTGAAGGAGGGCAGGGCAACGTCACCTTTCGAGCTCTTGTCCCAGATATGGATGAAGGCCTACGAAGCGCATTCTGCGGAGCTGCAGCACATATGCATGTGCGCCGCAAAAGACCTCGCTGCAGCAAGTCAAAGACAAAAACTGAATGGACTTTCAGCAGCAGAAGGCTCCAATGATCAGTAGGTTGACAACCCGTCATACGTGTGGCGAGGTATCGATCTGATCATCTCAAAAGAATCATTCAGAGATGGAAAAAGGGAACCTCAGTTCATAAGGTACAAGTTGTTTGTCAGTTCATCACTTGTCAGATGTTTTTGAGAATGACATCTCTTGGTTTTAGAACCACGCTATGAAAAAACATCTTCCCTAATATGTCTGTTAATATCATGTCCTCTACTGAGAATCTCTAAATAGGCCACGTCTTTATTTTCTCTACTAGTTTTCTCTCGCCGTACTGTCTTGTGTCACATCAATTATGGAGCAATGAGAAGCACATGCCTCCTGCACTTATTCCATTTGCTTCGCAGGGCACCAGACAAACGCATTAAGCAGTAAAGACCACAAGTATGTTGCACTCATCTGTAATTTACTTACTGTTCCTTTACAATAAAGACGACCTTCCACTTTTATATCTCCGTCACACTAAATTTTCAAATGTTTTTTCCTTCGAATGAACATGAAATGAGGGGTAAAGCCTCTGAGAACCAGTCACAGAGTCGGATAGGCAGCTGTTACTAAATTGATAAGAAGACAACTAAATCCAGAGGTCAAACTTGTTTATTCTGGCAGAAAGATAGATATAGAAAACCCAGTGCTCTTCAATTGATAATGATATAAAACAGAAAATGCAAACATATCCTTAGATTTGTTTATTAAATCCTGCAAAAGTTTAGATCTTTAAAGTTATTATGACGTACTGTAAATGATTGAAGGTTTACCAAATGTTTCACTTTAAAACTGTTTCACTGTAATCATATGTTTTGGCAATATACAGTTTACTTAGAATTAGTTACAATGAGTTCTACAGTGGCAGGAATACGGATTAGATAAATCTTGTGCTACAGATCAGGATTAACCTTGTTTCTATGTGATCAGTATGACACTCAAGTCTCTTAAAAACAACAGAAACGCCTGCGTTATTATCGACTGTGCAGGTGCAATAAAGGCACTCTCACTGCGTAATTGCCACATGTCACCATCATCATGTGTGCAGATCAAGCCACGCAGAAAGCCATTCACTTTCTATTTCTTCACTTCGCTGACAACCACTTGATTGACTGCCATGGATGAAAGTGAACATTGCACTGGAGCTGTTCACTGTTTCATATTACAGTCAGTCATCGGCACAAACCTACAGCCTCCCTGGAGCTCCCTAACACTGCAAGAGATCATTCCAGCGCCTCGACAACCTCACATTCTGCCTCGCAGCGTGCGTGCTCCATAGGGCGAAACAGAACGACGGCCGGTGCAACACGACATTGTGACGATGACAGCATCTCCAGAGCGGCCGGTTTCTACATCCACCTTCCTCATCTACAAATGCATCTGGCTGGATTTATCCATCCCTGCTCATTAGCGCATAAGACTGCTGACAGTCAGAGTAGGGGGGGGGGGGGGGGGGGCCTGCAGGGAAACCTCTTCCTTACCTGGCAAACGGGCGAGATAATGGCTGCTTTCACAGTAGCTGACAGGCGGCGAGGTGTAATTTCTGCAGTAATCCGCGCTCTGGTAGTACGCCGCATCCCCGTTCCCCAGCTGCAGCGCCATCATCGCAGTCGCATCCCTTCGCCAACTTCTTCTCTCCAGAAAAAAAAAGAGAGAGAGAGAGAGAGAGAGAGAACCGGGGGACCAGACAGGATGGAAGTCTCTACCATACGCTGAGACACCGGCTCGCAGCGGAGGGGGAACCCAAAGAGGAGAGAGAGGTGCGAAGCGTCAGGCAGCGGCGTCGCGTGTTGAATGCACAGCGTGGAAGCACGCGGGGTGTAATCCTACTCGTTATAAGTCGAGAAAAAACGTTCTAAAGATGTTTAAAGGCCACGTGCCTGCCAAGGATCTGGCTGGCTGTGCCACCGTGTTTATTTGGTACAGTCCATTTCCGATGCCACCGCTGCTTATTTGCAAGGGTGGCAATCATGACGCGTTGTGTAAGTATGTTACACCTCTAGTGCACCCTGATCCTCCGTGGTTATCTATTTATCAGGCTCATTTCTGCAGGGAAGAAAGCCAGGGAGATGTGTGTCAAAAAATGAAAACGATTTAACGCATTGAAAACTAGATAAATACTTCTTATTATCATATCATATCACATCATCAACAATAAGATTGATAAAATCGTATATGCGATTATTGAAATATGTTCTTAGTAGTGTTACTAATATTTGACTGTATTACACGACACTATTATTACTTGTTTGTAATATAGAATTATTGCTGTAAATCACAGGATCATATTATGATTTGTGTGTGCTGTGAGGTGACACAGTTGTTCTTCCCCAATACATGAATGCATGGTTATTATTAAAGTGTGTGTATATTTACATGTCCCCATATATACTGATATGATGTATAACTGCTATACATGTTTAAGTTTGCAGCATTTCGGCCATTATTGTGTATATTAAAAAGACAGAGCCAGCAGTATGATGAACAAGTCATGCAAAACCTACATTAAGATTAAATGCCATTGTTATTAATACATGTAAATGCATTTGTCGTTCCTCAACTCTACAGACCATCTTATCTTCTTATTTTATCAAATGATGGGCTGCTGTGCAAGAACCTTTAGCCGTCCCTATTTGTGAACTTGGATGAAAGGACATTAGTAACTCTTTAATTCAATAAAAAAAATAAAATCTAAATCCTCTTCGAGGTGACATGTTTTCTCCCCAGCACACCCGGGTCCAGTGTGTGTGTGTGTGTGTGTGTGTTAGAGGAGGGGGCGGACAGACAGCGTGGCCGCACTGCCGCAGCGAGCCAACCCGTCCGGTCGAGCAGCGGTCCGGCTGCCGCTTCCGTCCTCAGCGTGAGACCGCCGGACCGGACCTTTTGGCGCATATTTGTCCGCAACCGATACGCCCGCACGACCCGCGGGCCGAGCGGACTCCGTGTCCGTGTGGATTAAGCGGTACCCGGAGGCTCAGGGTCGGACGGCGGCGGGTAACAGCCCGCTCCGCCCCGGCGCCGGGAGCCACCAACCCGGCCGGGAGAGGGGAGAGGGGGGGGGGGGGGGGACTGGACTGGTGGTGGTGGTGGTGGGGCCGCCTGGATGAAACGCTACAGCTAACTAGCATTAGCCTCTCAGACCCGCGTCCTCATCACTTCGCCGCGGTGACGCCAACTGAACCGGGTGAGCCGCCGCGCTGACACTCACATTCAGCAACATTCAACGGACGAGCGTGCGTTTAATGTTCAATGTCGGCCACATGGGTGCCGTGACGCGCGCAGCCTCTTTGCTAACGCCGCTGGCTCCGAGCTAACGTTGACCATTCCCAAACCGCATTCATTTAGGGGGACTTGCGTTGAGCCGACACGGATGCAGTGGGTTTAAAAACCTCATTTAATCTGTGGACAGCTATTCACGTCTTCACCTCATCGTGCTATCTGGCGTCACCTGTCACCTGTCACCTGCCAGCCCCCGACGTATGGCAGCCTGCCACCAGCCAGGGTGGATCTGCCAGCTGATGTTGTCTCCGTTTCTTTGCCCACAAACGCATGACAGCAGGACGGCGGATCGGAACATGGAAGCTGGAAGTGTCCCGTCGCCAGCATAGGAGGGCTTCTCTGTGAGGTGCGCTCATCAAACTCCCCTCTGCTCTCTTCTCTCCTGCAGAAACTGCGAGTCTAATCTGAATGAAACTGAAAATCAAGATTGCGTATTACTACGCGTGATGTGTAGTAGAGACAGAGCTCATATGTTTGCACCCAGCCGATGCTATTTATGTTTCATATTCAGTGTCTAGGCCAATGTTTCTCCATTCCCCACATCCTGTGCTGTGAGGAAACTTCCTCTTTTGTCCCGGAGTGCTTAGCTGCATCCTGATCAGGGTCACAGATCGCACAGCAGCTCAATGGCTGGTGTGTTTTCACTCAGTGTTTTACACTCTTAGCTTGTATTGGTGCTACTCCTCTTTGTATGAACCTTGCTGCTTTCTTTTATGGTTGGACTATGAATTTCGTGCATGCTCTCGTCAGTCACAACTCTAAACTTTAGCTCGGTGGACAGTTTTCTCGGGGCGGTTGAAGGATCTATGTCTGTGTTGCTGCTTGTGCATCCTGTAGACATCCACCCGCTCGCCCCTGGTAAGTTTTGTATTATCAACAGCAGTAGAGGATCAGAATTAAGAGTTTTATTCCTGTGTCACCCAGCCGTAAAGGTTGTTGCTATTTTAGTAGCCATTCTTCTTGCTCTGGCACAAGTAGTTGATCTTAATGTTGGCTTTAAAGCACCAGAAGACTCGCTGGCTTTTACAACCAGGAAATTAGCACAAAACCAAACCTATTAGGATTATTTGAAAAATACGAGATGTGGGCGGTGATTTAGACGCTAACTCGCCATCAAGTGCATGTAAACCTACATGCGTGCTCTGGATATGTTCTATTCTCTGTTGAATCAACCCCCCTTGCTGCATGTTGCCAGGGATCTTTGGCCCGGCGTCTGATGTGGGACCCAAGTCATAGATTATGGGATTATGGTTACGTTATTTGTGGATTTTAATTGTTGCTCTTGGGTGATTAACCTACTACCTACTAGGCCACTATATCCTGACGCTATTTGCTAGTTAGTGCCCACTAACCGTTGTTGAAATGATTAGGCTTGATCCTTATTAGATAAGTACTACAAGTGTAGTTTATTGATTCAGAAAATTGGCAAATTATTTCTTTAAGAATTTTCTTTTGTCATTTCCAAGTTTTCCTACTCACATTCCTATACAAATACATTTATAATGTTCCTATAGGGACAGAGTGTAAGTTAGGGAACAAATACAGGGCTCTTTTGAGGTTATTGGTTTTCTAAGAACCTTTCCCACCCAAACACATAGTTTCCCATCACTGTGTCACAAGCTGTTGCTGTTGAGTCACTGTGTTGTTTTTGTTGGAAATAAGCAGACTGTCTAAAATTCTTGTGTAAATGTCCCACCAGACGCAGCCACTTCCCAGTATTCAGTGAAAGAGAATTCACTGAACTGATGTTGACTAGTGGAAATACAGCAAGAAAGCACTTTGACTTCTCAGCAATCATTTTTTATTTTTGAGAAATCGTGTTGACAAATTAAGCTAGAGACTATGTTGAGATGGGATCACCGCAGTCAAAACTCCAGATTGTGCGAGGGGGCATAAAGTGTGGCATTTCCACCTGCTATCTACCGTATACTATCTATTTCTGGCGCCCCTTGCTGGGACCCCGCCTTCATATTCATCTCGTCTACATACGTGTTTTGTTTTGTGACTGCACCTTGGGCGACTGGGATCCATTGCCCCGACCAGATCTGAAAACAATACGCTCCCAGTGTGTCTTTGGTTATCACTGGCGGTTTGGGGAAAAGTCTCCTTCAGGCTTTTATTACATAACTGCTGGTATTGCGTTGTTCTTTAAGTGTTGTTTTCTTTCAGGTTGTCGCTGTGTGACTGAGCTCGCAGGCGAAGAGGAAGATGCCTCCCAGGCCGTCCTCAGGGGAGCTATGGGGCATCCACTTGATGCCCCCCAGGTATGACACACTTGATATCATTGTGTATAAGTGCATTATTTAATTTATTAAATGTGCGCCTGATTCTCCAAAATTCACATTAAACGTATTTCTTGTATAATGTGCTATACATATTCGATTTATATATATATATATATATATTTATATATATATATATATTTATGAATTATCATGACATTATAGTAATGCTGAGCATGTGTGCAGGATCCTGGTGGACTGCTTGCTGCCCAATGGAATGATTCTGACCCTCGAGTGCCTCCGAGAAGCCACGCTCATTACCATCAAACACGACCTTTTCAAGGAGGCCAGGAAATGTCCGCTCCACCAACTGCTGCAGGAGGAGACATCCTACATCTTTGTCAGTGTCACACAGGTAAGAACTCTCAACTCTCTCTTTGACGTAAACAAGTCTCATCTGAATGAATGCGTTTAATTAATTGGCTTCATTGGTGACTGCAAAATTGCTCTTCCAAAAACGCACTGGCGGTCTTCAGCAAAGACATCTTGGTAATAGCCTGAAGAGTCTTTTTGCTTCTGCCTGCAGGAAGCAGAGCGGGAGGAGTTCTACGACGAGACCAGAAGACTATGCGACCTCCGACTCTTCCAGGCCTTCCTCAAGGTCATTGAACCAGTTGGCAACAGAGAGGAAAAGATCCTCAACAGAGAGATTGGTGAGAGCATTTTGTATCTGCCAACACTGGTTCTGTTGTAGATGTTAGATTTTTGTGAATGAAATTTATTTGAATGGGGGAAATATACTATATTTATCTTTACTTGCATCAGTCTCATCACCATTATCTTACTCAGATATTTAGTAAGAAAAAAAGATTTGTTTCTCCACTACTCTTCTAAATAAAATAAACACAGCAACAGACCAAAAAAGAATTTGCTCACATGTGGGCTTATACACAAATGAATAAACACATAAATAAACAGTAGCCTACAATGAATTGCTTTGTTTAGACTGTCACACCCCCCCACACACACACACGCCTCTCCATACACAACCAGCAGATCTATCCGCCTTAAAGTTTGTCATGATAATTACTGTTGATGCCTTATGAATGTGAAGTTAGTACTTCGTAGTTCAGGTGACATTTGGGGTGGTTGGTGTGATGCCTATTTAAAAACCCCAAAACTCTGAAATATTGCAATTATGATTTGGAGATTGATTACCACGGCAACGGACAAAGCTTCAAAGCATTTGGGTCAGCCTGAAAAGCGGAACTGATGAACTAAAGCTGCTTGCATTTGTTGTGGATTGTTGTTTTATGTGTTTCATGTAATTGCAGTAAATACAGAAGGGCAACATCGCTTTACAGATTGTCTAAACACATCGATTTAGCCCAAATTGCCTTAAAAGACAGGAAAAAACTGTCTGTGCTTTCTATTCTGTCAGGTTTTGCCATTGGTATGCCTGTGTGCGAGTTTGACCTTGTGAAGGATCCCGAGGTTCAGGACTTCAGGAGAAACATCCTGAATGTGTGTAAGGACTCTGTGGAGCTGAGGGATGCCAGCGGGCCCCACAGCCGAGCGCTCTATGTTTACCCACCCAATGTCGAATCCACACAGGAGCTACCCAAGCACATCTATAGCAAACTGGACAAAGGTAGGCAACAGCTATAGTCAGCTTTTTTTCTTCAGAGCGCAAAGCTTTTGGTTTCACGGGAAAAAGGAAAAAGGAAAAAAGGGTGAAATAAAATATAAAAAAATATTATTACTCAAATAACGAAAGTAAAGACAATATGGACCATTTACTACCTCGGAAAACAAAACAAATAAAAAAAATTTCCGTACTTCCTCCGTACCATTTCAAATACAGCAGGGGACCAATAAACCGATGTCTCTAGACAACAACATTTGAAGAAATGTAAAGGATCCCCAAGACTCGCATCACACACCTTCACAATAAACACCAGTCTCAGTGTTACATGACAACGCACCCGACTTCCTCCCTTTGTGTCGGAGACCCACTCTGCTGATTGTCCAGCTGGAGCTCTGTAGAACTGAAGGAGCAGCATGAACGGCATGCAGGCCGAAGCCAAGCTGAGTTGCACCTGTAGAGAAAAGGGGGGGGGGGTGGCAGAAGAGGAGAAAGCCCATACCCTCGCCCCAGCCTCACACGTAACTGGGACCAAGAACGTTTTAGCCTCCCATCAATATTTAATCGCTACCAGCCAGCCGTAACAACTGATAGCAGCTACGCTAATGAACAGGGCATTCAATGAGGTGCTACTGTTGTGCAGGTCAAGACTTCAGAACACTGAAAGTTGGATGGTTATTGTTTCTGGGATGCTTTGCGAGTGAAATTTGATTCATTGTTGCTTTTTCATCTGCTTTCTCTCATTCTGTGTCTCTTTCTGCAGGTCAGATTATCGTTGTGATTTGGGTGATTGTTTCTCCAAACAACGACAAACAAAAGTATACATTGAAGATCAACCACGACTGTGTCCCGGAACAGGTGGGAGGAATGTTCAAAAATGAAAAAGCTAAACGATTAGCCATCCTAGTTCTCAACGTGAGATTTTTGAAGGGTGTCTAACGTGGGCTGCGGCCGTGTATGTGCATCTGTCCTGCAGGTGATTGCAGAGGCCATCCGGAAGAAGACACGCAGCATGCTGCTGTCCCCAGAGCAGCTAAAGATGTGCGTTCAGGAATATCAGGGTAAATACATCCTCAAAGTGTGTGGCTGTGATGAGTACCTGCTGGAAAAGTACCCCATCAGCCAGTACAAGGTAAGAGATGTATGGACAGTGTATCTACTTAAAAAATACAATAAATCATGACCTTAAATGGCATATCTATATACATATGTATAAAGGCACGTAAAAAAAGGTTACAGATGGTTTAATGGCTCAATTGCAAGACTTTGTCTAAACAAAAATCAAACTATGCCCGAGATGAATCATGCTGATCCAGCCTTTCTGACAAATCCATGTATATATATATGTCTCTCTCTCTATATCTATATCTATATATAGATATATATATACAGCCTTTCATTAAAACTCAAGAACCATTTCCTCATGCCTAGAGTCCATGTGAGAAGTTCAAAGTAGAAGATGCACAAAGCCTCGCCCATCCCTCTACGGTCGATCTGCGGCTGCTGGAAATTCAGCAGTTGCTATCAGTCGTTATACTTAGCCACCCTGTAACTCGAGCATCGCCGTGTCCTTTGCCTCCAACGGTCTCCCTGTGCGTCATTCCTTCTCTCTGTCTCTCTCCCTCTAGTATATCCGTAGTTGCATCATGCTCGGCAGGCTGCCCAACCTGATGCTAATGGCTAAGGACAGCCTGTATAGTCAGTTGCCAACGGATAACTTTGTCATGCCGTCCTACTCTCGACGCATCTCCACGGCAACGTCCTACATGAACGGCGAGGCAGCTGTCAAGTCTCTGTGGACCATCAATGGGACCCTGCGAATACGAATCCTCTGTGCCACCTACGTTAACGTCAACATACGGGACATAGACAAGGTTGGGAAGCCCGGTTGTACATACCGCTGCCCGTATCAGTGAAACTACACGACAGATCCATGATTCTATTGCTTTATTCCTACGTGGATTGTCAGGAAAGAGTAGAAGAGGCCAAAGAGAGGAATTTTCTTTTTTTTTAATTTAAAATGCAATGTTATTTATTGTGTTTTTCTAAGATACGTGAATGATTCATGTGTACACATTATCAGTTAAATGTAACATTTTCACAAAAACGTCACTACAATGATCATCTAGCACAACAGCGTTTGACAAGTCGTTCAACAAGCAACAAGTCTTTGAGGAATGTTTTAGAGACGATACGTATCTCTTTTATTAATGTTATTTTTCGTGTTGCCTTTTGCTTCTTGTTATTTATAGATATATGTGAGAACAGGCATTTACCATGGAGGGGAACAAATGTGTGATAACGTGAACACACAGAGAGTACCCTGCTCTAACCCAAGGTAAGTGTCCACCCTTCATTACAATACATTTGATTTCACCACATGAATAACCACAATAGCTTTTCTTACGACATATTTGTTCTATTTTATCAGAAACATTAAGATTAAAAACAATTTGATGAATCAATTACGGCTCCCACGAATGGAAATAACTACCACTGATCATTGAAATGGTGCTTTCAGTCATTTACACTGCTAGTTTATTGCTTGCAAGTAATACGTTGCAGGAGGTAAAAGGAATATGTTAAAAAAAAAGAAGGAAAAGCTTATATAAGATATTTATCCAGAAGTGGTGAAAGAGTAGACTCAACTCTGAGCCCTCAGTGGTGCACTCCATAGAATTAAACGGCACAGATCTCTTTAGGTCACCTCTTGGGGGTTGCTGCTTTCCCTACATACCTATATTTGAGATTGCGTTGGCCCAAGTCTCATAAACAAACTTGGTGTCACGTTTCGTCTGTGTGTACAGGTGGAATGAGTGGCTCACCTATGACATGTACATCCCAGACATCCCCCGTGCCGCCCGACTCTGCCTCTCCATCTGCTCCGTCAAGGGCAGGAAGGGAGCCAAGGAGGTAAGAGAGCGGTAACAGAAATAACTCAACAATGCAACCTCAATTGACAGGAAGAGGACATGCACAAACAGGAAGGGCCTTGCTATGCCTTTTGGCTACAGCGGTTACCTTTTTCTTTACATTTGGGAATCATTTTGGAAAAGTAAAATACTTTTGTCTACAGTTGTACTGAGGGCAAACGCTGTAAATCAACAGAGAATAGAGGATTTTGAACAAAAGTAAAGACCAACTTCCAAGTGTTTGAATCTTTTATTTAACGGTTGCAGTCTGGAGGGCTTAATATATATAGAACCTTTTGTGTGTGTGTGTGTGTGTGTGTGTGTGTGTGTGGGGCATCTCCTGGTCTGGGTATTGGAACCTACCCTCCTCGATGTGTCAGTCTGTCTTACGTGTCCAAGGTGAATGAGAGCTGTGGTATCAACTTTAGCTCTGTTTAATTACTAATCAGCCATTGGCAGCGTGTCGGCAGGAAACATCGATCGACAGAAGGGACTTTTCCATTGACGTCGCAATACGCTTCGCTTGCATCGGCCACTTTGATGGCATGTTGGGAAATTAGATAATGTTTCTTGCACAAGACTTTGACAGCCAAGAAAAGAAAGAAGAAGCGATCACATTTCAAACGTGTCACTGGTGAAGCGTAATAGTAACACGATCTATGTTTAGAAACCATGTGGTGCAAAACTATTGCAGGTCGTCTGTACTGTTGTTCTTTGGTTCTGAACCCTAAACAAGCAACCACGCGGATCGATTTGTCTTTTATCTCTCTTCAATGAAAAAGCCATTAAAGTGTAGAGAGGGTGCGCCGGTTATCACACGGTCGGCGGTGCAATCCCCGGTTGCTTCATGTCCCGTGTCGAAGTGTCCCTGAGCAAGACACCTACCTGCTCCCCGAGCAGCACGCTGGGGTTAAATGCACACAATAATTTCCCCACGGGGGATTAATACAGGTTACTTTCTTTCTATGGGAGGGAGAGGTGTGTGTGTCTGCGAATGGCCAGACATGGATATGGTAAGCGACACCCGGGGTGTATCCCGTACCACTCAGTGCTAGTAGTCCGGGGTCAGGTTAGCGGATGCTCTTTCATCTCCGCCTCAATGAAAGATAAACACTCTCCAGCTGCCTTTTGTTCCGGCACTTCCTTTTAATGGGTGTGTTTTGAATGGCTGTCCGCACGTAACACGGTCCGCCTCGCCATGTTGACTCTTGTCACCTCGTTCCATCGCTGGCCCTAAGCGAAGACTCGCTTTGAAGATCGAGATCTTATCGTTCAGAGTCCCCTCAGCCAAAGGGAGGACTTCCTTGGTAGCTTTGGTGTGAGGTAGTTCACAGTGGATAATTAGTCTCTACTTTCCCTTAGATGATGTTGTTTTATATAACGCAGACGTCTTATTGTGTCCTCAGCCTAAGGAAAACTTGGTTGGTGTTAAAAGCGTCAAAAGTCCAAATGATTCCCCATGTGTGCTTGTGTGTGATTCTGCCATGAGCTTCTAACGTTGAAAGAACTCACTGTTGATTTGGAATCGGTGGTTCTCTCTCTCTTTCTCCCATTAGGAGCACTGCCCTCTAGCTTGGGGTAATATCAACTTGTTCGACTACACTCACACTCTAGTAGCCAACAAGATGGCTCTGAACCTCTGGCCCGTCCCTCACGGCCTGGAAGATCTCCTCAACCCCATTGGAGTCACAGGCTCCAACCCCAATAAGGTATCCAAGTGCAGCATCTTGCTTCAATGTTCATTTGTGCTGTTCATAATACATTTTTCGAAATGGGGAGTATGAAAAAGTAGTTTTAATCCATATTTAAGTGTCAGGAGAGAGCCTCAGACTTCTTATTTCCATTGCTGCTTCTCCGTAGTGGTTCATCACATAATAAATAAAAAGAGTAACTTGAATTGAGTGTGTGATTGTGTCGTGAAACATTATTTGATTATATCCTTTAAATCTTCGTCGTCCAGGAAACACCATGTCTGGAGCTGGAGTTTGACCACTTCAGTAGTTCGGTCAAATACCCAGATATGAATGCAGTAGAGGATCACGCCAACTGGACCATCTCGAGGGAACTGGGGTTCAGCTACAACCTCTCTGGACAGGTAGTGAGACCAGACGCATCATCACAGCAACTTGTTTTATGTTTGGAAACTCAAGCGCCGGTAAGGAAATGTCTGTGCAGAGCAGCCGGAGTGCGAGAGGTTTGCACATCCAATTAAATAAACACGGTTACATTATTCCCTGAATATTTCATCTTGTTTCAGTTATTCTAACATTTTATTTATCAAAGCATTTCAATACAAGTCAATTTAGAGCAATAAGCAAATTGATGAATACAATTGATCAGCCAATCAATAAACTATAAATACGCAGGTTTTTTGTTATTATACTATGTCACTTAATTAACACTTGTGTGGCTCAGTCACCGAGAGTTACTCTGCCGTGTGAGCGGATGTGAACAGTGTGAGACGACTAGTTTCATGACGATGACATCATGCAGCTTTTTCCTGACCAGAATATCATTGAAAATGATCCAAATCTAAACTGACATCCTAGTTAAACATTCACAAATAATTTTTTGTTAGGGAGTACATTAATGGGACGATTTTAAGCTCTCGACAAAGCGATGGGCAAACGAAAAACAGGATTCCGGATTTGAGAGCAGTGCCGGGGTTTTTAACAGCCTCGCACCGAATGTTCTGAGCATCTGGCTGCGTCGCGCTGCGACCGCTTCAGAAGTGGATTTGCTGTTATTCTGCAGCCACGATAATCTCTGGTTCTCCTTCTGCACCTTCTCTGCAAACACAAAGAGTACCTGTCCAAATATATCTCAGCACAGCCTGGCAGCTTGGTGATAAATGCTGGTCACGGTTGTATTTATGAGCCGTGATCAGATTCCAAGGAAAAAACACAAGTGAAAACAACTAAGAGCAAAACAGTGATTTAACAAGTCTTTCTTCCTCAATTATTTGTTTTCTCCTTTCCTGCTCCCACTACCTAAGTATCTGTGAAGATTGAATTAGAAACAGAGCAAATGCATCATTTAAATAGATTCATTTTAGATAAATTGCCAGAAAAATACAGGCATGTACAGTAAATGTTCACTTCAGTCTTTTTTTGTCCTAATATCGAAATGTGGTTAAACCTTTTACCAGAACTGTGGTAGACACGGTTAAATACATAATTTCAGTGTTTAAATGATTTCCTTTCGGGTGTGTTTCAGAGCAACCGGTCGGCGAGAGATCACGCCCTGACGGAGAGCGACACGGAGCAGATGAGACAGCTGAGTAACAGAGACCCTCTTTCAGAAATCACCGAGCAGGAGAAAGACTTCCTCTGGAGACACAGGTAACCCCCCGACCAGCGTGTTTCACTCTTGTACGCAGGATGTAGACATGTAAAAACAACTGTTTGAAAGTTAAACCAGGATAAAAAAACACAATTATCATCCCTTTTCTCTGTCTCTATCAGGCACTACTGCGTGAACATACCTGAGATCCTTCCCAAGATCCTTCTGGCTGTGAAATGGAACTCCAGAGATGAAGTAGCACAGGTAATGTCATGGCGTTGGATAAACAAGAGGGAACATAAGGAAAGAGTATTCAGATGGGAATCTGAGGAATGGACAAAGTAAAACCTTGCAAAATGAAATACATGTTGCAGATTTATTCCATTCCACCTACGACTCTTTCTGACATCCTTGTTTTTTGAGCTTGAATGGAGACATCTGCCAAAATACTTATGCCCTAATTCTCACACTCGCAATGAGTGCTACTTAATATGTCTTGTCTTGTGCGTTTCCCAGATGTATTGCCTGTTAAAGGAATGGCCGTCTATCCGTCCCGAGCAGGCCATGGAGCTGTTGGACTGTAACTATCCGGACCCCATGGTCAGGCACTTTGCTGTACGCTGCCTCGACAAATACCTCACTGACGACAAACTGTCCCAGTACCTGATCCAGCTTGTACAGGTAGGTCTGGCTGAAAGGCTGGACTGGGGAAATCAAGGAACTGAGTACCTCTCTCCTGCCTGGGGATCCTTGGGAGTCAGAGCTCTATACGTCTTCCTCCGGTCTGCCTGAGGTTGTTTTCGTGCTTGGTGTACAGAGACTGCATGGGGAGAGACATTGCAGTGTCTGTAAGGACACATCTGACCCTCCTCTTGCTCTCTCCCTCCAATTTTCGCTTCCTCTATTCTCCTTCTGCTCCAGGTATTAAAATATGAGCAGTACCTTGAAAATCCCCTGGCACGTTTCCTCCTGAAAAAAGCCCTTACCAATCAAAGGATAGGTCACTTCTTCTTTTGGCATCTCAAGTGAGTCACCTTTCAGATTGCCTTTTCTTCATGTTAATTTACCTTCCCCTCTCTGCGTCTTTGTAGACAACTGAGAATCTCACCCCGCCTCCCTCGTCTTTGTGCCCTCCTCACAGGTCGGAAATGCACAATAAGACAGTGAGCCAGAGGTTTGGGCTGCTGTTGGAGGCTTACTGCAGGGCGTGTGGCATGTATCTCAAACACCTGAGCAGGCAGGTAGAGGCCATGGAGAAGCTCATCAACCTCACCGACATCCTTAAACAGGAGAAGAAGGATGAGACGCAGAAGGTAAGGGGAAAGGCAAAGTTCAAAAAAATGTTTTTTATCCTTTGCATCTCACAGCTGTTCATTTGAAATATTAATATCTGCAAACAATCAAACCACACAAAAAATGCATGCGCACAACATTTTATATTTAGCATATTTTTTTCACAACTCAGAATGTTTAAAATGCACATACAGTACATCTCAAACGCAGTCATTTTTAGGAGGTTTCTTTGTGGGTGCTTGTGTATGTGCATGCGCAAATATGTATGTGCAAATGCATGTGTGTATGCTGTGTGTCTGTCTTGTGGAGGTCCAGATGCGGTTCCTTGTGGACCAGATGAAGAGACCAGACTACATGGATGCTCTGCAGAACTACACCTCTCCTCTAAACCCTGCACACCAACTGGGAAACCTGAGGTTAGAAGCAATAGTGCTGTTATGTGTGTGTGTGTGTGTGTGTGTGTGTGTGTGTGTGTGTGTGTGTGTGTGTGTGTGTGTGTGTGTGTGCAGCGGTGTTTATATAGATATATGTGAGGTTGTGAAAAGAGAGGTGACAATGTCTAATAACCTCTATTCATTTGTGCATAGGTTAGATGAATGCAGAATCATGTCATCAGCGAAGAGGCCGCTGTGGCTGAACTGGGAGAATCCTGACATCATGTCTGAGCTGCTCTTTCAGAATAATGAGATCATCTTCAAAAATGGAGATGGTAAACACACACACACACAATGTATATCATTTTCAAAGTATTTATTGTACTTGACTTTAGCAACAAGCCTACATGCTGAGAGAAGCTTTTATGTTAAAGTCCAGCCAAAATAAAATAGTCTTCTTATGTGTGCGTAATCAATATTTTGAGTGAGTTTGAAGATCTTTCGTAGAGATGGACCTCGACTCAAAGCGCTAAATATTACATTTGAAAAACTCTACCTTTGTTAGCGGTTTCATTCTACCGAACTACATCCTTGCATCAGCGCAGGGTGTAAACCGTTAGCCAGCCCAGTGCGGCTAGTCGTGCTAGCCCCTTCGGTTAGCTTCGTTCTGCAAGCGGTGCCATTTGCGAGTGTATCATATTGAACGTTTTCTGTTACTACAAGCGCTATGGAAAGAAAATCCTTAACCTTTGGCTGTACACATGATCACCGATTCCCTTCTCCTGCCCTGTGCTGTAAAGAGATGCTACGTATCTCTGAGTCCCGATCCTAGATGTTGACACAAGTTGTACTGTTTTACAATTGTGATGAGCTTCTTGGTAATAGCTGTCTATTATAATCAAACCAACTTTTCTTCATGTTGAATTTGTGTTTATAATCAGTCAATATTCCCAGATGTTAATAACTGTAAATGACCTAATTGTGTGTTTTGTTGTTGTAGACTTGCGGCAGGATATGCTGACGTTGCAGATCATTAAAATCATGGAGAACATTTGGCAGAATCAGGGACTGGACCTCCGGTACTTCTTCTTTTCTTAGCACCTCAGGCTATATGTCTTTTTCTCTTTCTTTTCTTTCTTAAATTGTATTTATTCTCTTACTCTGGGGCTAAGACGATATGTGTCGTTTGTCTCCAGGATGCTTCCCTATGGCTGCCTGTCGTTAGGAGACTGTGTGGGTCTTATCGAGGTGGTTCGCAGCTCCCACACCATAATGCAGATTCAGTGTAAAGGAGGCTTGAAAGGAGCTCTGCAGTTCAACTCAAACACGCTGCATCAGTGGCTCAAGGACAAGAATAAGGGCGAGATGTGAGTTCCTCTCTCCTGATATTATTTTCTTATAGCAGCATGGCATCTTCAGGCAGTAAAGAAGTGAATTTGTGGGACCCGAAAAACACCCATAACAGATAACACATAACACATTTATTATATTTATTAATTGTTGTAAAACATTTCTGCTTTCCTATATGTGTGTGTGTGCAGGTATGACATGGCTGTGGATCTGTTTACAAGATCCTGTGCTGGCTACTGTGTAGCTACGTTTATCCTTGGGATAGGAGACAGACACAACAGCAACATTATGGTCAAAGATGATGGACAGGTAACCTGTATGTGCCTCCACACACACGGCGTGACACTTTGGTCAAAGGTGGACAGGTTCTAATTATCACACGTCGCTATACCGACACAGTTTGAGATATGATTGGCATTAAACCACCTCCACGTGGTGCACAAATAATGACCAACCTGTACAATGATTCAAGCCTAGTCGATCTAATTATGTCTGAAACAACATCCAATGATAGAACTGATTGAGCCGCTTTGTCTACGCTGCTTCATGTAGATGTTGTTTTGATTTAAATACATTCATTTACGATTCTGCCCAGTGGCCTTTCTGTGTTCTGTGTGCATGTTCTCCCCGTGTCTGCGTGGGTTCTCTCCGGGTTCTCCGGCTTCCTCCCACAGTACAAAGACATGCTCTGGGGATCAGGTTAATTGGGGACTTTAAATTGCGCGTAGATGTGTGGATGTGAGTGTGAATGGTTGTGTGTCTCTGTGTAGCCCTGCGATTGGCTGGCGACCAATCCAGGATGTACCCTGTCTATCGCCCGAAGTTGGCTGGGATAGACTCCCCCCCCCCCCCCCCGCGAACCTGTGTGCAGGAAAAACGGGTTGACGATGGAAGGATGGATGGATGGATGGATGGATGGTGGCTGGATCACAGTGGGTGTTGAGTATATGGATCCCGCTTTGGGAGAAGTTTAGAGGTTTACTTGTTATAGGGAGTTACTCGAGTTTCACTTCCTGCTTTCTTCTTTGTTCTGCTCTTGTCCAGTTGTTCCATATAGATTTCGGCCATTTCCTGGATCATAAGAAGAAGAAATTTGGCTACAAGAGAGAACGAGTTCCCTTTGTACTGACGCAAGACTTCCTCATCGTCATCAGCAAGGGATCCCAAGAGTGTGCAAAGACCAAAGAGTTTGAGAGGTACTGCAGCATCTTTATTGTAGATCTTTTCATCTGTTGCCTATCTCTTTCATTTTGAGACATTTTCATAACCAAATCACACCCAAATACTCACAAACCGTGCAAGAGCCCCGTAGGACAAGGCAACAGTTTGCAGAAACCATAGATTTGCTTCTGATGGCATCAGACTGGGAGTGAAACAAACGTGCGCGCCTGTCTTTGGGTGGGTTTTAATTTCCCAACACAGCTTTGTTTATGCTTTCTACTTTTTCTTGTTGCAGCAGCTGCGACTTGGCACTAGCCGAACGACGGGTTTCGTTCAGGCTTCTTTCTTACGCTCCCATTTCCCGTCTCTCCCAGGTTCCAAGAGATGTGTTATAAGGCCTACCTGGCCATCCGGCAGCATGCTAACCTCTTCATCAACCTCTTCTCCATGATGCTGGGCTCCGGCATGCCTGAGCTGCAGTCCTTTGACGACATCGCCTACATCAGGAAGACGCTCGCCCTGGAGAAGAGCGAACAGGTTACACAACTTCTTTTTGCTGTGATTTGTTGTGTCTGATCTTATTTTGCGGGTCTTGAAATCGTCTCACATTTGGCTTCTTGAAAGCTCTACTGGAATTCTGTTTCTACTAATTTATCGCTTGCGTCTTTCTTTCTGCTTTCTGCAGGAGGCGTTGGACTACTTTATGAAACAGATGAACGATGCTCACCACGGAGGATGGACCACCAAGATGGACTGGATATTCCACACAATTAGACAGCATGCACTAAACTGATCTTCTGCAATCAAACAAAAAGCACCATTCACACTGTGCAGTAACAGGAAGTTTGGAGCTTGATTTAATTATTTCGTTCTGTTTAAAGACCATTTTTATTTATCCCAGCAAGGTTCCGTTGTTGCTTCATTTTCTTTCCATTATCATCCGACCTTCTTGCAGTCTTGATGCCCTCACTTCAGCCTCCGTAAAGGCAGATCCTTGATACTGTTTTTTGCTGTTTTCTTTTTTTACCCAACAAACGGGATAACTTTTTTTGAGAAATTTGTGTCTGCCAATCTCTAAATGCAGCCGCAAAGTCAGTCCGCACTCCGACTCCACCTCAAAGAGGTGGTGCTTGGGAAGCTTTTTAATCGCATCTCCGCTGAGAAGATGGCGGGCACAAGGAATCCTACATAATAAGTGTTACAGTACAGTGCAGGAGTACTGCAGTGTGGGGTCTTCTGTGAGGACTACCACTGGACAGCCTGTATCTGTTGAGAAAGCTGCCCTCCCGAGCTGACTTGGTGTCAGCTTTGCCAACTTTTAAACCTTTGTGAGGAAATCTCAAAGGTTAGAAACTGCAGAAGAGTTGCTGGTTTGTTTTGCACACCGTCAGTTTAAAAAGCACATGACCCTGGGGAAGACTTGTTGGTGGTGCAGCATGTGACTCTTGTGTAAACTTCAGGGTATTGATGCCTCTCCATAAAAAACTGCACTTACAAATAACAGCAGGTATAATATGCCTTTCTTATTTATTTATCTATCCATTTTTCAAGTTTCTACATACACAGGCAAACATCTACAGCCGTTGCTATTGTACATGCTATTGTAGTTTGTTTTTTTTCCTTTTCCTTTTTCCTTTCCTTCTGTCTATTGAGTGTGTAGGACTGCAGATACCTTTTTTTTGCCTCTGTCCCTTTGAAGTAAATATCTTATTTGACCGATTTAGTGGCAGCCAAATTTGTGTCATTCTGGCTAGTCTGCAGCCCTCTGAGTTAGTAAAATATGTGTTTGGGGATGCAAATTGATGAGAATGAAGAAAACTTTTATGACTATTGGGACCGATTCCAAGAGTGCGGCTGTCTGTTTTATTGACGAGCAGAAGACACGAGGATGTCGTGTCTTCCTGTTGATGAAATGCCTCGGCATCTCAACACTGCAAACTGCCAACACATTAGCGCATTGCCACACGTTCCACATCTTGGCATCCTTCTTTCACATATTTGGCATATAAGAGGAAAATCAACACAGGACGCCAGGGCGCATTTTTATTTCATTGTCTGTTTTAAGCGGGCAAATGTCAAAGTGGTGGTCTGCTCTGATGTTTCACGCATATGTGTGAAGTTCACATTATTGCAGAAGGATCTGCTAGAATGTATTTGATTGCTAACATGGACCTTACTTGCACTCATCTTTTAGTGTTTTTTGCATCTTTCGTATGTCAGAGGCAGTGCTACTAACCCCGCAGTAGGTCATTAGGTCATTAGCAATCTCTTCTCTCCTGATTTTTATTATGTGCCAAATCACTGAGGCCAGTGAGCTAACTGATAAAAATCCCTTATTGCAGTAATGAATATTGAGTGAAAAGAGGCTAACGGTGGGCAATGCACTTAAAAAGAGTAGTTGTTGTAATGCTCCAAAAGGACCACGTAAGATGTTAGCCTAGTTAGCATGATTTATAAACAGCATATCCAGTAGGTATGATGTACATTTTGAAGCAGCGTTCAGCTGTCCGTGTGTACATTCACAGTCAGACCTCTTTTCTATGGTGGGCGGTGTGTGTCGTGTGCATTCGTTGTCTTTCTGTACAGGTTGCAGAGCTTCATTGGCGGGCCCCAATGAAGAGCCACACTCTATGTACATTTCCACGTGTGACGACACTTACCTGTGGAAGTTGAGGTTTTGTTGTTGTAAAACAAGGACGGTGCAGTGTGGGTGTGAGGGTGTGCATTGTACTTTCATCATGCAGCGATAGTTGAAGCATGGAGAACAGGCTGTTTGTTTGACGTTGGCGGGGATGGTTTTTGGGGGCCACAGTCCCACATCTCACACAGAGAAAACACACTTACTTCTTGAACTACGCTTGTGCTTCTGTCAAAACGTCTAAAATCAGGTTCAATAAGAACTGTGACAAAGTATCTTACAGGGTCTAACACGGTTTAATAATCTTAGCTGATCAGCCAGTTATTATGTCGCACTAGTTCACTTAAAGCCGATATGTCAAAACCTGTCTGATAATATTGATCAACGTCCTGCAGGAGATTTACAATAACACAATGACACCTACTTGTGCAGTGAAATACTTTTACGTTTAGTAGAGAAAAGGTCAATCCCAATTCTATTTTCCTTCAGTAACAGTAACACAGCTGACTTCAGTAAGCTGTGATTTGAACACGCAGTGGAAATAATGACACAAACACCCAGATATAATGAAATGTATCCATATCCATGGCGTAAATATTTTTTACGTGAACCCTATTTTGTTTTTCATGGCCGACAAGTATTTAATCTAAGGTGTTTAATGTTACTGTTTGCGTCATTGACAGGTGTTCACGTTATTGTGTCTACCACCTGAATGAATATGGGCCCTGGAATGAAGCGAATGAAAAAAACATTTTTAAACCCACAGTGAAAGAAAGAATGTAAACTCTCCCTTTGAAGAGAAATATGGATCTAACGGTGGTGTTATTTTCTGTAAGCAGTGCTCTTAACCACATTACGGTGTTTTCCTGTCTTTTATACAATGTACCACGCTGTCAGAACCTTAACATATACTATGAATGAATGTACAACGGGCCAATGTAGTGTTTTTCACAGTAGAACTGCATGTTTTCTGTCTGCTAAGCAGCCATACAGATGTTTATAAATGAATGCCTTAAGTTTGCTCTGTGTAAGAACAGTTTTATCTTCACAATAAGCTGTGTTTTTTATTTATTTATAAATGTATATTGTATATCATGTTGGCTCCCCGGTTACAGAGTAACGGTTTGTTCCTGACTGACTGACTTATCTTAGTGTTCTGTGAAGATTTGAAAATAAATTTGCTAAACATACATACTGTACAGGAGGCGTCTTTACAACATACTTGTTTATGGAATAATGGTATCAAGCATTTTGTTTTGTCTGCCCAGCCTTATTCAGCCAGAATTACTTAATCTCTTTATTGCTTTAGTTATTTTTTACACTTCATTTAAATCTGAGGAATACAAAAGTTTATAAATTGGATCCCTGAAAAGAAGAGTCAGGAAATCGGAAGGGCCGAGTGGGATTTTTCTCCCTGCTTTTAAAGAACAATACAGAAAGTTGAGACGGATCATTTGGGCCGATCAAAGTGCAAATTATCTTGTGAATGTCAATGTTGAATCGAGTGAACTCTGCACCTTGTAATAAAATCACAGACTATTTCTAGCCACATGAAAGTAGCTGAGTACAAGATATGTTTAAACATATGTGAGCTGCATTTACTGTATATTTACACATAACACCAGCACAAAGAACAAAGTTATATTTTATTTTGTGTTGTTTGTTTGGGTTTTGAGATCGACATATTTGCAATCACTCATTACTTTGACTCACTGAAGAAGACACCAGCTCCCCGCGCTCAAACAGATTCATTTCATAACGCTCTAGAGCTCCGTCATCATTTCCATCCTCTTTCTCAGTGTTGCAGGACCAAAGAAATGTGCCTCACCGTCTAACTTGGGTATTTTTGTAACATAACCCTTTTTTTGAAGATATCTCTAGTATAAAAGACGCCTGCGAAATACAAATATCTGTTGAGAGCGAGATTATTTTCAATGTAAATGCAGTTCCCTCGAAGAAACCCCCCCCCTCATGCCAGCAGGTCTGTATCGCTGAAAGCCCCGTCCGCTGAGGGCGGGGAGGTGGCCTCCTCCGTGGCAGCCTTCGTGGGAGCTTCAGGATGGACCAAAGTGAAAGGCTTCCAGGGCTTGGACGGGCAATGGAAGGGGCCGTCGTGCACAGCGTCGGCGGCCACGGCGGGGGAGGCGGGCGGCTTGGAGGCTGTGCTGTCCTCCTCAGAGGACTCCTCTTTGTCTGGGGCTTTGTCTGAGGCTTTGTGGGAGGCTGTGGCGGGCGGTGGGGAGGATGGAGAGGAGGCGGTGGGGGGGGCGCTTTCCAGGATGTTCCTGAGTGGAGACCAGCCAGCGGGACGGCGCCTCGTCAAGATCTGGAGAAAAGAATACCGTGACTTGACAGTTCGAGTCAACGTTTTGTTTTGTAGGGGCGGAAAGAGCAGCCGTGTTTTAACAAAAGAATTGTGTTCACGACCTTTATTTTTACACGTTAGTGTCTGTCGGCCTCTTTATCGGACTTTTGAAAACGGGCAAAAGGTTTCTGTGTTTGGCCATCTTGTGAAAAGTGTGTCTCACCAAAGGCAGTTTCCCATCTGCACAATCCAAGTGGGCATTTGGGACCTCAAATCTCCACGGTGCCACATCCACTGTCGAGTTACAGTTAGCGTACTCCTGCACACACACACACACACACACACACAGACAGACATGTCTGGTCATAAATGGGCCCGGGTCACATTGCTTCAGCTGTTATATGTGCGTGTTGTTCATCTTTACCGTGTTCTCCTCATCGGGGACACACAGATCATTGAGGTCTTTGTGCTCGGTCTTGGTGCAGGTGGTCTTCTTCATATCAAACCTCAGCTTGAACCTGAAACCCGCCACCACCTACAGGGACACAGACGGACGGCAAGTACACAAGAAGCAGCTGACACTTCCCCCCCACACACACACACACTTCCTCTCTGCCCCCGTCAGCCAGTCTCTACCTGTCTGGTGGAGTAGCCGACACTGTGCAGGGTGAACAAGTGGGTGGAGTCAGACTGGGAGTTATACTTGGAGATGGAGACGGAGAGAGGAAGCTTGAGGTCCTCTGAGTTCTCAGCGATCTCCACGGGGCAGCCTAAACAGCGCGCTCTATCTCGAATGATGACATCTTCTGTGCAGGACATAGATTGTGGAAGAGTAGAAAAAGAGCGGATGAGGAGACGTTCAGGACGTTCGCACCGGTCACCTCGTATGTTTTATCCATGTTATTTTCTCTTGTCCCGTGCACATCTGGAATGGGACCATTGCTTGGACCCTGGAAGCGTTGCTTGTGCATGCGGTTGTAACATTGGAACTTTGTCATGATCACATATCCAAAAAATGTAGTTGTGATATTTGAGCTGACTTTGACTTGTCCGGGCTAAAGATGGACAGGTAAAAACCCAAAAGCTGAACCAACGTTTGCCTATTTTATTCCTACGTATGAGTATGATCCGCACACATGCGGCAACAAGTGTCCATTTTTCTCAATGACTCCATCTTTTCGTAATGAGAAATATTCTTATCTGGTTGGACTTCATCCCAGTTTTCCTGCTGGGAAAAAAACTCCCCATACATGATCGGTAGGATGAGAGCAATTCTCCCAGTTAAGGCATCACATGACAATTAATAAGCATGTATGAGCCACGTGGTTAACATGGGAAATGTTTTCTCCTCTTTCGACCACTCAAAGCGCTTCAACCTCACATGTCATGAAATGAACATTTTATATTTCTGCGGTTTACCAAGTAGAAAAAACATAAAAGCGTGAAGCCATTATTTTACTGGAGCTTTTTTAATATTTTTAATATGTGAGATGTAGCTTCATATCAAACGTACAGATACGAGAGGCGTATGAATCTTCTCATTTAACTCTGGGCAAGAAAGTACATTAAAATGTGTTGTTTCACTGAACCTGAAGTTAATTCCAGCTCGTGACGTAAAAAAGAAAAGGACAGTTGTTTGTTTTCACTCACCCAACTGGCAATCCACCTGCTTGGTGTCGGCTTCAGTCTCTGTCATGTAGACTGTGGCATTGCATGAAATCGGCTTCTGGAAGAATAGCAGAATATATCATGTTTGCGTTATGATTTGTGTTATTAATTAGTGTACAATCCAAACCGTTACTTTAACTTTTGTTACCAACTCTTGTTGTTACCAACTCTAAGCAGTAGAATCCCCTTTTTTCCTGAAGGAAATCTGCAGCCTACATTAACATTCACCAATGGATTCTCCACAGACGCCAAGGGAGGAGTGTTTTGAAAGAGCGTGTGTGTGTCACTGCGCAGAACAGCCTGTAAACCTGCAGGAGCCTCATCATTGTCAGGTTACCTCGGGTCCCAGAGGCAGGTAGTCGCAGTCTGTCCAGGGTGTGGCGCTCTCAGCTGGACAGTTACTCCTCCTGCTGGTGAACTGCAGCGAGTACACCGAGTCCGATCCGTTCTCTGACTGCAGACACACACGCACACACACACGCGCACGCACGCACGGTCAGCCTGTGCCAGAGGTTAAAGTTCACTAAACGCGTTTTCCACGAATTTTATTTGCAATCATCCCAACAGCCTCTTGATTCATCAACGTCCAGTTTCGGCTCAGAGATGAGACGTGTGGACGTTTTTTACGGAGATAACAATCTTCAAGGCACAGTATCTAACATGATACCGAAGTTACTGTTGTATGCGATCAACGTAGAAGGTTTTTGGTGTTGTTAAATTACACAACATTTTTATAAACTCAGTTCGATTAGTTTGTTTTAGATGAAAGATTTGTACTTTTTACACACTACATTTGTACTTTACCCCTTTGGACACAAGCGTCTTTTTTGGCCTCTGCTCCAAAAATGGCACAACCGGGATAAAAAGTGTAATAACTCAAACTACTTTGTCTATTTGTGCAATTTATGGTTGCAGCGGTAAAGGGGAACCCCGGAAAGTGCTACAATGTGTAACAATCAGTTTAAATGCTACCGTTGAAAACATATATCAATATTATGGTACTGGTTCTGGCCTGGTTCTGGCTTGTTGAGAGGGGTCCTCTCGTTTTTTTTACACTCTAAAACTACTAATATCAGTATGCACTTGGATAAACCCAGAATGAATCCTGAGACACGCTGAGAGCTCCATCCTTTCAGCAAGGCGCGCACCTTACTAGCGGACAGCGTCTGAAAGAGGGCCAGCTTGTGTCCGGTGCTCAACCTCTCGTTGAACTTGCTCACAGCACTGCTGACGGCCTGCTGCACGGACGGGTCGTCACAGAAGATCAGGACGCCGAGCTGAACATCCAATGCAGGAGACAAAAAAAACGACAGAGGAACATACGTCTCCGCTCCACGAAATGAGCCACGGCTTCATTATTGGCCTGCGGTGTGTATTTGAATTTGAGGAGGGTGAAACATACTCTGCTGGCCGCTCGTGAGCACATACAATCTGAAATAAGGTGGACAGTAACAAAGTATATTTACTCAAGTAAACTTTTCTGCTGCTACATTGCAGAGGAAATATGTTGTATCCTAGATTTTATTCCAATACATTTCTCTTGAGATCTAAAATTACTTTACAATCGTATGAGGTAAATTACCTAAACTACAATATTAAAATGTGTCTTACAAGCTTTTATGTATGCATCCAATAGCATGAATATGTTGTATAATGTATGCTCTATAATGAACAGTTTTAAATGTAACACTTTGAGTATATTATGCAGACAATAATTTCCTTCTATTACTGAAATACGTGTAATAATTCATTTCATAGTATTTCTTCCTTTATGGGAATAAAATACTTGCGTGCTTTCGCTATTGAAGAAAGCATGAATGCAGGATAAATGAAGTATAAAGCAAGTAATGATCCAAAAATGTAGACAAATGTGATCAGGTTTGTAATGTGGTGGTAGAAATAAGTATTTCATGCAATGTTATGCTACTGCCATAAATATCCAATAAAAAGTCTAGATTTCTGACTCTTCCTCCTTACCTGCCCAAAGACCGCGCTGAGAAGGCATAGCAGGCCCAACGCGCACCCCCCCGCTCTGCTCGTCATGGTCTGATCCTGGGGGACGTTTGTCTCTGCTCTGCTGCGAGGCAAAGAAATGGCAAATGTGACGCCGGCTGATGCAAACTTTGATCGAAGGTTGATCGGTGTCGGTCGTGCAGGACTCACAGGTTCTGTAGGCGGAGGCCTGCTGTCGATCCTGCCGGACTTAAAGAGCAAAGACGTGACTCCTCTCCACGCAGGGATGGACCACTGAATGATCTGCAGGAACCGTGGGTGGGAATCCTGAGAAAGATGATGACACGCTGATAGACACATAGACAGGGGATCGTAGGGCACAGAGGACACACACACACACACACACACACACACACACACACACACATTAATGCTCACAGCGTCGAGCAAAGTCGGTTAAAGGAGGGTAAATATTTGCTTTTTTGTTTGCCCTCCTACCTGTCAAGTCAATACAACAGTATCAGAGAGAGAGAGAAGAGAAGTGAGAGCACGCACAGATGTGTCCTAACTTTATTGGTTACTTTGAAAGAACAAGCACTCACATAAACTCACATAGCCTAAATTAAACTAGACAAAGTATGGTGTAAGATAGCAAAACAATCCCTAACTCTGCGTCTTAAGAGTCCCTTGTGTGTATGTGCGTGTGTGTTTGCTCGTTGTGTTTTTTGTGTGTTTTAACTGGTACTTTGTCCCCGTCGACCTTTGGCCCATACCACTCAGATTTCCCCACCGCTTGTCTGTGAACGGAGGTGAAACACTCCGTATAGATGTATCATGCACACATTGTGTTAGCCGTGTCTGTGTGCCCGGCATCACATTAAGTTCATCAAGCACAAAGTCAACTCACCTGTCAGCTAACGACGACGTGCCAGAATATTCCATGTCCGACACCTGAGGAGCCACTTTATCTTCATCGGACAGGTCTACAGGGAAAGCAATCCTTCATTTTGAGGACTTATGAGATCATAATTCGGCCTTCTTCCTCTTGTGGTCACACATGCACCAAGGTGGTATGCTACGCTAAGCTAAGTACAGCTTAGAGAGTCCAAGCAGATTTTTTTTCTCCGCTATTTCCCTATAACCAGTGCTCACACACATACAGTTTAATTCATATCTGAAGTAATCTCTCATTCAGCAACAGGCCGAGAAGTTCCACATTGTGTCTGTTTCCATCAGAGGTATCTGGTTGGAGGTGGAAGAGGCCGCGGTCTTCATTCTCGCCTTTTGTGACGATTCACTTCCTCCGCGCGGCTCATTTATGTGTTGAGGTGTTCAACGGTTTCACATTTAGAGCACAAACCACAGCTGCAGCCCTCATGCTGCACTCCTCCTATTGCATTGTCCACGCCGTCATATTATTTTCTATTAAATATGATTCAATGGGGAAATACAGGTGGATGGCTCATATTCATCCTGACTACTTTTAATCCAGGTAAGTTTGATTAAATCTAATTTTGCCACCCATAAATGGACTCTATTCTCTCGGCAAACTGTCTTTTCTCTGTATATCAGTTCAGTATTCAAGAGACTTTTGAATGAATGTAGAAAGGTCTCCGTGCATGTACTGTCCAACGTCTTTTTCCCAAAAGAGAAACAGCTAAACTTCAACACAAGCAAACTTAGATGTTGCCAAGCAACACACAATAACATTTCATCACGTCTGTAATTATTGAATTCATGCAAGGAGGTCAAAGATGATGGGAGCCAAACTGTGCATGGGACCTTTCTAATGATTTTGTATTATTTTATCTTTGACAGTTTGGTCTTCATAAAGCGGTTTCACATTCTCTCTAAAGAGATGGTTTTCCTTCAACGTGTGTGGTGTGAGTCCCACACGGAGACCGTTGCTTTAGTGGTCTTCAGTGATCTGAGCACATGATGATCTCTGTCGTTCTTTTATTTTTAGTTCAGCACACTGCAGCTGCTTGTTTATGTCCAAAAAGCAATAAAATTGAGTTTGTTTAAAATAAAATGGAAAGGAAAAGATTCGCATCTGCAGTAGTTTTCAGGCCGTATTTTCATCTTGGCATTATTCATTTCCTCAAACTGGGATACCTTGGTGTAATTACTGTTAACTCTCAACGGAGGTCTAAAAAGACTTACTTTGAATAAACACAATTGTTAACTCGTTTCTCAAAACAATGGGGGCTTTCTCAAAACTGCACACAAAAAACTGAAAACCACAAACCACAAGATGCTAAACGCGACACTCCCCTCGCAAGATGACTCTTCATCAGATATCGTAACTGTTCACGAAATGGAACTCATGATTTCATTTGGTACACGCAGCCATACTTTCAAATGAAACACACATTCCATGGAGTACACACAACCAAGCATTTGCTGCACACCGAAGAACAACACAACCACAGAAATAGAACACACCACATGAAGGACAATGACTCTGCAGAATGAGCCATTTCTCTTTTTGACTGTGGAGGCCTACTTTTCTTCATAGTCAAATGTAAAACAGAACAAAAATATGCAGAAATAATAGTTTTATATCAGTACCCACAGAACACAGTAAACCGGCCAGCTCCGTCCCCCCCACTTCACAAAAATGACCTAATTTACATAATACAGTATTTGGTTACAGTAAGTGCACATTTTGGGGGCTTTTTAACACTATGGCATAATATAAACCAAGGCTTATCCATGCTGTCTTTATTACATAAGTCAAGCATTTTGGATTGCTTCCTTTTTAAGAATCAATAAAGAAATGTCAGACAAAAACAAACGCTAAGAGTGAATCTCCAGCAGGTGTCCACCTCCTGGGCAGCGGCGGCTCGGTCCAGCCGTCCTCTGACGCTGCGCTGCCCTCTCAGGCAGGCAGAGGCCGGCCGCTGTGGCAGCGCGCCGAGGCAGCTCCTGCAATAGGTGAACATTTATTATGAACACGTTTACCATCTTCACCACCCATCTAAGGGCAAAAAGTTTTTGCAAAAGATGTTTACGGAATGCCACCATTTATATATGCAATATTACAGCAACAATGTAAAGATGTCTTTGAGAAAGTTGAACAAACTGCACTTTGATGAATAATAAAAGTAAAACTAAATACACACAACAGAAAATGTTTCATATTTGACAGACTAACAATGTTAGTGCAGCGGGAAGGACATGAAGCTAATTTTATTATCAAGATTATACCTTAATCATACCCAAAAACGTATTCAGACATTGAAGATTAAATTCGAAACATAGAATTGTCTCTCTTACGTATTTTAAATATACATTACGTTTCCAATTTTTGTGTGTGTGTTTATATTTATTTGTGTGTGTGTGTGTGTGTGTACAGGGACGTACATGCTGAACAACCCTGCTGGGAAACCTTGTATCAAGGCAACCATGGGAGCGGAGTACATTGTCAATGAAAAGAGGGTCAGTGCTGTGAATGGCTCAGCACTGTGTGTGTGCGTCTGTGTGTGTGTGTGTCAGTGTGCGTCTGCTGTATGTCATTCAGCACCTTGTGCACAGCCTGTTCGTGTCAGCAAGTCTTTGAACACGTTACAAGTGGATTCAAACTGTAGAAATCCAATCCTTAGAATAGATAAAGAAGCTGTGTGCACTCAGGAGGAGCTTAATGCATATATATATATATATATATATATATATATATATGTGAGTTTGTACAGTGAGGAGTGTACGTACAGTCACATGTTGGAAAGGTTTAACAATATAGTGAGAAGAGAAACTGACTTTCTGGTCTCTGTTTCTCTCCTCTGCTTTCAGGATACGTGGTATTTCAACCTGGACCCCTCCAGGGTCGATACCAGCGGTGACTGCGGCAAAGACGCCGCTGTTCTCCGTCTCACGCTGCCAGACAATGCTGCCAGTCTACAGTTCACCTTCCGAAAGGTAAACGCACATTCCCCGTGTCTGCATGAACTTTCTCCCTAAACTTCCCGTTTAGGCCACGTCTACCAGCGCTGACTGGTTATATTACACATAATAATGAACATTATGTGCACTGGCATGGAAGCCTCTTTGTACTTTTAATATTTAAAGTGGATTCATAGTCATTAAGACTCTGAATGGTGGTCTAACGATGCTCTAAGTCTTAGTAGAACCTGTTCAGGAGAGACATTTAATGATGTACAATCTATAATCCTGGATGGCAAGATAATCAGTTTGTGTTTAATCTCCCTGTTTTAATGTTTAAATGCTTTTTTTTAAATCAATATATTCTACAAAAGTAAAATCACTCAAATTGTACAGGATGAGAGCTGTATCCATTTACAGGAAAGTACTATCAATAAACAATCAAACAGACGTCGTTTATGATTAATACATAAAAGTAAATTTAAATAATGAGAAATTAAGGCTTCTTTATTTAACTTGAAAAAGGCTTTGGACGGTGTTTTTAAAACTACAAAAAAATATATAGCTAACTGTTCAATCATCTCAGGGTGGGAAATCCAACTATGTCATAGGAACATTTAACCACAGCATCAATGTGTCTTCTAGTTTCACAGCTTTATCAAAATGAATTTGTTTCTAAATAATCTGTAACAAATTCAAACAAATTTTGAACAAACCTCTTTTATTTTTTATCTCCAGGATAAGAATTTGTTCTACGTGGACAAGCTGGTTGCTCATGTGTCTCCTCCACCGGGCTGCCAAGGACGTGCAAGTAAGACCACGTGAGAGAGAGAGAGAGAGAGAGAGAGAGAGAGAGAGAGAGAGAGAGAGAGAGAGAGAGAAATAACACAACAGACAACAAATAACTGGTATTTCTAACAACAAAACACAAAACCAAAGAGTGTAACGGTCCATGTCGCACATCCGCTTCTCCCCAGACAAGACTTACTCGGGTTCGTTGGCTCATGAAAAGCTGTTTGCAGCAGGAGACGGACAGAGCTTCCACTGCCGACACGAGCAAGTGCTCCGGGTGTCGTCTGAGCTGAGGATCAAGCTGCTTCCTCTGCAGGTGCAGGCGTTCACTCTGCCCGAAGGACAGTACGGAGCAGGTGACGGGGTTGATCATTTGGGTTCAGGGGTGCAGGGGTCATTTAAGTCTGCTGCATGAATTTAACTTAGTGTACGTTGTTCAAAGTGCTCTTGCAGATCTAGAATGATAACCACATCTGGAAGCTTCAGAAACAGTGATACATGTAAAGGTTACTTTGCCATGGTTTCTCTCTTGATTCCTAAAAGGGTTTATTTCTCTTAAAACTCCTTTTGATACCCAAGAACTTAAGTTTGATTCAATAAATAAAATCTGACAGCAATTATGGTTCTCATTTGCTTTCAATCAGCATCTTTCTCTCCTCTTGTTCTTTATTACAGAGGTGGAGTGTTGGTCCGACTTTTACAGACGAGTTATTCCCGTCACCGTAGGGGCCACATTGGTGGGTCTTGTTCTGATTGCTGTGCTGACCTCCCTGTTCATCAGAGACCGCCGCGCAGGCGGATATGTCAGGCTGTGAAACTGGATGGAGATACACTCAATCTGATTTCACACTTTCACACTGCTCTCCTGAACTTGAAATTAATTAATTGTTCCTGGGATACTTCAAATAATACTCAAAAACAGTTATGATGTCTAATAATGTAACTATGACTGCAAAAATTGCATTACATTGGATTGACTATTGACTTTTTTTGATGTTTCACAAATATGTTCTATCTTCAATACTGCTTGTGATGAAATATTTTCTGTTTGATGAAGAGAGGTGGGCCAACAATTTATCGTAGAACATTTGACTCATTATAGAACATCAATGAAACATACTATTGTTAACTAGATCACCCTGAATCAAAGGGAGAACTATACAATTAAGATTTACGGCTTCATTACTTGAGTAGCTGTCAGCCATGGTGGGCTATATTGAACAATAAGACGTTTCCTTTAATAAAATACATGTTTTAATGTACAAAGGTAACACATAGCTCAAACATACATTAGTTTCACCAATGTGAATTTTGTTATTTCCGTGACTTTTTCTCTCACAATTTCTTCTTTGCTTCACAGTCAATTTTTCTTATTAAAATAAAACGAAATTCTTATTATTCTGAAGGGCGTTTTTCTTCTTTGCCACCCACACTCCCCGTCCTGCTCCCTGCCGCCCTCTGCTGGCGACTTGTGGTCACTGTCGGTTCTTCCTCCGCCTCCAAATCCTCCTTCCTCATTGGCTGCTCGACACTACGAGTCCTTGGAAAGGTCACAAATGATAATACAGACATTTACAACCGTGTGGAAGTGTTTTATTAGCGCGGGTGTAACAATTTAAGTCCCCGGACGTTTCTGCGTGGTTCATGTTGATTTTTTGCTGCAGTTAATTGAGAACCAAACGGTACATGAGCTGTTTCTGAGAAAACCCCTTCGCCTTTTTCCTGCTCAGCTCATTAGGTGAGCTAGCAGCTAGCAGCTAGCCTCATCAGCTGGTAGCCATGGCCGCTGTTATTCTGAGTTTCCCCACTCTGCAGAGTCTGAGGATATTTACACAGTGAGTACATCGCGGCGTCACGGTGCTGTCACGGTGCTGTGTGTAAACTCCGATGTTATCTTCTTTTTAACGTTAGCTTAAAGCTAAAGTTCGCAGCGCTCCGCCACGTCAGAGCTAATGCAGCAATGCAACGTAAAACATCGTTAACTTAACGTGAGTTGTCTGCGGCTGCTCGTCGCTGCTCTACAGCACTGACCGCACAGCCTTATCGCGTCTCTCGGCACCAACCTGTTGATAAAATGTGTTTTTAGACACCATGTGAGCCAATGCATCAGGCAGAGGCTGAGCAAGGTTAAATGGCAGCAGCTAGCACGTCGCGTGCTGTGACAACATCCGCACTGGGCACCTGTGCGACCAAACTTCACATTGTTATTTGCGCTGTTTTTTACACATTTCGTTTTGTATGCACTACTTAGTTTTTAAACGAGCATTTCGTCTATTTAACATCCTTCACAGTCACCTTTTGAATGGCACTGCAATGTGTTTCCTCTCCGCAGGAACTCGTCATGGACCAAAAGAGGCGTGAGGCTCGTTTCAGGAGGTGACAAAAACGTTCTAAACCAAAACATGTTCACATTGCATGTATACAAAACGACTTCCTCACGTTTGATAAGCTGGAAGCAGAGAATATTTAGTATTTCTGCCTGGTGGCGGTTAAAGATTAGTGCTGATTGGGTAGCCGACTATTGTGTTATTTGATACTATACATCTTTGGGATGTCTCTGTATTTCGTGAGGAGCTGAAACGTGTCTGTTGTGTCTTCTTCTTCAGGGGTGGGAAGGATCGAGAAGGTGCTGATAGCCAATCGAGGCGAGATTGCGTGTCGTGTGATGCGAACGGCCAAGAAGATGGGCGTCCGCTCGGTGGCTGTGTACAGCGACGCGGACAGAGACTCCATGCACGTGGCCATGGTGAGATGATGGCCTTTAAAGAACCTCGTCCCTTTCAGTACTTTAAGTCATCTGCTCCTCAGACTGAAGCTTCTTTAGCAAACTGGTCATTCATCATTTGGACCCTTGAATTAGTTGTTTTTCGTTTGACTTTTTTGGGGGGTTTCTTTGTAGGCAGATGAAGCCTACCACATTGGTCCCGCCCCGTCCCAGCAGAGTTACCTTTCAATGGAGAAAGTTTTGGAAGTAGCCAAGATGTCTGGATCACATGTGAGTAGTCCTCTACTTGTTGCAAACACTTTCGGTAACAGAAGTGATGCTGTCGCTTTCACAGTTGTCTTGGTCAGAGAAGCCACTTCTGAAGAATAGTGTGCAGTGAAGAACCAATGGGGTTCTTGCATGTTCATGTGATGCTCGCGTGTGCAGGCGGTGCATCCTGGTTACGGCTTCTTGTCAGAAAGCACAGAGTTTGCGGAGGCGTGTAAACAGGAGGGCATCATCTTCATCGGGCCACCTTCCTCGGCCATCCGAGACATGGGCATCAAAAGGTACCCCACACATATGGTTCTATCCCAACTCCATCGGTTTGTAATTCACATGAACTATTAAAGCAGTTTATTGAATACACCAAGAAACCGTCAAATAGAAACATAAATGCGTAAGAATAAGAGCAATAATAGCAACTTGTATCATTCACTGTCATAGATTTTGCTCTGTTTTTTCAGCACATCCAAACACATCATGTCAGCAGCTGGGGTGCCAATCATTGGTGGTTACCATGGAGAGGATCAATCAGATGAGAGGCTGCAAGCAGAGGCAGCTCGGATTGGATACCCTGTGATGATTAAGGCTGTCCGTGGAGGAGGCGGCAAGGTGAGACGGTTTGCAAAAAGCCTAAACATTTTAGCGAAAGTAACTTTTGTAAGCATAGGGTAACGTGTGTGTGTGTGTTTGTGTGTTTAGGGGATGCGTATTGCACTGACAGACTCCGACTTCTTGGAGCAGTTGGAGTCGGCGAGACGAGAAGCCAGGAAGTCCTTCAATGACGACGTCATGCTGGTTGAGAAGTTTGTAGAGGATCCCAGGTGATAAGTGATCCATTTACTCACCCAGTTTCTGCCCACTAGACAGTTTCAACAGTTCTTTGTTATTTGTATTTGGAGATTAAATTGTTCTTTGTCTGTCTCTTGTAGACATGTGGAGGTTCAGGTGTTTGGGGACATGCACGGTAACGCTGTCTATCTGTTTGAGAGGGACTGCAGTGTCCAAAGAAGACATCAGAAGATCATCGAGGAAGCACCAGGGGTGAGAAACTGAAAGAAGTTGCAGTTGCAACTCTACCTTTTCCACCACCGACCAAAGGAATCCAGAAAGTGGATATATACTATGACTTAAGAGTGAGCATTGTTCACTGCATTGTTTCAGCCTGATATTAGTCCCGCGGTGCGGAGGAAACTTGGAGAAGCTGCTGTCAGAGCAGCCAAGGCTGTCAACTATGTAGGAGCAGGTTAGACACACACACACACACACACACACATAACACAGTACATAGAAATGATGCCGTAGCTCTCCTTGTTTAGGTACGGTTGAGTTCATAATGGACGCCCAGCACAACTTTTACTTCATGGAGATGAACACCAGGCTGCAGGTGGAGCATCCCGTCTCGGAGATGATCACTGGGACTGACCTGGTGGAGTGGCAGCTCAGGGTAAGGGATGAGCGGGGGAGTGGAAAACCTTTTTTGCCCCTACGTAGTTCTGGTTTCAGGCTTTGTGTAACTGTGTCCCAGGTGGCAGCAGGTGAGCGCCTGCCTCTCCTCCAGGATGACATCGTTTTAAGGGGTCACTCTTTTGAGGCCCGTATCTATGCCGAGGATCCAAACAACGACTTCCTGCCGGGGGCGGGGCCTCTGCTGCATCTCTCCACCCCTTCACCAGACCAACACACGCGTATAGAGACGGGAGTCAGGGAAGGTAGAGGGTCCCACTTGACACATATGAAAGTATTAGAAGCTGTATCTGCGACCGCTTAGTTTGTGTAGATAGTGACGGTTTGGACAAATCTAGTTCAGTAGCATTATGCTAACGTGGTGGACGTGTTTCACTGTGCGCATGTTTGTTTTCAGGGGACGAGGTGTCGGCACATTATGACCCGATGATCGCCAAGCTGGTGGTTTGGGGAGAAGACCGATCTGCTGCCTTAAAGAAGCTGCGGTACTGCTTACGACAGTACAATGTACGTCAAGTCATGCTTTGCATGTCATGGTACCAAACAGATGCAGTGTGTGCTTCACCCAAGGACTCGCGGTGGAGCGTCCCGAGTTACATATTGACAAAAACACACGTCGTTCACATTTCTTTCTTCTCTCCCCTCAGATTGTTGGACTGAACACTAACATTGACTTCCTGCTGAGTCTCTCGGGCCACCCGGAGTTTGAGGCTGGAAACGTGACCACCAGTTTCATCCCGCAGCACTACGCCGACCTTTTCCCCGCTCCGATGACTCCTTCCGGGGAAACGATCTGCCAGGCAGCTCTGGGCCTGCTGCTGCAGGAGCAGGAACACACGCAGGGGTTCACACAGACCTCCGCTGGTGAGCGGACCACATTTACCTTGGAGCACATTTCCTTTAAAAAAGTCTGATACTCAGTGTAGATTGTGTGTGTGTGTGTGTGTGTGTGTGTGTGTGTGTGTGTGTGTGTGTGTGTGTGTGTGTGTGTGTGTGTGTGTGTGTGTGTGACTTTCAGAGCCCTTCTCCCCATTCGGCTCCAGTAACGGCTGGAGAAACAACATCAAGTTTAACAGAAACGTGACACTGCGGCTCGGAGACAAAAGTAAGTAACGGCCAAGAGAAATATAGCGTTTTAAATCAATTGGATCAAAGTTGAAGGGACTGCAGAGAGTCATTTCTTAGCTTCCTCTCTACTAACTCTGCTACGGACGTTTCATCCAGACAGTGTTGCAACAAATTGAAATGTCTGTTGTGTGTCTGTTGTCTTTAGCGGTTGATGTGGTCATCATTTACAACAAAGACGGCAGCTACTCAATGCAGGTAAGCTGGAGTTTGTCCTGTATTTTCTATTCATTTATCTGTTGTTTTCCACAGAAAAATACTCACATTTTTAGTTTGGGGCCTTTTTAAAAAGTAATTGTAGCCCACATTATTTTAGGATTTTTGTTATTCTGCATAAAGTGCTCACCTATTATTATTATTATTTATTTTTTTAATGTTTAAGATAAACACCAATAAATTCCCATTCACTTGAGCATGACTTAAGTGGTTGGACTTTTTCTGGAGCTTTTCAACAATGTCACAGCTTTTATTCTGCAATCTCTATTGACTGAACACTTGGAAAATACCCAAAAGCAAAGTACTACACAGGACTTAAGTTTAAACTGCTTTTCCTAAGATCAAGGATTTAGGGAAGAATGGAGGATTTAAAGTAGTCCTCCCTCACATTTATAAATAAATGCATTTCTCCTTGCAGATTGGCGAGGAGGTGTACCATGTGACTGGAGAGGTGGAAATGGACGGCGGAGCCTCATTTCTTCACTGTTGTGTCAATGGCGTGAAGTCTCGTCCCAAACTGGTGATCCTGGACAACACAGTGCACCTGTTCTCCATGGTGTGTTCCTACCTACTGAAACACACACACACTTAGATAACTTTATATGACTATAATAGTAAGTTCTAGTTAAATGTTAAAAGTAGCGGCAATTATTTATTTTCATCTTGATTTTATTCTGCTGATTCTTTTCATATTAATTGATTGATTTCATTTGGTCGTAGCTGAAAATCGTGAAAATGTAAAACTACTCATAATGCAAAACTACCCATTTTAGAATAATGTTTATATCACTAGATTATACATCTGTTCATCCATTTTATATTGTAGCTGACTGCTTTATACACTTTAATTGATTCTAGGCACGTTAACACGGTTATTCCAGCCGAAATGTAATAATAACCACCACTGTCTTACAAGACGTGAGAACAAACTGCTCTTAAACTCTTTACTCGGGTATCTGAGCCGTGGTGTCCCTCCCTGTCCAACCTCCTTTCATGCACTCCTTCGTATGGAGTGCATCAATAACTCACTTTGCTATAATAAACATGATGCATTTAATTTTATTTTGGTATTTGATAAAATACCTTTTTGTTTGTTAGTTGGCTTCTCTTTTTAGTTGATTTATTTACGGCAGGTTCCTTGTCGGTGCTTTCTGCAGTACTGTGGTAAATGTCTCCATTGTTTACAATACTTTGTGCAGGAGGGGAGCTCCCAGGTGTCTGTTCCAGTGCCCAAGTATCTGGCTGGTGTGAGTTCTGGTGCCCACGGTGCAGCAGTGGCCCCCATGACGGGAACCATAGAGAAGGTGAGATGGGTTTGTTTTATTATTGATTCCTAGAAATATTGTATTAGTTTTTATTTATTTATATATATTTTTTTTATAAATATTTATTTTTGTGTTATCCTTTCACATCATTTATTAACAGTGAGGCCGAGGGGCCGAAAGTTTAGTCACACATTTGATCATCTCTGATAAACGAAACTTAATACCAGTTATATTTATTTATCTCTGCTGTGAGACTCAGCGTCCTTTTGTTCCCGTAAACAACCTGTTGTGTTCAGGTGATGGTGAAGGTCGGAGACAAAGTGGCGGTAGGAGACCCTCTGATGGTGATGAACGCCATGAAGATGGAGGTAAGGGAATTCTTCCTGGCGCCGCCTCGCTGCCCTCCTGCTCCTCCGTGTTCTGTAATGGACTTGTTGTGTTTCCTGTCTCTGCAGCACACCATCCGGGCGCCCAAGTCGGGTGTGATCAAGAGGGTTTTCTTCAGCGAGGGCTCTCAGGCCAATCGCCACGCTCCTCTGGTGGAGCTGGAGGAGGAGGAGGAGGAGGCGGCGCAGAGGGAGGGGAGCAGCCAGTAAACACACAACGAGGGAGGAGTCAGAAGTAGTTACTGAGAAAGTGAAAAGTGAGGAATGCGAGTCGGTTCCTGAGTGGTGCAGTGGGAGAACGTGTGCTTCTGTCTGGAAAGGATCAGACCAATACTTTCACCCTTCGGATCCAACGCGCATTTAGGAGGCTCAGAACCATTTCAGGTCCACGAAAAAGTTCCTGCGTCTGATGTAAGCGACACCATAATGAAATTGCCTTTCCCTTGGCGTTGATTGTGGAACTGTTGTTTGTTCCGGCTCGTCTTTTTCTGTTTCTTGTTTGAGTCTCTGGAAGCTTCTGCTCGCGTATTCTTTTTCTGATGTCCTGTTAGTGGCGTGTTGGTAGGTTAGGAGCTGGTTTGGGTTTTCGCTTGTTCACATGATGTTTCAAGCACTTCCTCACTGATGAGGGGGACTCCAGAGTGTCTCCTCTGTACAGAGACGGTGTGTCTCTTAATCTTTACTCTACGATTAAACAAATCTGAGGCCGAAGATAATAAGTAGCCAGAGTAGCAAGTGTGAAATCCTAGCAGAATTATTTCTCAGTGGTCTGTAGGAAGTTACTCAGGACTGAGAAGCTTCACATAGACTATTCAAGTACGCCGAGTGAATGATAGCAGCCGTAGCTTTATAACAGGCTCGGGGGGGAATAAAGGTCATGAAGTTATTGTCTCCAAAGTACTCTCCCACTTTGATTCTTTGTCATAAAAATATTACTGTTTTCACTGGAACTTGATTTTATGAAGCTGAATAAAATGAAATCTTTGATACAAGTAAACATTTAGTATTTGAGGGGGTCTAATGTCCTTTGAGACTGCCTCATCATTGAGCCCTGATGTGTGTGTGTGCGCTTCAAATGAGAGGTCTGTCGTCGTAGAGGAGAAAAGCCCTTTGGAATATGGAGGCAGACCAACACTCCACTTATGAAATGAGTCCCGAGCCGCTTTGGATCAAACTGATATGAGAACAAGTCGTGAAGGATGACGTGTCGCTCAGAGGGATTCAAACCAACACACGATTCCTGACCATCGCTCTTTTTACCAACTGCCATCTGATCAGGTCTAGTTGACTAAAACTGATCACCTATTTTGTAGATGTGACAAATGATGTAATAAAATGGTTAAAACGGCTACACAGCGGGATGCGTTGTTATTGTTGTAAGCACTCGGGTGGCTCAGTGGCACCGAAGTGTCTGACCCCCAGAATCGCTCCAGACAGCCGCTCATCCTGCCGCCTGCGATCCTGGTCCCTCCGGTACGTTATTTGAACGTAAAAGGGTTAGTTGTAGTACAGCAAAAAAAAGTCAACATGTCAGTTTAGATTTAATGTCAACAGTATAATACGTAGTTATTTTATGTTTGGATTTTTCATGTAATAGTTACTTTTAATATGGAATTTTAAAGCATCACTTTTTTGTAAAAACATTTAAAATCAACACGCAATGTTTCCCTTAAAAATGTATTTATTTCGTAAATAGAACTGCATCTCCTTAAGCATAAGACATATTTATAGACAAGAGATAACAGACCGCAACAAACAGTCAAAAGACAATGAAGAGAATAAAATATCAACATTTAGTTCAGCTGCGATCTCGTGCTTGGTGTTGATGCGGCCAATCTGAAATATAACCGTGAGAATAATATGACTATTATAGTTTGGGCTCCGGTCTGATCAAAACATTTCCTTGCAAGGAAATGTTTTGTTTTAGAAAAAATGTGATACTCGTGCAATATTAGTTAATTGTGCTACTTGTAAATCCATACTATGGCTGGAAATATGTGACTGATTTACATGTTCATTGTTTCTTTACACATTCAATAAATGGCCAATATTTCACGAAGCAGGAGTATTTGGTTTAAAACCCACATTTGTGGGCATAATTTAACCGCACAAAAAGGGTCCAAATGCACGTCAATGGGGCTTTTCATGGGTGACCTGCTCATCATCTGCGGTCTGAAGGCGTGATACTAATTTATTTATTCATTATGTGGTTTGGTAATCTGCTTCTAGAATGACCCCAGAGGCCTCGTATCCAAACCACAAAAAGAAACTAGAGCATCGGTTTGGATTTCTCTCTCGTAACACATTTGTTTTTTGCATTTATATTTTATTTCTCAGCTTTGATGGAAGATATTTATTTTCAAAGACTACTACTTGCAGTTGTGTTTATATTTATTCATATGATTATAGATGTATTAATTTGTGGATGAGCACAAGGGGGCATCAGAACTGCACAAACACCCGCGTCGTGTCTGATTCCAGAGAGGCGAGTGCTCCAACTTCAGCGGTTTAAAGTCAAGATCTCTTCTGCTGCATCAACTTACATGTTGTACAAGTCAACCTCATTTATCCTGACATAAAAAAACACACACTGCAATGCATTAGCATTTTACTCAGCCCTCCTTTCTGTGTCATAACGCCTCCTTGTGTCTGATTTTTGAGCAGGAGTAAATCGACCCTTGGAGGAACCCTATAAAGCAGCAACATGTATCCCTCCATCCATGTACAGATTACATTCATCGCGGGCATCCAAGTAGAGACCTTAATAGCAGAATGAACACAAGTTTAATAAGAAAAGAGGAGATATCCCGTGGAAATGTGGCCTGATCGTTGCCTGTGGAGTTGAAAAGGAAATCGAACTGGTAAGTCGTGGTTCTGCTAAAACATCCATCTTATTCTACTTCTGGAACCTGTCAGGGCGACCCGGCACACAAGTTCAACTTCCCAGTTACATGTAAGATCAAAAGAAAACATACAACACGGGACACATGTTATAATAATATGCAAGAAAGAAAACACAAACAATAAATAGACCTTTTCGTAGTTGCCTGTGTGGAATTTAACAGGACATGCATCAAACTATGTGTGCTTGGAGAAAATAACTTGACGATTAATTGACAGTCAGATTCCTTGTAACCATAGCAACAGGAACCTCCCATGACATTGTACCACGTGAGGCTCAGCGTGTCCTGATCGTTGTTTAAAACGGTTGCCTCACAAGTTGTCTCCATGTTAAATCCTCCTACAAATAACAAGAGGCACACGCTTCCTCGTTTCACCCTTTACTAGAAGAGAAGACATCGGGACAACCATCAGAGACACATTTCACCTCGCAGAGCATCGAGGGGTCACAGAGCGCCAACAACAACACGTGGCTTAAAAAACCATCGCCTCAAAACATCGTTGCGTTACATTTCTGGAGTCAACGGAGAACAACCGTCACACTGGTTCCCATCAGCTCACCTCTGTAAGCAAAAAGAGGAAGTCAAACTAATCAGCACAGAGACATTTCCCCCTTTACTAGTGAACAAACATTGTACAACGAGGTTATTTACCTGGCTGCCATACAAAACACACACACACACACACACGCAGCATCAACAAGTGGATAGAACAACAAAAACCTGATTTAGATGATGACAGACATGCAATGAGTTGACAAATGACAAAAGATGATTTTGAGATGCGACTTGTGCAAACACTGCGTCTCTGTACGAGCTGGATTAGATTCATCTGACAAAGCTCTCGCTCTGAAGAGACATTCTGCCGTCTGGCTCGACGTGCATCAGCTACGCAAAAGCCTCCCGTCGTTCGGGCCATGTCTGGCTCGCTGGAATAGAAACGGTGCCGTCATCTCATCTGATACTTGAGGCGAAATGAGGGTCGATAACCTCCTTACCCCCGGCCCGGACACTGATAGGACGACATAGTCAGAGACCTTCCAATAAGTTCGAATAATATCACCTCCTGAAAATGTATGGCTTTTAAAGAGGGCCCCATCTGTCCTCCTTCGGAGCAGCGACAGTGAGACGAGCGAGCAGCACAAACAAGAACCCGTAGTCCGCTTCATAATAAGCTTCTCTATAATCAGGCACAATAATGAACAGTTCTTCTTTTCGGGAGTCCTTTGTTCTTTGGTATCACCGTGGCGACCAATCTCCTCGTGGAGCACCCAGGGGCCTCCGTGCGTCTCATGCAAACGGGTCTGGTGGTCCCACGCCTGCTGCCTCCAACGAGCCGACTTCAGCCCCCCCCCTAGAAGAAACAACCCCGCAGATGTCCGACTCGCTCCACACTGAACGTTTTGAGTTCCTGTCCACGCCGCACTTCCTCCTCTTCCATCTTACTATGAACTCGTACGCGTGGCAAAGGGTGGCGGTGAGGGATACCGCCGCGAGCCACACGCAGACCTGTGGTTTCCCGTGATGCGTGATCCGTGGTGCATCCACCGCCAGCTTAAAGGAGGTGTAGGTTTATAAGGTGTAGGTGTGTGGGGGATCCCCAGATCTGCGTGTGTGACAGTCAGCGGGAGTCAGCAGTGGGTGGACTCGATGGGCGACAGCGTCAGGATGCTGCGGTCGTTCTCCGTGTCGCTCCACGACCTGAAAACAGGCAGCAGTGACTGAGAATTAGGAGTGTGTGTGTGTGTGTGTGTGTGTGCTGGAGGTGTAGTGAGAGCCAACGGGAAGAACGTACACAACCCGGCTGGAGAAGCAGTGCGATGGAGGCGTGAAGAGTTAGTAGTGAGAGGGAAGTTGTTAGTGAGTCGCGTCTAAAGTTTCACCTCTTCCACTCGGTTAACTTAAAGAGAAGAAGGCTTTAGGCTATAGAAAAATAAGGACCAACTACTGTTTTTTAATGTTACGACCTGCTTTGCACCCAGATCGGCAGTGAGAGTAGGTCCTTACTGTCCCTTTAAAAGGGTTTAAAGAACGTTAAAAGTTGAGTAAAGGTTATTTGCTTAAAACACAAATGAAGTCTTTGTAATTTGCTTAAAACACAAATCCAGTCTTTGTTTGGAACGTGCTCAAGCCGTTGGTTGTTTTTTGGTTTGGCCGCTGAGCGGAGTCGAGGTGGGACTTTAGCTACTTAACTCATGGATAAATAAAAATAAAACAATAAAGAGAAATAAACCATGATTAACAACATTCTTGCCTCAGATATTCCAGTAAAAAACAAACCTCACTCTACATCACATTCAGCCTCATATCTTCACTTTCTACTAGAAAAACAGGTGAACCATTTTCCTACACATTTGCATACAGTACAAAATCCATGATACAACGTGTATTCTGTATGGAACCCTTTCTTCTATCAGCTCAGCAAGCTGGAACTCCTTCCATAATAACTAGTTGTGGACATAACTAGTCCACAACCCAACTTGCCACTGTTCCATGGGCAACTAGCAGAACCAGCATGCTGCCCCCCCTCATCCCCGCCCCCCCCCCCCCCCGGGATCACAGTGACCGCATGACGCCAGCAGTCGAGCCTGAACCGTCCTGTAGAGGAACACGGCGAGAGGAAGACCCACCCCCCCCCCCACCCTCACACACACACGTCCTTTTGCTTTTCTTAATGTCCGCTGAGTAATTCACGCGACCTTTAACTGGACGCTGCCGTCACTGATGAAGACAACCGTTTTAAAGACGTGGTAAACATGGCCGCCGGCTGATGACTCCAGTGGTTTGACTGGAGGTCACGCTCACATGCCTACATGCCGTTCTCCATCTCAGAACACGCCTCGCACACGTCAACACTCGATAAGCCGGGGGGGGGGGGGGGTCTATGAATAATTCATTAAAAAGTTTGAACGACATTATGCAGATTTTACAGAGGACAAGGACACAGACAGAGGACAGAGGACAAGGACATGTGACACGTACAGGTTTACGTCGTATACAAAGTACCAAAGGCTACAGCTGCCCCCATGCAACAAGACAGAGTTTGGGAATTCTGGTTTTGTAGCTGGAAGTGGACACGATGGTGACGTCATGGAAATGAAAGTGGTGGAGAAGTTTGACTCCACCCCTCCAGAACAGTCCTGGTTATAAAACGAGCATCACAGTTGGCCTCTTGCTCTCAGAAGCATATATAAGGCTTCAGGATCCAGCAGCACACAAAAAAACTACGCTTCCCAGCAGCCTCTCTGGTTTCGGGTTCCCTTGAGGTGAGATGTCAGCTGAGTTTCTAACCAAGATTTTAATGTCTAAATAAACATGAAGTGAGAGAAACACATGGCAGCATTTACTCTAAATTCTAAGGTTCAATGAACTGCTAAATCCTCACGTAGCGTCCTTCAAGTGGCCTCCTAATCATGTCCAAATATCTACCTTTTACGTTTAACGATTTAAAAGCCGGCGTGAAATCGGCTTAATTCTAATGGAGATGCAGCGGCCCGGTCATGTAGCTCGTTTAATATGAAAACTACATCTTTGACTCCCGACATTTGTCTAACGGTCCTGTTTTCTTTTCGCCCCTCGCCATAAATCAGCAACGGCGAGCATTCAGCAGCCAGCTGAGGTCAGGCTCCCAGTATATAAAAGTTAAATACATTATGCATCCCAGAAGCTTGTAAATATGCTTAAATACGTCCGTTCCAGTCTAAATGATGTAATGTGGGACTGGATACATTCGCTTCCTTTATGGCAGTTTTCTAGCATTAAGGCAAAGATCAAATGTGGGAGTCTGTCATCATGGTTTGCGTTTTGAATTTCCTTAAATCCAGAAGGTGAAGAAGAAGAAAGGTGCGGGAGAGACAGGTGAGGGTTTGAGAAAGGGGGTAAGGAAGTAGGGAGCCGTGGGAAGAAGGAAAGGACAGTTGACAGCAAGGGAAGGAGCAACAGAGGATACAAAAGTTAAACCTTCATATTCAGCCCCATCATTTGTTGTGTATCACTTTGTGAAGTTACAGTACGACGCACACAAGCACAGCTGTTCACTGCTGGCCGTTGTTGATCCTTCGGGGGGGGAACAGATTGCTGCCAGCGCACTTCAAGAAACGTCCAATCGGCTGCTTGGTGCCAAGGTCAGAAAACAGATCACGGGAAGAAATGAATCTAGATTGAATCAGGCGTCTATTGACCCTGCAGACAAGAGAATACGTTTCCTCTCTTTCAGCAAAGAGACCCAGACAACAACAAAAGGAAATGGATCATTTCCCAAAGCAAACCGTGAGCACCTGATGAACACTGAGGAGCCCACATATGAGAAGGGATTATTCTTATGAGACTGCTGTGACGGGATGACACAAACCACTCGACCACACACAGTCTGCAGGTCTGTCCAGAGGGGCTGCAGGGAGGAGCCGCGCATCCATTACTTCACCTGCACGCGGCCATTACTGCTGCAAACAGAAGTTTGCAGTCACACACACACACACACACACACACACACACACACACCCACCCACCCCCCCACCCACACACCTTTTGGTATTGCTGCGATATATACAGAGAGTCCCAATCGGTTTAGGCGGAGAAGTCATCGCTCAGCGCAGAGGAACGATCCGCTCGATGAATCGAAGGGATTCACTCAAAACACAATAACACTGAAGCTGCAATAAATGTTGGTTATTGATGTTTTATCCTCCTTCATCACAAAGTGAAGCTACAGCAGATAAGAGCGCTTATCTGCACTTATTGAGAGCCCCCTTTGTGCGATTGAGTGACATGTGACGTGGCCGCTTCCATTTAGCGCCCGGGGCAGCTGGAAAGCGGGGTCTTATGCTTATGAAGCACTTCCATATCCACTAGAGATGTACTGGCACAGATTCGGTGATGCTCGTACAGCTGTGGCATTATGTGGCAACCAAACGCTGTAGAGACATCTGTTAAAGTGCATTGCACATTAGGCGGTTCTCCTTGAAAACCGGCTAATGAGAACATTAAATAGATTTGAGGGAGTATCAACCAGAAACGGACAGGACAACGGATCATAGCATAGATAGAAAGGACATAGACACGTGAGCTTGAGGACGGACACACAGGACAGCTTACATGGTGTAACACACAAAGCCAGTGACATCCATTGCAGTGCATGCTACTCTGTGAGGCTGCTTACAAGGTGTCCGGTACATTTCTGACGGCACAGCACAGTCGATGTGCGATTAAGCTCGTCCTAATCCAAATAGTTAGGCCCCAGACTTTCATATCAATAAGAGAGCAGTCCATAACGGCTTGATCCACACATCTTCAACTTGCTCGCTGTTCTTCTTCCGCCCTAAAACCAGGCATCACGACCTTCTCAAACCCTTCCCACCACCGTACGCGCAACGGACGTGACGTTTCCGACACCAAGAGGCGTTCCGCTCGTGGTTTGTGGCCATTATCCTCCCCACCTGTTGCTGCGGCTGGAAGCGTGGCAGTGGCTGCCGCCGGCCCCGGTCACCTGCTCCAGGAGGCTGGCCAGGCGGGAGCAGCCGCTCTGCCCGTGTTGGTAGCAGCACAGGGACTCCACACAGCTGAGGGTCGGCGTCTGGGGGGACGATAGAGACTGGAGGGAAGGGGGTGAAGGGGGGAGCAGGAGAAGGAAAAGGGTAGTGGGAGCAGTTGGTGGCATGGAGAGAAAGAGCAAGGAAACAGGACAAAGGGGGGAAAGACAGAAATAGGGAAAGAGGGAAAAAAAGACAAAATGAATATCGAAAAGCGGGTTTGCTGTCACATTCTGAGAGGATAATGGATGACTGCAGGATGAATTATTGCATGCTAGCACAGGAAGAATGATGAACAGGGAAAATATTAAAAACATGCCACACAAGGGGCTGAAATGTAAATATATAAACAACAAAATACAACAAAATCAAAAACATGTATGTTTAGAGCGGTTGTAGAGCATTCAGATATATTCCCTTAACTTAAATTTGAGACCGGATTAAATCTTTTTACGTAGTGAAAGCCCCAGAGCCGTCGTATGGAATGGATCAGTACGCCTGGCAGCGTCATCATCTATCCTGATTGTTATTTCATACAAGAAATTCACATTATAGTTGACAACAAAGAACCTCCATTGTCTAAACAAACGCAGAGAGAGAGAGAGAGACAGAGACAGAGAATGAGAGAGACAGAGACAGAGACAGAGAGAGAGAGAGAGAGAGAGAGGGACAGTTCGGTGGGGAGGAGCAGCGAGACGGACGCAGTGTGCGCTTACACTAATGTAGGTGGCCTCCTGTGGGACACTTTAAGATGAAATAGAACTTTGTAGAACTCATCATAGAGGGGCAATTTAAGTCTAGATTAACCTCTGACTACCTTCAGTGGCCCACAGTGACGATGAATAAAGCTTCCATTTGGACTTTTTGCCGTTATCAATTGCAGGCGATGAAGATGAAGTCATATCAGCATAAGGAGAGCCAGGTTTACCCTAAAATGCTTGAAGATCCGGCCATTTCAAAACATAGAAATAATGTCTGCACTCCCACATTGTATCACTTGACGTGGTCGTCTGTGTCGTAGCCCGGTTTAGTCCCGCGTGTGCCTTCTATATCCACAGAGCGGCCCAGGGCGACGTTGCTGCTGTTGCATTCCTCTGCAGCAGAAATTGGAGACGCTGTTGGCGTGAAACCAAACTTCTGCTTCTTGGCAAGCAACAGCAGAACAGAGACAAGGCCGTGGGATTTATTCTGGCAAGGTCAGGTGCTGCCGGATAAGAAATGTGTTTCTTGTCATTAATCAGAATTTGTCTCCTTTCGGACGTGTTCTTGTATCACAGCACTCCGCATTTGAGCAAAGAGAAAAGTTGTGGGCTGTAATTAATTATTCAACACACAGTTGCATCCAAAGTACAATAAAACAATTACAGCAAGACGGAGGAAATTGCCCATACTAATGTATCCCAGCCGTGTTAATCCATTAATCTATATTGGAACCACCATGTGACCATGGCAGGCTCTTAAGATTATTGATTTAACTTATTCCACCGACCATCAATCTGCAGTATCATCGCACGGCTCGCGCCACACTGTTAAGTCCTTTTGTTCTAGAGAAGCAGCGGCCACCCGACGCCCAGAGGCCAAACCTTCAGATGGAGCTAGTTAATGTGTGACATCCTCCCATGTAGCACAACCATCGGCCTAAGAAAGTATAATCATCTTCTGTTTATGGTTGATTTATGGTGCTCATGAAAAAAAAAACACCGTAAACACAAAATATGAGATAACAAACACTCACAGGGGGACAATGGTACATAATGCAGGCTTCAACATGGAGCATTATTTTAGAGGGATGTGATGAATGGACACATTTACAGCAAGGACAATGAAATTAGCATGCCAACAGCATTCTCTCTCTGGACTCTGGTCCACATGTGATCATGAGTGGTGAACTGAGAGCACAACAACAAAAGGAAAGGGGCGCTCATGGTTTGCTCGGTGAGGTCGGGGGTCAGTCATATCCGCGTAGGGGAGGGATAAGATCATTCATTACACAGGGTGTGTGAGGGAGTTGGTCGAGCCAGTCATACAGGAGACAGAGCCCAGGAATAGTATTTGGAACAAAAATGAACTAAAAAGGGCAGTGTGACATATAGCCGTGGGTGAGCAGGTGGTTTTCACCCAATAGAAGGACATAGAGAGGACGATGGGGGGTGAAGCATGGTACTACCTAGGGGAGCAGGGGTCTGGGCCGGGAGGCAGCGGGGGGAGGATAAGCAGCTAGCAGGTGCCAATTGTCCTCCCCTGGGCTCCGCTGGGCTTTAACAGGGTCACATTCTGGGCCGACTGAACCCTCACCCTCTTCCATCTGGGGGACACAAGACGCTCACAGTGAGCCCCGCTGGCCGGTCAAACCGCTCGTCAGTCAGCCGGGGTCGGACTGTCGGGCTGACGCGTCACAATGCCAACATATCCAGAGCAGCCTCCATGCGAATATTCATTCTTGTGTATGTATGAGCGAGATTTTAAATGATTTTTAAATGAATCTCTTTACGTGTCATATTGTTTTTGTGATTCAAGACCAATTGATTGTGGATACTGTGGATGTGTGTTGTTTTTTTTTTTGTTGCTTGATTACCAACCAGCAGAGAAATCGCTGGGTCAGTAAGCGAGCAGTCGGCGAGGCAGTCCAGGCTGCACTGCAGGGAGGCCCCACGCTCATATACACGTATACATACAGCATATCGCGGTCAAACAGACGCCGGTCCTCATCCTCAAACCCTTCCCATGTGACCTCACCGGCATCCAACTACAGCCGCAAATTTGTGGACCACGATGCGAATAAGAGCCGCTGCTTCCTGCGGTCTGAGGCGAGACAGACGTGCATCCCAGGTGTCTTTTCCCTGCTGCAGATCTTAAACTCGTCCTAATTGGCACTGTGGACAGTCATACACAACTGAACGGGTCCTTCAGCAAGTTTGAATGGGGGCTGATGAGGTCACCGGAGGAGGGCTTTAATTTGTCATAAAAGCAGAGGCAACTGAATACAGAAAGATGCTGCAGGCACAGAATCCATTTCTCAGGGGAAACGCATCCTTCTAGAGCTGATAAGAGCAAATCTATTAGTTACCAAACCAATTAACCTGCTGGTGAATCTATCAGCGCTACAGATGAGGCAAACAAGAAAAAACCCAAGAGATCCCTTTTTGTTCCTTGGCAATTACCTCCTTCCAATCTAATTAAGGAAAAACTATTTCTAAAGAACTTAATACATTGCATTATTCATCATACATAAATGAATACACACTTTGATTTTGAGCTCAGTAAGAGCACCGTGTGCATTTCTACTAGTTCCACAAATAAATCCCTCAAACTAAGGAAATAGCATCTATTTTGCAGTGTGCTCCCCCCCCATGATGGTCAATCTACAGCCGGCTTCTGCTCATTCATTTGGAGGATGGGATCGGCCTTTTCTATATTGATTGTGACTCCCTAAATTACTAAAAGTAATTAGTGCAGGTAATCCTATCTTAGAATAAAAGAAAACTATTCTATCCGTGATTCATTTGACAATAGTCAGTTCAATATCAATTAAATGATCGAGGAATATACATCATTTGTATCTTCTTAGTAAGGGACGGATCTTTTGTGTTTAAAACAAATACCTATTAGCATTCCTAACAAGTGCTGCTTAAGCTGCAGATAAGCATGATGCACGCAAAAGCCTTGGAAAGAAATGACCATATAAGGGCTGTAAATAGCACTTATTTTATATTTTTTTAGATCCGAGAGACCAGTCGTGTTAAAAATACTAGTTTTATCCGACCAGCAATGTAGAATGCAAATGTATTCAATTTACTCTCATGCATGACAAAGCATCAACATTTTTGGGGGAAAAAGAATATTTGGCTCGAATGAGGAAACAATTACTGGATTATCATACTAATTGCTGATTGTTTTTCTGTCAACAGATCAATGAATTGTTCAACCAAAACTATAAACACATGCAGATATTAGAATAGTAACCATATATATTTTTACATATCTTAAAATGAAGACATTTGCATGTTCACTAGTCAACAGTCTGTCACACTATTGTTAGCCTTTAGTTTATAGTTCTATCTGCTATGACAGCACAAGATCTTTAAGTCAACGGACTAAAACAGCCATGATAAAAGCCCGAGGGTCTGTCATGATCAGCCCGTCATGCAGCTGTGGGGGGGCTGTAGTGGTCTGGGTCCACTACAGCCATGCAGGTGGGCTGAACACCGTCTGACGCGATGCGTAGGGGACGGATCAAAAGGGGGGCGTTGTCATGGACTGCACCGTGCAAAACTTTCATACGAGTGCGACATGCCAGACGGAGGTTGTGTGACAGGAGGGCGAGCCGGTGGTCGGCACTGTGGGACCAACGCAGATGCAGGATCTCAGTCAGAACGACTCGGGACCCCAAATTGTCGCCGAATGACACTGTGGCTTTAACGATATCGTGAGTTTAAGGGCACTCATTCATTCCATCGCTCTTTCATCCGTTTGTTCATGCAGTGGGGGGTGGGGCGGTGGGGATGGGGTGGTGGACGGGTTTGGGAGAGGGGGGGGGCGCGGTAATGGCAGTCACATGCTTGAGCAGGCGCGAGTGGTGGACGTCTGAGATCACATTCTCTACGTTAGCCACTCACTAAAATGCAATGGGTGCGGTGGGTGAAATGCTTAGTTTAAAATACTTCTGCATCATCGCCTGGCCCCACGAAGCCCCCAATTACAGTTAATGCACCGCCTCACCCCGATCCCAAAGAATGCTGATTGGCTGATTCAGGGCATGCAGTGACAGATAAAAGAGGGGCACAACTGTTCCAACATGTCAGCACACATCCTGGCAGTCAGTGTACTGCCGTGTTGAAAACAGCCCTCAGTGGGACTAAGTCAGGTCCCATTTCACTACGGTTTGGATGACCCTAAACAGGAGCACTTGTTTCCTAAAGCAATATTCATTTCAAGATGAGGTTCATGCCAAGTGTAAATACACTTTAAACACTTGGTTTTGTATCTAACCCAAGTATCTAACCCTCCGACTAAAGACTTTTAAATATATTCTAAATACCATCTGCCATAATATTGAGACCATTTTTGACCATACATAGTTAATGGCTAAATGGTTAAAGTCTGGCACGTGTGTTAAAAGAGAACGGCAAATCACAAACACACAGATGCATCTCCAAACTGATAATGTATAAATATTGCTTTCGCACAAAGCACTCCTGGGATACTGGTTCTATACGAATTGATTGCATTAAGTTCATTTAAGCCCAGGTCTGAAACCAGGTCTCATCTCCTCTACCTAATTTTGCCCAGCTGGCTCTTGGCTCTGGATAGAGGCTGCAGAGCGATGAAGTCATCACCTATCGCCACGTGGTTGGAATACATCTACACCAGGAGAATACACAGAGAGGATAGGAGGAAGAACACACACACACACACACACACACACACACGTTAGAACTCGAGCTTGCATACACACATTTCAACAGAATGTGTAGTTTACCAACGTTCAGAATCACACACACGGAGACAAAATGGGACAAAGGTTAGAGCAGAAACAACACACAGCACATAGGAGTGGAAACGGCAGCTCATTTTCTTCTGAGAAACAGGAAGGAAGGAAAAGATAAAACATAAACCATCTCCGGCTGGACAAATCAATACTTTGACAGCGTGGGTCTGCTGAGAGGTGACCGGGCACACTGTGTTCTGTGTGTATCGATCAGAAAGAAGTCCTGCCGAGTGTTTGTGCCCAACACCCTCCCTGTACTATAAAGACGTGTGTTAGTCTTGCGGTTTAGAAGATAAAGACACTATTTTACAATTTAAGGCAATGTCTGTTCTCCCGGGGTCTGAATTTGAGTCACCTCGACATTTACTCGTTTCCTGCCTCCCAACTCTTGTACCATTACAAGAAACGTGATTCCATTTGTCTCAAACAAGTAGAACCGCCAACATTGGAGATAATTGACAGGTTTGCCTTCCCTTTGGAATTTTACCTTTGAGCATTTAGACTGTGCTAAAAAAAACAGACTTTAAAAATGATTTTTAGCTATTTTTACCTAAAACCCTTGGTATGACTATCATACAGTTGATACAGATACAGATAATGAATTAGGGGTTTGTTATGAGGAACACACTTTCAAATACACTGCAGCAGTTTGTGTTCCACTTTAGAGGAAGTGTGCAGGTCCTCCCCATGTTACCTGACTCTTCTGTGTGCTGGTGGGCTGCAGATGTCGATAGAAGACCTTCTTCACCACGTCAGGAAAGAGGCAAGTTATGATGATGATGATGATGGCAAACCAGGCTGAGCCGCTGGACAGCAGCTGCACGAACACAAAGTACATGTCCTGGGTGTGGAGGAAAGGCCTGGAGAGAGCGGAAGGGACACAACGGTTACATAATTCAGGAGAAAGCATTTTTTCATATGCTTCCCTTTCGTGGTTGTTAGCATCAATAAACCAGCAGCCTGGCTCTGTGCGCTCAGCCTTCACCGGCAGATGGAGTCTTGCTCTTAGTTTTGCCCGTTTAATCTTTTAATATATATATAAAACAACTTGATGGACTTAAAAGAAGTATGTTTGTCTGCGAGTTGTCACATATTACGAACAAAGAAGAATATTGAGCAATATCAACGTGTTGATTCAACGTTTTCAATTTCACAGGAGGGCCACCGCTTCCATCCACTGCAATTCTTTCTGGATTGAGCAGAGACACGTTGCACCGTTGCCAAGCATTTTCTACCAGTGTACAACATAAAATGAACTTTTAAGAACTTCTTACCAGATGATGCCTCCGTAGAAGAGAGAGAATATGAAGTAGAAGGCAATAGAACCCCACGTCACAAAATGGTTCATCCACGTCCAGAAGTGAGTCTCCAAGGCAAGCTGTTATCACACACAAACACAGACATGAGAGAAAAGGAAAGCTAGATGCAAAACGCCCCACGAGGACAGTGATGGCATCAATAAACCGAGGGAAGCAGTCTGCCTCTGTGCTGTGAAAGAGACCTCGACCCGGCCTGTGACACAACGCTCTCTGCTAATGGCCCCTGACATCATAGGTGCATTACAAAATATGCCCCATTTCATATTTGGGACTGTGGCCTTCCAGTGTTGTCCTTGTTGAACCAAAATATATGGCTGACCTCATACATATGGAACATGAAAGAAACATCTGCTTTCATCTTACTTTTGTTTTGTGCTGGAATCAGTTGACCGTATCCGACATGCTACACATGCTTGACTTCTTATTTTACCAGCTATTTACTGGCTAGTTTTCTGAAATGGTTGAAACCAAACACTCTCTACAATAATATTACTCTGTCACAATATAAGAAATTATATTGTAATTAACAGTATTTTACTAAAGTAACATTATGTTGGAAATAAATGCCGTGATAAAATTAAATTTTTGCCATGAATAGCCAATACCATTAAGAAAAGTTCAGAGCTCAATACATTGGCTATAATTTACCTTTATCGTGACTGGGATGACCCATCCCGGTAAAAGACCAGCGTCCCAAATATCCAGTTTCCAAATATCTATAAAGGCTGCGTAATATATTACTTACACGGTCAACGTTATCAAGTATGACATTAAAAAAAAAGGTATTCACATGCATGATCCCATTCCAACAAGCAATATACCAACACTATAATATCACGTTGCTGTACACGATAGAGAAGAGCTCAGCGTGGACAAGGACTACGGGGGGACGTTGCTGCTCTCTTGGCAGCAAATTCAGGACCCTGCTGGAAACCTAACACTCAAAATGTGAATCCTCAATGCAGCAAAAAACTAAGTGTAAAAAAATGACCTCAGACGAGCCAGTGTGGATGGATACAATTACAACACATCTGTTCCGTGAGAAAGAAAATCGCTCTCAGTTTCCACTACAACTTTATTTTACACTGAAAGTTTCTTTTACTGGAATCCTCTTGATCTTCTCACCAGATACTTTTTAATCAGCTCTACATTTCAACCTACCATTGAGGATTCAGAAGACCCTTTTGTTAAGCCTTGTGCATTATCCAGATTTGCCATAATCAGTGTACAAACTGTCCCGTTGTGGTGACGCTGCAGCGGCGCCTGTTCAAAGCGGCTTGACCAGAACAAGTGCTTTGCATTGAGTGTTGCTACGTGAAGCTTTACTGAGAACCGCTCACTCAAAATAACTAACTAACCCACTGGACTCTGTCCTTTCTTCCGTATGAGTAGTGCACCCGCAACGACAGTCGCAGCACGCACCCGGCTACGGTCAGAAACACCAGTGAAATACAGTCACAGGTTCACAGAAAAAAAAAACTCAGCAGGGGGGGGGGGCAGACTTTACCACTCAAAGTGGTCGACCTGGGCCACACAAAAAAGGCCCCAAACAGCCGTAGATTTATTGTGTCTACATGTGAAAATAGAGAACTGTTATACCATTAAAAGAAGGAATTAACTTAATACTACTGCATACTACTACTTTACTGAGTGACTTTCAAGAAAAGGAGGAATTAAAACTGATGCTATTAATTAACCATTAAGCTTCAATGAGCAAATGCAAGTCTTATAAATGCTGTCATGTGTTCAAAGTAATATTGGTGCCGATGGAAAAAGAGTTACTAGTGTCGGACTTAGGTCTAAAAAAATCATCCTGTTATGCAAGTGAAAAATATGTTCAGCAGCAATCCTGACGGACCTCTTATTAACCCCCCAAGGACACACACACATTAAACCGTAGAGCAGACTCTTACCAGCTGCCTGTTAGCTCGCAAGATCTGAAGACATGCACAGCGTGAAGGCAGAAGAAAAAAGAGAAATCAAAAAAAGATAGACAAGCGAGAGGGAGAGCAAAAGGAGTCAGTGCTTCCTGAAATATCAAACTTCAAACGGATAGACAGACGCCATAGATATGCAGCACAAAAAGAAACGGAAGGAAACAGATTTGGTGAAAAACCAAGGAGAGAAACAGAGGATATGATAAGATTACTATAGCGTACTCATCAACAAGTGGATGACACAGTGATAGACAAACAGACTGTACACAAAGCGGTAAAAAAAAAAAAAAAAAAAAAAAAAAAGGACCACTCATTCTGACAAGCACACATTTGGTTTGAACTGATCACTTATTTCAGGAAGCAACATTCACACTCACTTGTCCGTTGCCCATAAGCGATGTGTCCTCCCCCATCAGGATGTAGGAGCCAAAGAAGAAGATGAAGGCGTGACAGAATCCCAACAAAGTCCAGTAGAGGAACGTGCGGAAGGACAGCAGAGAATTCTTGCTGATGTCCCTGTAGGATAAAAGTTGGGCTTTTTTGCATTTGTTGGTGCGTGTAATTTATCAAAAGCAATGTTGTACTTCACTATAAAAGTTAATCATGCTAGTTTACATTGTGATTACAGGCTAAGTATTGCGCAGACGGCAACAAAGCATAACAAAGTAACTGCATTGATGGACATGGAGATTTCTTTTTAATATAAGAAAGCGTTCCACAAGCGTTTAATGTTGCATCCACAGAGGTCGCACACAGATTCCATGTCAACGTACCTGTACAGGCCAGGTTTGTTCTGCAGGACGTGTGGATGGACCAGCTGTTCAAACAGACTATACACCAGGATGGGCAGCGAGGTGAAGCAGATGTTGTACAGCGTCAGGTAAACGCTGTCATACAGAGTCTGGGGTGGACACAGAGCGCATTCAACTCAACACCAACTGACGTGAGCAAATTGCCTACCGAGAGCCGTGGCGGTGCCACACACGACAACAGGGCAGAAAAGAATGGACGTTATTTCTTGGAGTCAACGCAACTTTTGCCTTGTACCAAAGTGATAACCTTAATAGCAGACGGAAGATTTGGCAGCAGGCGTAATGTGAATGATATCAGAAAGAGGTGGTAAGATCCGCTGATTAAATGTTCAAACAACTATTAATGGTTCAAAGTATTTAGCCGAAATGTCAAATGTCAATGAAGTTCTGGCCTGTTGAGAATTTTGATAACAATATCAAATTAAAAACATAATTAAAAGTGGGTATTGAGATTTTTGAAAAGAAAGCTTCTGGTATAATTAAGGCGGTATTATATGTAGTCGACGACATTAAAGCCACAAACAACTTCACAAGGATATAAATGAGAGAGAGAGAAGCGATGGAGATAAGACACTTACTTGTTGTGAAAACAGACAGAAGAACTGGTATAAAAACTGTGGCGTGATAAAACACACATTCTAGAAGAGACAAGAGTGAAGAAACAAAATATGAAATATTTGATTTTAAAGGACACTTTAGGATTTAAATGTCCTTGATCTTAAGACTTATGCTACCAGTATTGTTCAAAACCATTGATTGTCATTTATTATGCATTCTCTTTCTTTTATTTTCTTAAGGGAATGTGTAGATAAGGTTAAGTTACTCACCTTGTAGAAAAAGTACTGTACAAGCGTAGCTATTCTAATGTAGTAGAAGTGACCGTGGACCAGCAAAAGTTTTGCCAGGAACTTAAACCTGGCGATTGCATAGTCACTGTTTCTCACGGCCTGACGACCCTCCTTTCCCATTATACCTGAAGACGCATGCACACATAGACACGTTGGAGAAACCACTGCAGAATACACATCTTAAGAGACCATATTGTGTGTGTGTGTGTGTGTGTGTGTTTACCGATGCCCACGTGAGCTTCCTGTATCATACTGACATCATTTGCTCCATCCCCAATCGCCAGAGTGATGGGTTTCTCTGGGGAGGTTTTCCAAAGACGCACCACCTGGACAGGAAGAAGTAACAATGACTTCTGGACAGTCTGAGGGTAATGCACTTTGGTCTGTGTGTGTGTGTTTGGCCGAGCACTGGTACCTTAGCTTTCTGCAGCGGGGCCATGCGGCAGCAGAGCACAGCTGAACAGTTTTTACACACTTCCATAAAGAGCTTCTCGTGTTCCCTTAAGGCTAAAGACAGACTGGCCCCGTCCACGACCAGCCCGTGCTGTATGACATGGTCCTCGTTTATCCTGGAGAGAAAAAGTGTCCAATTAAAACCAAACTTAGTCTAAAGGTTAGCTCCGTTCTTCACAGAAAACAGAGATACGCCGTGTATATTCTCTGGTCTAAATGGGGATGGGAAACACTCACCTCCTGGCCAGTCTGCGAAGCTGCTCAGCACAATCGTTGTCAGAGCGTTGCTGCAGAAGCTCCAGGATGTTCATGGTTCGGTGGAAGTGGCCACAGGACAGGCTGACGCTGACCGCCGTCTCGTGTTTGTCTCCCGTCAGCACCCATACCTTGATCCCCGCCAGCCGCAGAGCCTCAATGGTCTCCTGGACTTTATCTTGGAGTCTGGGAGAGAGAGAGAGAGAAAGAGAGAGAGAGAGAAAAGCAAGGAATATAATTCATGTACTCCTCTTATATGCATTGTATATGCAGAGATTGCAGTAGTCCCTACGTGTAATTAGATTAGATCATTCCCCGGGTAGCAAATGACTAAAGGACATTTCCTTCTTGTCATTAAAGCCAACTAGCATTTAACCTGATGTTTTATTGCTAGGAATGCAATGTGATCAAGCCACCGAGGCTTGCAAGTGAACTACAGTGGGAATAGTTTAATCTATTAGAGAATTGGCAAGGACACTTCGTTTCTCAGAGCTTCTTTAAATCAGATGGGTAAAGTCTGAAAGTACGGGGAAATGTCTTCAACAGCAACAAGCAAAACTAAAAGTTCATTATCATGTCATTCATTCATCCCCAACGAGAGGAAGAGGTGTGGAAAACCCCCCAAAACAAGCAGCGGTTGGGGGATGTGAGAGAGAGAGTTCTATACGCTTCATGTGCTGCAGCCATTAAGCAGCTGGCGCAGTTCACAGGTTATCATAGCAGGCATATGTTAAGCAGCAGATGGGGCAGGGAGACGGGCCGGGCAGGTGACCAGGGGGTAATAAAACAAACTCCTCTCTCTGCCCACACGGGACAGAACTGCCTCAACGCCAACGACCACAAGCAAGTTTGGCCCCAAATGCTTTATTAAAGGGACACTTGATGCTTAAAATGTAAATCTGCCCCCCGTGTCTCCTGGGTCGCCACAGAGGGTAAAGCGGTCTCTGACATTGGGCAGCACTGAACATTTAAAGACTTCTATTATCCGATGTCTGACCCGGGTTCATGATAAGAGGTTAAAAGACAGTATATGATACAACATGACCGCGCGCCTGCCAGCATTACACTATTCATATGAAACAGACATTAATGTCCCGTCTTCCGTGACCGAGGAAATCTTCTGATTGTGTCCATGTGTTCCAGAAAAAGAGCAGCAGAAAGAGGGTGAAGAGAGGCTAATGTGTGAAGCAGATGGTGAGGGGATGCAAACTCGTATCAACATTCATTTGCAGAGTGACTCAGTGGGGCGACGTCTTTATCCACGCAGATTTTCACGTCCACTGTGCTTCTTTCTGTTGTGAACGAGTCATATTTTTGAACTAATGTGAATTTAACAGTTACTTCCTGCAACATAATAATCTTTGGATTGATTATCTATCATTTGTGTAGCTCAGACACACTCATCTTTATTGAGTAGAGTAATATAACATTTCACAAGCCTCACTGACTCTGGAGCCATTAAAAAGTATCTATACCAAGATGCTCACAATGACAAAGCCAACATGCAGATGTATGGATTCAAGTTCCACAGTCTAGCAAGTTAGCATGCTAACCTTTTCTAATTAGTACCAATAGCATTTGAGGCCAATGAAAATATAATTAGTTTTGCAGGTATGGTCATAAACTAAAACTAAGTTTTGAAAAAACGGTCTTTAAAAAAAAAAAAAATTGCAAACGTTTTTTAGCCTGATAAAAATCAGACGTTATTAGATTTACCTTCAGGGATTTTGATGAATTCATTTCACACACAAAAAAATATAAAATACCGTCATTAGCCGAAAGGCCAGGGCCCTCATTTATAAAACCTTGCGTAAGATTTGCGCCAGAAGTGGCGTACGGATGAAACGTAGGAAATATTCAGACTTATAAATCACTTCTAAACGCAGCGCAGCTTTTGCGGCTTCATGTCACGCCCATAGTTGCCCATATATAGTCTGTGGAACGCCCACAAATTAATATTCATCGATTGCGAAATCATGGCAAAGACTGAGAGGAAAACGAAGAAAGGTAACTTCACTCAGTGTGAAGTCGAAATGATCATTGTCGAGGTGGAAAGGAGAAGTAAAACGCTCTTTGGAGGGCACAGTGTGGACATCAATAATGCCAAAAAGGCACTTGAGTTGAGAACGCTGCAGCCTCACAACCTCGGACCGTGGCCGAAATAAAGAAAAAATGGTCTGACATCAAAGTGGATGCAAAAAAGCGTTTAGCGCGCCATCGCCAAAGTGTGTCTGCCCGGGATGGGGAAAGGGGACACCGGAGCTGTCCCCTCTTGATGAGAGACTGGCGGCATTGATTGGGGATCGGGGACAGGGTCTGGGCCGACATCGGCGTCAGGGGGGGTCCATGTTTCGAAGCTGTGCCACATTATGTAACACAGCACATGCCAGCACGATTTTGCACACCTTTTCAGGAGTAGACAATAACCTCCCTCCAGTGCAACCGAGGCATCTGCCCTTAAACAGGCCGATGGTGCGCTGCACTACAGCGCGAATCCTTCCATATGTCACATCTTCTAAGAGCGCAAGATCAGCCATTTGGCGTCATTACGCATTGTGACGGCATTGTGGCATTTTATTACCGTCCATTTGATTGCATCTGACAAGCAACAGCTGTGTTTTGAGGATGAATTGCATAACATGCCAATATTATTGCAGAACAGATTTCACTTTTCTTTTTGAAAATGTGTTAATTTGTATTTCTGTTTGTTTTACGCTGCAGAGCGATCAAACGGGTGTTTGTGTTATTTATGAGAGGCAGTATTGGCATTTGTTCTACACAACAGTCTAGTTTTACACAATTTCACACACGTTTGTGTGTTTCTTGCATTTGCCAACGGTTCTCATTTCACCCGTTTTTGTGCGTACGCATGGGTCCGAGCTTGCGTGAAGGGCCGCACATTTTTCCATCAAGTTTGCTTTTTATAAATACCAATTACTGCGTAGAGAGCGACGTACGCCTTCTTTTGCGATCACGAGATCACAAGGCTGAGGACCACAAACGATCACCAGAATCATGCTCATCTATCAGTGTGTGTTTAGATATTTCATTCTGGATGAAAGAAAAGAGTGGAGCAACCTTCATTGCCAACCGTTCAGCCGCAATGGCTTTAAAAACACAGAAGATGAATGCTGAATAAATAAAACATGTTTTATCTGAACAACTATATGTTAATAACTTACTGCCACTGGCAGGACATGAATACAAAAAAAAACGTTTCAGAAGTTGACCTCGTACTGTATGTTGAACTCAGCCGCTGAAGTGACTTCCAGATGATATGGAGTCAAACTAAACTATTCACTGGCTTAAACTACGTGAAAGACGTCGTACACATTCAGGGATTAGAACTAGTTTTTTGGAGGGAACAATAGCAATATAGACAAATGCATCAGTCAGTGTCCTTACTTGTCCTCAACCCCCGTTGCTCCCAGCAGCTGCAGGTCTCTCTCGATGTAGTTAAAGGCCTCTTGCAGTTTCTCCTCCCTCTGCTGCAGCGCGGTGCGAGCAGCGCTCAGATGCTTGTCCACGTCGGCGTACTCCTCTGGGCTGAAGTGCCGACATGCGACAACTAAGGTCCGCAGACCTTTCTATAGTCCGAGGGGGAGAGAAGAAACAACGAGACACGAGTCAGAATATAGGAAATACTAAAGAAAACACAAGATACAGAAAGATGTTCTGATCGAGGTACCAATGCAAGATCGGTAAACATGTGTAAGACAAGAGGATACGGACAAGAAGAGACGGAAACAAAGCTTTTAATCAGCCTTTTATCAGCGCTTGGCTCCAAATCGCAAGAGCCAGCCTGGGGGGAGAACACGACCACAAATCAACTCCGTATAGAGCCCCGACTCCTGGGCACTGACGTCCGATGGTATGATCTAGGGGCAGTGTGTGTGTACGTGTACGCACGCACGCTGTGATGAGATTTACCGTCTAATGGGAACACGGAGCTCCAGAGCCAAAAGTAATCACATCAATGCAGGGAAATGCCAGGCCTATGCACGAAGAGACACGCAATTCTGAACATAAGGACCAGGAGGCATTACAGAGTGAGATATTTAAATGCTTCATTTTGAAGAGGACTTTTTCTGTGAATAATTTATTTAAAGAGGCTAATGTCACATTAAATGTGTCTGAAATGTCTGCTCCTCTTTGAATGGGGTAAGATGAATATTGAAAAGACATGAGTCACAGTGTGACTCACCAAGAACTAAACTACATTCTAAAAGGAACACTAGAAGTAGAACGTCTTAGGTGAAGCAAACACATCAGCAGCTCCTCGGACTCCAAATTGTCTTCACAGCTACAGAACCTATTGAGACATCATACAAACCTTTATAAAAGTTTTGGAATATAAAATCGAATCTCACCAAGGCGAACTCGTCAACGTGAAGTCTCGTCTTTTCTATCTCACCGCTGGTGGTGAAGGGTAAGACGGCCGACTCTGCGCCCTTTGTGAACAGCACTTTGCCACCTTGGAAAAAAAAGAGAAAACATTATACGTTTGTATAGAACATGAACAGCATTTCTTTTTTTATATCTCCAGTCTTACGTTTGACCACATGATCAATGTAATAAAGCTTCCATTGTTGGTAACTAAAAAAAAAGTCACCTGAGGGAGTTTGCAGTATGACGCTCATCCTCCTCCGGTCAGCATCAAACTCTAACAGATGGAGCAATTTATACCTGGGGAAGGAAAGAGATGCTAACTTCTTGTTGTGGACGCCACAACCTTTTCTGTCTGCAGTCTAGATGATATTGTTTTTTTTTTTAATCGCATTAAAAAGGGTCATACATACTTCTCTGACTTGCCGAATGTCCTGATCTCCATCGTCTCTCCGCTGCACCGAGTGAAGGCCACTCCAATTCTGGGGGGGGGGGGGGGGGGGGGGAAGACACAGACAGCATTAAAATACTTAATTAGAAGTGTTCAATCTTAAAATATAAAGCCGTAGCACTCCCTTCAGGTTCATTTCGCACCTGACTTAATGAAAACAACTTAAGTCTTTTGCATAGAAACACACCGTGAGCACACACCTGCCGCCAAGGAAAGATGCTGTAGGTTTTTAATACGGTTGTAATTAAGATGATGAAAACAATATATATAGTTTGACAGAACACTGAATTAAGTATATTGTTTTATGTTGTAAATGGTTACATTACACATTGTTAATTAAATTATTTACACATTCAACAACCATGTTTACATGTAATTGTGTGTCAATTAACAAATTCTAAACATTTTCCATGACCATTAATTATGCCTGGTTCATTTTTGTTTGTGGCAAACTTTTCTCACACCAATTAGCATCCAATCGACATTTGGATATATATTACATAAATACATAAAGTAACAAAATAGAAAACTTCTACTCTAATTATTTACTCACTAATTTACCTTTGTCGTATCAGCAAAGGTTCACCCAGCGAGAGCAGGGAGCAAACAACCAGGTTCACTGATACGAGTGTGACAGTAGCACACAAGTGTGTCCGTCACCGATTGGTTTTACATCGGTCATGGAGCACAACTGCCAATTGCACGAGGGGTGTGAGAAATGGGTTTAAGTGGCGCCGTTCGGGGCCCCAGCGGAGATAAAGGCTGGCGCAGCTTTATGGATGGTCAGCTAGCTCAGCAGGTTCTTCAACCTCAGCAGTCAGCGACCGAGCTCTAATGTAACCGTACCTCTTTGCTGCCTCTACCAAAGCTTTCTCGTCCGGCGAAGAGGCGTAGTACTCCATGTTATTGGAAGAGAAGCCGTTCGCATGGGAGAACGGGTCTCCGCCGAGGTCGTCTGGCTGGTCGTAGCTGATCTGAACCGTGTGACACAGTGACACCGCCTTGAGGAATAGCAACTCCTCACCAATCTGGATGGAGAGGGAAGGATGATGGAAAAAGAAAATCTTTACACTGACACACACAAGTTCAGTTGACTTGAGGGGGAAGAACTTCTGGTGACTGTGCTGTATGTTTGCACATTTCATTCACACGCAGTTGACAACCTAAAATCAGATTCCATTATTCCAATAATCAATTGTTGATTACACAAAAGGCCTGAGGCAAAAATCCTCCCTAAAATGTTTAATCAACCCATGTGCGATAGCTGGGCTGTGAGTGAGAGCGGTGCGTGGCTACACTGCCTGTAAGCGTCTTCCTGCACAAAATGAAGGTAATGAGATTTACCAGTTGAGGCGTACAACCATCTGGCGAGTCGTCATTCATTCCCTCTGGTACCAGTTTGCCATTAACTTCCCGGTACTTGACTCCGTTAATTGAACACTCGCGGAAGTGCATCTCGTTTTCAGTTAGCGTGCCCGTCTTATCCGTAAAGACGTACTCCACCTAGGAAACAGACACGAATGTGCACACATAAGTGGAGCCTTGAGTTGCCGAGCACCGCGGGCGAGGCAGAGATCAATTATCCAATGAGAGCGACATTGTGTGTGTTCATTATGTACTTAAAAACAAACACTTGAATTGAGAGTGAAATAAGTTTCATATGCAAATATCTATATTTACTGCAAAACAATGACCGTTACTAAAGATACTACGTGATATCATAACTCTTTCCAAGGTAAATCTTTACTCCCATGCTACATGGACGTGTTCCCGCACTGGTGTTGCTCACCTGGCCCAGCTCCTCGTTGAGGTCAGAGGTGTTGACCTGAGCTTTCTGGTCGCTCTCCTCGTGGTAAAGGTCTAAATCCCAGCCAATAAAAAAGGAACCCAGGAACTTCTGCATCTCCACAGTGACGTAAAGCGAGATGGGGATGATGAAGTTATAGAGGACCAGAAACGCCAAGAAGTCGGAGATGAACTTCAAGATCTAAAGAGGGAGGAGGTTAAATATTATTAAAATGAGACACAAGAGGAGCAGCGCAACGCAACGAGAATAAAAACAAGCAGTGAATCAGGATAGCAAGATAATTCAATGTCAACTGTAGCAAATGTAAACCGTTAGAGCTGCTGTTGAAAGAGTGAGAGAGACGCTTGCTCTTTTGCCTCATGTGGGTGCCAGCAGAGGTCGGTTCGGGCATCTGATCAGCAGCATCCCTTTAGAGGTTTACTAAAGGCCCCGCCGTGAACCCAGAACACGCTGGAGATATCGCATGACTTGTACGGCCTCGGGGCTCCCAACGTTGCTGGGGAGAGGGCCGTCTGGATGAATAGCATTGCCTGCGTCTCATGACAGACTTTTTTGCAAGAAAGGGAGGTTTATGCAGAACTTAAATGCTTCTGATGTGTATTTTTATGTTATTTGTTGTCACGCAGAAGCGTCAAAGAAATAACTGAGTATGCAAAAATCATATTGTGTCATAAATTATATTGAAGAGGTAGAGACCGGATGAAAAGTCATTATACAGAGTACATGGTATCTGACACAAACGCAGCAGTTTCACCAGCTTCTACCTTATTAATTAGAGAACATAACCTGAGCGACTTGCGTCCGTTTGTGTTACCATGGTTACGTGGCTTAAACCAGTTCCATTAAACTGTTTATTACTTCCTGATTGATTTCACTGGTGGTGAGGCTGGGAAAAAAACATCACATCCACCATCTGGATTACCAGCACTACACCCCCCCGCCACCCTTACAACAGTGAACAGCACTGTGTCTGCTGCAGAGACCATCAGGTTTCTGCAAGGACCATTGCGCAGTGTGAAAAAAGGCCCAACATAGAATGTACTTCCCGTGCCGGATCAGCCTAAACAGGTCGGGGGTGAAAGCATCTTAAGCCACACGGACCGGTGGTATGATCACTGATCCTTCTAAATCAAAGCAGACAGGCCAATTAATTTCCATTACAGAGCCAATGGCCTTATGAGACCGGAATGGAGATGGAGAGAAGCATCAGCAGCTCTACACAAGCCAGTTAAATTACATGACAATGTTAGACCTGGAATTGAGCTCAACCTACTAAATAACATGAAGAATTGAACCTACTGGATATGGGTACTGTAATTTTACAGCCTTTTCACAGACATTTTTCACACTGTTCGATAGTTAATGGATTCCCTGTAGGGAGGCGATAGCTGTGATGTGAGACATGCAATCATCAGTTAAAGGCAAACATGCACTGTAAAGGGGCCAGCAGGTTACGCTAAATGCAAAAACACAGCCATTAATCTGCTGCGCGTATTCTTCGCTCTGTCTCCAGGAGGAAAAGAGGCAAGTGGACTGTGCTGTGCTTGTTCCCCCTCTGTCGTACTAAATAGAGGCTGCTGTTGTCTCTGACTGATTAGTGTTGGCAGGTAGGCGGATAGACCGGCAGACTGTCCCTATGAATGGCCCGCTCACTCAAGCACTGCCACAAAATGTAGAAACCAGCCCCCTTCAAGGAGTCTGTGTGTGTGTGTTTGGATTTGAGCGTGGGCTCATCTTTTTGTCTTCCCTATAACTCTATTAACTTTTATTGGCAGCAAGAAAAATACCATTATTATTTGGCGTGGAAAAAGCAGAGGTTTCTCTAAAACCTTAGCTCATCTCGTCTCCCGGCTGACAGCCTGCACCACTTACAGAAGGGGGATCGATAAGAATGCATTCTTCTGATGCTTAATGCAAACAAGACTTACCGGACTGCTGTTTCTCTCTTGTTCAGTCTTCTGGTTGTAGAAAGGCTCGTCCCATTTGTTTTCAGCCTGCCAGGCATATTTCAAGATGGTGCTGAGGATGGCCTCAAACAGCAAGATGCCAAGGTAGATGATGAGGAAGGTATTCATGGACCTGACACGGGAAAATGTTTTAAAGTTGAATGTTAAATTAACCGCATCGTAAGAGCAATAATGTGATGACACGGAGACAACGGAAAGTGCTCACTTCTCTACTGCAGAGCGTTTCTGGGACTTGCACTTATAGTTGAGGGCCATCTTGGACTCCATGCCTGTGTAAATTGCCACACCTGCAACACACAGCCGGTTAAAGCATTAAAGCAGGCTTATGGGACGTTAGACCACAGGCCTATTGACCGACTAGAGAACATAGGAAACCAAATGTACATGCTGGGTCATCGGCTTAAGTTCTCCATGTCGGACAACTACAACATCATAATGAAGCATTTGGTTGTATCCAAACTCCAGCCAGATGATAAAAAGGTGATTCTCCTACTCGTGGGGTTTATGGAGTTTGTGTTACAGCTGCTAGCAGGTATTCAGAAGCTACATTCCTTCTTTATCATGGTGGTATAGTGGGAACTTCCCATTGCAAGAAATAATGTTCCCTCCTAGCATCTATCAATACAGTGCATCTACTACATGTGTTGATGATGAGTGAATTATGTCGGCTATCACTTTCAATTGTCTCACCAAAAATCTCTTTGGTATTTTTCAACCTGGCTCCTCTCAGCAGCAAACTCTCCTGACCCAGCGGCCTGACATGAGGACACACACAAACAGTAAAGACAGAGAAGATGGACGCGGCATTTCAGCACAAGGTCCTTCATATACACCAAAAACCATCTAGGAGTCGCACACATCTTCTGTATATTTAATGTATCATTTCAATTTTGTTTCTCAATAACAATAACATAAATAAATAACCAGTACACCCAACACTCATATTATTGGGCTTGGTTTGTCCGCCCTAAACTCAAACACACAATTATTAATCTGGTCCCACCTGACTATCTCCTCTTCATCTTGAGTCACCGTAATCCGGCCGACAAACCTGGTTTGAAACAAAAACGCATTTTAGTGACCATGTTCCCATGCACACCAATACTGGAATAAAAAAAATCATGTAAATGCAAGAATTATGAGTAAGTATTGCACGTGAGCACCTTCTGTAAAAACCTTTACAGATTATGTGCACTTCTCCCGTATATTTCACCGATCGATGACTACGGAGGATTTGGATTAAAGGAGCGCCGGAGCCAACAGCTTGTCCTTCACTGTGAGAATGTGTCTAAATGTTAACAAAAAAATGGCTGTTCAAGCGGGAGGAAACGGTCAATAATTTAACCGGTTAATATGCGTTTCTCACACGTACGGAGCCTCCTCCTCTCCCTGCTGCCGCAGTGATCCTTTCTCTATACAGAGCGTTTGTCAAGCACACCTATAATCATAACACCATGAGAACTGGTGAAGTGAACACTAGCAGGTTCCTCTGGCAGAATAACAACAGGGTATTTCTTCATGCCTTAACAGGATTACAGAAACCATATTTCTGGTAAATATGATGCCTAAGAAATCAGATTACCGCAGAAAGATCCCAGTGGCTGTTTTAATCAAATGCATATCAATGCAGCAAATGTTAAGAGAGTGGGGGAAAGGGGGAGACTGGGAGAGAGGGCGGGAGAAAACTGCCACCGAAACAAATTGCCTGATCTAAAAATACACCGATCAATCCTAAAGTAGCCAGCTGAGCCAGACAGAGGAAGAGGCAGTAAAGACATCCCACCCCATTGTTCATTTAATAACACAACTCTGACAGGGATTATGTTCCACGTTTTAATCATAGGGCTTTCAAAGTGGTATCTGGAGAACTCCAGGGTTCTTCGGGGAATCCCAGAAGAACGAGACCAGAACAAAACCGTGCTCCAGTGTGTGTGTGTTTACCAGGGACTATCCTTTGCTTATTCAATGGGACTTGATGTTGGATGTTTTTTGTGATCACCTGTACAGGTCCGCATCCGGTTGTTGGCACTCCACCACAGCCTGCAGAGCCTCCAGTTGGGACACAGACTGACACACCGACGTCTCTGCCACCGAGTAGTGAGTCTACAAAACACCCGCAACACACAAACGCAGTCAGTGCAGACGAAAGGGAGGGTTCTCTTGCTAAAGGAGGTGCAGCATGGGAGCAGTGAAGGAAAGGAGGGGAGGCCGCACTACAACCGCTATTCTGACAACATGAGGGAGGCAAAATGTCAAAAGAAGGGTGAGTGTGAGATCCAACGGTTTACCTATTGACGCACAAAAACAAGAGGAAGTTGATGAACATTTCTGTAACATGTGGAAGTGCAACAGGGCAGTGCATCTGCTGCTGAACCTGCAGCCCTGGGAAAATCACTGTGGTGGCGAACACCCGTCACATTCTGATCCTTTACTCTTTAAAGCATGTCTTCTGTATGTGGTCAGATAAATGTGATCAGAAACTGCTGTTGCTACATTATTGGCAGGTTTGGTTTAACCTAATTCGAGGAGATGCGTGTGCTACTGTACAGAACAGCATAAAATCCATTTCGACAAATATTAAAAGATGGTACAAGCGCGACTCCCACACTAAAAACCCACCATGCTGTATAAATAAACTGTTACAGAAGCATCAACATCTCGTTAGAGGGCCAATGAGCAACACGGCCTCTGGCAAGACAGAGTGTGTGTGTGTGGGGGGGGTTTGGGGGGGCGGGGGGGCCACCAAGACACGCATACACCTGGCTCACTCACAGAATGGCATAGTCATGTGACAGACACACACAGCCTGCCCGTCAGCCTGTCAAACTACATTTGCGGACAAATCAAAGACTAATTCTCAAAAATATGTAAAAAGAAATTACATTGAACATATTTAAAATAAATCTCCCATGATGAAACGCTGCAGAGTCCACAGGAACGCAACTTAAAAAGGTTTCAGACCGCTAGTAGGCCAACAACGAGGATGCACATTACCCACACACTCAACCACATTATCAAAATGAGTCACATGATTCCATGGGTCGACAGCTGGGGGCAGAAAGCACACAAACACAGCAGCCAAGCATGGCGGTTTAAGAGGAGGGAGGAGTCAGCAGTCAATGATGGCACAAGAAATGTTCATAAATCAGCACACAAAGGCCGATATGAACACAGACACACAAGTTGGTTTGGTAAATGTGTTACGAGGAAGGAGATGCAGTCACACTTTGTCAGGTCTTTGTGACTTCCCCCCCCAACAGTCAATGTCCTCCACCTTTGTAGCACAGGTGACACCCATTATGACTCTCTCGCCCGCAGTATACCTGGTCTAACCCGATGATGTCACTGCTCACATCATCCCCTGCACAAACACTAGTCCTCACTGCCTGCCCTCCCCGCTCGCCTCCAGCACACCTGCCGAGCATGGCAAGCATCCAACACACATACCGACATGGGGACAAAGGTGAGTTGTCACTCACTTTGTGACAGTCTTGAGGACAAAAGTATGAACTCTTTAACAGAATGTACCGTTTGCTTGATAACACTTCATGGTTGTTTGCACCACAAAAACCTTCAATATTGCAGATATTGTCACATATCTTTGGACATCCGGTAGAACATGTTTTGTACACAGTGCTGGTTTGCGCTTTCCTCTTACATATTTTTTATATTTTTTCTACCCAACGCTTGACTTCCGCTTGGCAATACACCACATTGTGATTGTGATGTTCCTCCCAGAGCCGACAGACTCGCACAAACAGACCTTAAGGTTGGTTTCCCCATCCAGGCTGGCTGTGGTGATGTGACAGGTTCCATCCGCACGATCCGACGACAGCAAGGCCAGGTCCGCTGGGAATGTCTCATCCTTAGCCACCCGAACGATGTCCCCCACCTGGACACAGACACGCATACATTCACACCTCCATATACCAGCAACTGATCACACTCTTTGATGGTACCAGTTGCATTAAAAAAAATGGTGGCACAGATGTTTAATTCAATTCCTAATCGTCTTTTTGGTAAAGCCCTTTTTGTCTCAATCATCAATGATTCCTTTTTGGCTTCTGGTTTGTCCCGATCGTGAGCAGAGAGAGAAGCTCTGCCTGAGGGTGTAGTTCTTGCCACCTCACCCTGATGTTCTTTGATCTTGTCTGGACGAGACTTCCGCTGCGAACCACAAACACCGGAGCCCCGTTCACCTCGTTGTCTGCTTTGTGTCTCAGCCAATCCTCGTAGCCCTGCGGAGAGGTCGGCTTTTTTTAAATCAATAGTGGTGAGAAGGTGCGGACACAACCAGCCACTGATCAACTGAAGTGACCAACGGCTGTTGAAGTTATTCAAAAAACATTTGATATTAATTCAGGTTTATTTACCGGTTTATAAATAAATAAACTAGAATCAACTGCAGCCGTATCACATTTTCATGCATTTCACAGCTCGATGGAGGAAAACGTCTGGAATGGTTCATGTTTTCTCACTCCATTTGAATTTAACTGACTTATGAACTGAAACGACATGTGTCAACTACGATTAATCTAACTTTCATCAGTTGCAATGTCAAATGCAGCACAGTAAGTTCCCCATTTTTCAGGCCGACAAAGAGGAAGCGGTTATTGCGTTCTCACCTGTTTTATGGCTGTAACTGTGATCACAAAGAAGAGAGGCAGGCCACTGGTTACTGGGGAAGTTGGGGTGTCTATCATTAACTGGAAAGATAAACATACAGGCGTGTTTGAAGAGATTTTAATAAATTGGTAGTGCAGTAGAAAAAAAGTGACTCTGTAGATGTTGTTACGTCCTGTTAAGAGAGAAAACCAGACAAATAGAAAAACAACAGAAGTAGTGGCTGATGTGTCACACAGGAAATCGCTTTAACTTCCCTCACAGGTTAACGATTAGTTCACACACGGCATTTATTCTGAAAAGCAGCTACAACACAGAAATGCATATTATTGCAATTCATTTAGAACCCCAACTAAAAGTTATCGTTTTTTTGCAATCTAAATCATGGAACCGAGACGATGGAGGCAAAGTGTTTCGTTCTTTTAGTGATTCTGTCATTACGTGCAGGATTCCATTACAACATGTTGTTGCTTAATCTCGCGGGTGAGTGTAGTTACTGGTAAGATCTGCATCTACTTCCTGATAGTTGGGAGAGAATATGAGCATTATTTATAGGCTCTAATCTATATAGTTCAAAGTGTAGAGAAGTCAAACCCGATCTCGTAAAGACCACAAACGCCTTCAAATTGTGTTCAAACTTCCCATCCGATGAGATCACCAAATATAAATGAGGAGCTTTTCAGAGAAAGAAAAATAATTAACTTCATATGCAAGACACACTGAATCATAAGCACTTTAAGAACGTAGCCATAACGAGTCCAAGACTGTCGACGTGTTGATAAGGGAACAAACAGTTTGCAACCAGTATTGAGGAATTCAATAATTCTAAAAATGGTCAAATTGTCCGTATGAGAAAACATCACACAGTGTCAAGATGAAGAGTTCCTCCACTCAGTGATTCGAGACTAAGCTGACGTCAGCTACACTGACAACTTGAGTGGTGGAAAAGAGGTTTTTTTTCCTCAGACAGTGAAGTTGATTACTCGGGCTTCACTTCACTGGCCCACATAAATCCGTAGAAGGCTGAACATTTGAAAACCAAATCCTACTGACTGATGCTTAGCGACGGCCTAATGCCCCGGGACAGCTGTGAAGACACACAAATAGCTCAATGTGTGACTGTTTTGTTGTAATACACAAGCCGACTTGTCTCACTACTGGTACCTGGAAGTCAGTCAGCGTGGTTACATGGATTCGAATAACTGGCTTAGTCGGACTGAAATCGAATGATCCGTTTCATGTAAACACCTTTGTCCGACTATGTGCGGTCTGACTACGATCCGACTAACACCCCTGGATAACTTGATCCGATCCAGTTGATAGTTCGACTATTGCGGCATGTAACGGTGAATCGGATAAGGAACTGGACTGCTTGAGATTCCGACGGGATCTTCTCTCCGTTATCAAATCAGCCGATAGCGCCATTGGCTGTACTCCTATTAACATCATGCAAAAATGGTAGAGGGATGTAGCTTCACCTTGCTCTCCATTCGCCATGTTTCTCGTAATGTTAATGTTGTTGTTGTTGGTAGTGGTGAAGCGGTCACGCGGAAATGGCTGTATCACAACTAGTTGTAATGAAAACAGCGCCACCTATCGTATCGGATATGACATGCTTTCGGGCAAATGATTCGATTTATTCACCGCCATGTATATTGGGATAATAGCACTTGCCCCGAAAGATAGCATAGTCCGACTAAGCAAAGATTCAAATTATACCATCATGTAAACACACTGACAGACGCCCACGGCAAAGACCATAGTGTGTGCATTTGTGCGTGTCATTACCTGTACGAGGAAGATAATGAGAAAGTAGAAGTTGGCTATCCTTCTGAACTGCTCAAACAGATTCTTAGGGACGAAATTCCAAATTGTGTACTGAAAGAGAAAACAACATTTAGGGAACGGACCGACAGAAGAGTCTCTGGGTTTCTAAAAGCAAAATGTGAACAAAATGTATATAGAATATATCTAAATTAATGACTTAACAAATCATTTTAGGTTCTCACTCACACAACTTATTTTGACTTTCCTTCATCAGCTCTGCTAACAATCTTGTATTCTCTCAGTATGTTAAAACACACGACTTATCTCGTTTTATCTCCCAGTCAATCTTCCCACCGACACAAACCTCTTTTTGCCACAGTGTAATATGCTATGAATACGTATCTCTCACACAGTCTCTTTCTACCAACACGCTAGAAAAGTGTTTTTTTTTTAACATGAAATCCTGTGGGGAAAAACAGTTGGTACCTTGGAGGAGATGATTCTGTTGTCGGCAAAGCGTTGCGGGACGTAGTGGCCGTTCTGGGGGAAGCGGTTCGCTACATAAATGGTCCTGGTGTCGCTCTGATGGGGAGGGTCAACGCCCTGAGGGAAGGCACGGTGGAGGAGGAGAGAGAGAAGGGTGAGGAAGGAAAAAGGGACAAAAAACAAAACAAGATGTTTCTGCTAGCGGGACAAAGGGGATGTAACAGATAATTGGCATTGAGCAGAAGCATCTAAGCCCCGGAGGAGCACACCAAGCTACCATCCACCGAGGGCCTCACATGGAAGCAGGAAACCGGAACAAATCTATATGTGTGTGTGTGTGTGTGTGTATATATATAATATATATATTTTTTTTCATATATACATATATATATTTTCATATATATATATTCATGAATAGATCTACAATAGGATTAATATTGAGGTCGTTTGTTACTTTATATGCTTTAAGCTATACTTGAACTCAGTTCCCATAGCAGTAGCTGTCTTGACGGTGAAAGTGAGGATGTTAAGAATGTCTGCTTGGTTTCAACTAGCAACTAATTATTAACAAAGATAGTTTCACCACGCTGACTCCCAGCCAGGCTTTCACTCACACGTGAGATACCGAGGTGCGACCCGTCAGGAGTCTCACTCCTTTCAATGGAGGTCTTTGTTTCTTGCTCAGCTTTCCTACCCTGCCGACCTTGGAGAGTGAATTGTGTAGCAGGGGTGTAAAGCGACTGTTGTATTGGACAACACAACTGGTTTCCTGGTGAGTTCTTTCTCATGCAGGCCGCCTGCACTCTGGACGACCATTAAACAATCTATGCAAAGTTAATGCTTTAAAAGACTTCTGTGATAAGGATGTGTTTTCAGCTCAGCCTTTTATGGGACACAGCTTAAATATGTGTTTATGAAATCAAAAAATACATATACGAAACATTAGGAGCATCAATGAACACAAACACGAACCAGAACCAAAAAGACCCCGGGTCCGAAACATGACGCACAATAAGAAATGGTAACAGTATGACAAACTACACTCAAGAATGGAACATAAGATCTGGCACAAGGCAACACAATGTTCCTCCCAGTGAAGGCTGCAGGCTCGTGACACCTCACCCGTGACCACATAAAGTCACATTTGGGTGATGCGCTGTGGTTATTTAGCTGCAAGGTCTCATTAAGAGGAAACACAACAAAGACCAAGGAGATATGTTGGATGTTGCTTCCTGAAGTTTGCTGATGACACCGCAGTGATCGGACGCATCACTGGGGGGAACGAAGAGGCATACAGGAGGGAGGTGGCCAGCTTGGTGTCATGGTGTGAGGATAACAACCTCACCCTCAACACTGACAAGACCAAGGAGCTGATAGTGGACATGAGGAAGGAGAGGAGACCTCATCAACCACTTTTCATCCAAGAGCTTGAAGTTAAGAGGGTGAGCAGCTTCAAATACCTCGGGGTCCACTTCAGTGAGGACCTCACCTGGACACTCAACACAACACAGCTGGTCAAGAAGGCTCAACTTCCTGAGGAAGTTTGGGGTGTCTCCCAAGATCCTCAGCAACTTCTACAGCTGCATCATGGAGAGCATATTGACCAGCTGCATCACCGTGTGGTACGGCAGCACATTCACCATGGACCGCAAACGCCTGCAGAGAGTGGTGAGGACAGCGGAAAAGATCATCAAGACCCCACTGCCCTCTCTGCAGAGCATCTACCACCGCAGGGTTCACAGGAGAGCTGCCTCCATTCTCAAAGATCCCACCCACCCCCAACATGGTCTGTTCAAGCTTCTACCCTCAGGCAGGAGGTACAGAAGTGTCAAATGCAGGACCACCAGACTCGAAAACTATTTTTTTCCCCACTGCCGTTAGAGCCATCAACCGCTGAGAGGACTCTATAACCTAATTCACAACTGGTCTGCACTTTAGCTTGATAGGATTTCACTTACTGTTAAATTAAATGTGTGTAATATAAATTAAGTTTTTCTTTTACAACCTGCTCAGTTTCGCACTTTTCCGCCTTACCTCATTTCTGCCTTATCCTAACCCCATTTTTATTTTTATTTCATGTACATTTATGTAAATATTGTATTTTTATTTTTAAAATTGCTCGGCTTTCCGGAAAGGCAAGCACAAGAATTTCAATACACAGGGCGTGTGTAACTGACAATAAAAATCTTTGAATCTTTGAATATCTTTCATATTCTAATTGCAATCTAGTGTGGTTATTTACGCTTAGTCAAGCCAGGTTTCTAAAAGTCCAAAACACAAAACAATGAGATGCATTCAGGAGCGGTTGACCTGGGAGAGGCATTTGATATGACCATCCAATGTTAACTAGTCGGGATCCATTCATCTGCAGACGGCAAAAAACTGGAGGTGCACTTTTCACTTTGCCTTGTTGCTTGTGACATTCTTCTCTGCTAATGTCCTGTGTGTCAAAAACAAGTGCTTACAGTCTTTGCAAATGTTCAATGACGTAGGTGCAAAACACACACACCCACACCCGCGCGCGCGCATATCCGGGCAACATCAGTCACACCCTCTGTTTAGGGACACATGTAGGCAATTCCTGCCTTTCTGTTTCACTCTGGAGCTCCCCACCGGCTCCGGCTTTCTTATTGCTGATTGAAGAGCTACACCACGACTAACACTCTGGTTCGGTCGATCAAGAATTTCATGATCGTAACGAGAAAGTCTTGTCTTTTCGGTGATATTCCAGGTGGAGTAAATATAGGGGTTTTATGAGCTGTAATATTCCTCAAACAAAAACAGGCCTAAATACTGGCCCTACACGGAAGGTCAACTGAGCATGTACACAAAAAACAAACCGGCATCATATCAATCTTAATGGCTGTAACCACGGCGACGGGCGCGCTGACCCGGCTATGTCCACAAGGACCAGGAGAAGCTCCGATTACAACGCAGAGCGAGGGAGAGCAACTTCTTTCTATAGTCAGGTAGATGCTCCTCCGCTTCATCCTCTGCTGATAGATCAACGCCGTGAACGTCGCCTGCTGCTCCTTCAGACGCAACATCCTGCATCACAATCATAAAGCTGCTCACACTGCGCTGTATATTCACTGCTGCGGCAGGAAAGAGAAAACTGCTCACACAGAAAGACTGCTCACATTTAAACAGACATTAGGTAACACGGGATGTGTACAGCAACGTATAGAAACCAGTTGTTGAGTCACTGGCATTGATCAACGAGCTCTTACTTCAATGTTGTACTTGAAGGTTGTCTTAGGTGGGGGGGTAACCAAAACAGTCTTTTCAGGAATCAGGAAACATTTATTGCCATAATATGTCAGATACACAAGGAATTTGATCTGGCGGTTGGTGCGTAACAGCAGACAGTACGACAATGGACGACAAGACAACGGTGCACGAGGAATAAGAATTAGACCGTGTGTGAGAAGCACATTAACCAACTATCAGTTAAGTTGCTTAATAATTAACACCTTTGCCAACAGCAGCTCAAGTGCTTGTTCGGTACAAAACTGCCTCGTGTAACTGCCACAAACGTGTGGCCTCACAAAATGAAGGAGAAGAACCGAACCCGATGGATTTGAACTCACCGCAGCGACGTAGGGGGTACTGATTACATTCAGGCTCATTAAAAGTTAACACATCTATGGAACAAGACCTTTGGTTGAGAGTTTGGTTGATGTGGCGAAATGTTTCTATTGGCTAGTTACCGCTGTGTAAGCATAAAGAGGCTCATATCTGATGCAGCTACATTTTAAATCTGGAGAATCTACACAGAGATCTGCATGCTCAGAATGGGAGGAAGGTAAATGTCCTACAGAATGTTGTTCTTCCATCAAGACTGTTGTGAGAATAAACATGCGACACACACACACCGACCAATGCATCACGGGCGAGTCAGAGCTAGAGATGTGGAGATGCACAAAGAAGAGGGTTTCGATACGTTTCAGCCAACTACCACTGATAAGATAGAGAAGATCTATACAGAGCAAGTGGTCAAGAGATGAAAATTCCCTTCCTGATCCATCGCATTGGCGATATTTGAACAAGATGCCGTCAATGTGCTACTTGACCTCTGACCACAAATTGAATCGGTTCCTCTTTAAGTCCAGGTGGACATTTAGGCCTAATTTGAATAAGTTCACTGGCAGGCAAGAGAATGAACCGACCAGACAGACAAATATATCCATACAACACAAAAAACCTCCAACTGGTCCCTGAAAGGGACATTCATTCAGTCTCACCGGGCTGCATCCCGACGTCCCTCCCGACCACGTCGACGTGCTAATTTCCCTCAAAAATAACAAGTAAGCAGAAATAAGGACACTGAGATATTTGTTAGGTTCTAATATCCTGCTAAATTTAGTTGGTTGTTCTCATAATACTACATTTCAGCAGCTGTTACTTTTCTGAGAATAATATTCAACTAGTTTCATACGCCTAGAATTAAGGAATCGCAATAGGAAAACGGGAGACTTTCACGTCGATCTTGCAGAACAGGATGTCATAGGATTTTCAGTTATCGTTGCTTTTTCTGTATTTAGAATGAATTATCTGCATGAAGCGGTAGACGAGGACTGACATGTTACGTTAGGTCTCCCAGAATACCGATCAGCCGACCACCGTGTTACCAGTCTTCCTCCTAAACATCGCTGTACTTTCCAGCAGAAATAAGGGTCAGACAAATGCCCCTTCTGACAGACTCTCATTAGGCCCCTTGCATTTTAATTAGGAATCTTAATTAACTGCGAACTCCACGGGACGGGTCAAACGAGCGGGGGCGTCTCAAATCAGCAGGAGGCTACCACTTCTATGGACACTTAACAAAAGACCAAAATGAACATCTAAAAGAGGTGCAAAGAAAACTTTTCTGAACAGATTGTCGAACCTGCAGCTTGTCAACGGACCCCGACTTAAAGAACAGTACTTAAGAACCAGGACATCTCAGAAACATTGACTAGGCTCACTGTCTGACCAATGTGTGACTGATCTCACAACATGCATCCATTAACTCACTCACTCACTAACTCACTCATTGATTCATCTCATCTCTCACCAGAGGCTTCATTCGTCTGATTGACACGGATCAAGTATTTCTGTTTAACTTCCTCTGCTTGTTGCTTCACCACACAGCCACGTTTACAGGCAAACAACAGGCGACAACAGCAACTTCAGGATGCTCCCTGCAATCACACAGAACCGGTTGCGTTGAATCTAAGCAAGTAAACGCCGGCGTAACGTTACACGAAGAAATGGAAACAAATAAAACACATCCGACCAGAAGGATCGATGAAAGGTGAATCAAACTAACGTTAAATCGTGAGTGGAAACTAAAATGTGTTCTCTTGCCACAAATTAAAAAAAAAAAAGTCACTAACGTTTAAGGAGTTAAGCAAAGAGCGGAGTTTGGTAATACTAATACGAATAAGTAATAAAGTGGAGGAGTATACGCCAGCAGAAGGTGTTGGTGTAACTTTCCCAGGTGTTACGCCGTTAGCCACCTTAGCTTCCACTCTTAGCCGCCGATCAACTCACAACTCAAACTTGGGATCGACCCCGTCTGCCCGCCGCTACGTGTCACCCAGAGTCGACGTCTCAACACAGTACGAGCTCAACTTACTCGACGGCGGCTAACTGGGACTAAAGCTAACACCAGCGTCCCGGTGTCACCTCCACCTGTCCGTCCTCCGCGCGTTTGGGACGCGCCGTCAACAGCTAACGTGAACTCGCTTGCTAGGTTAGCTTGCGAAACCGTCACCCAAGTAAAGTTGGGTGACGGAGTCGGCTTCTCGTGAGCGAACAAACTGGCGCTGTGAGCTAACGGGTGCTAGCAGGGGAGAGAGCAGCAGGGGGGGAGAGAGGTGACGTCGTCAGGGGGGGGGGGGGGGGGGGTTTACCAGATTTGTTTTATCCCACCGGAGCATCTTTAACGAGGACGTCGCGAAGGTCTCCGCACAGCCGCTAATGTCGTCCATAGCAACTAGGTATTCCGGACAAAACTTCCCCGAAACGCGCGAAACGGTTCCCTTGAGAGGCAGCAGTCCCTCTGGTGGCATCACGGGACACTTCCATGCAGCGGGGCTTAAACGAGCCAGGCCATAACATCCGCGGCTTGGGCGTCCCCCCCCCCGGTAAATGGCAGGACCAATGATCCCCCGGCAAAGGTGACAGGCGTGCTGGCGAGCGGAAGTCCCGAAGAGCTCTTCTGTTTCCGCCGCGACCAGTTCCTCCTGCCAGCGCTTTCTGCCTTGTCAGACACCGGCTGTTCTCCAGCGGCCTCTCTACGCCCCCTACCTGTGTAAGAAAAAGAGGGAGAGAGAGAGAGAGAGAGAGAGAGAACGAGCGAGAGAGAGAGGGGGGGGGGGGGGGGGTGTTGCCTAAAAACAGAGTATGCCTAGATTACCAAACAGTGGCGGCTGGTGGAACATTTTCTATCAACTTCAGCGAACATACAGGAATGATTTAATAAGAAAACCATAAATGTGTCACAAACACAATACTAATGTGTAGCTCAATATTCAGCATGTATTACAATACAACAAATAGTTGTAAATGAAAGTTTAACAATGCTATTTGTGTCGGTGTAGTCTTTATCTATCCATCCAGAACGAGCGCCAGTGGCGCCTCGCTGTGGCCGAACGCGGTACTACATCCGGTTTACGTGGTACGCGCGCGCCTAATAGATGAGAATTCCGTTGAAAAAAGGACGATACAATGTAACGGCCTGTATTTCCCTTGAACAAAACAAAAAACATAAACGCTGCTCCAATGACCACTGCGGCTAGAACACATGTGGTTTAGTCTCGAGGGTCATCTCATCAATCAGCTCATAAACTGATACGAATGACTTTTTTGAATATGTCTTGATAATTCTTATTACATCTATATTTACAAAGCGGTTTTGGTGATTAGCCATCATTCCATGGGGCAGCTTCCGCTTCTTTCAGACCCAATAACGTAAAAACTAGACTAGACCAATTTCGAGTTGGTGTCTGGGACATTACCAAGACAAGGACAGTCTCCCTGACCTAAAAAAACAACAAAGGTAGTCACTTAAAGGGGTTTAAACACTTATGAAGGTTGAAGTACTTTCTTAAAAGTGAGAGGATTAATCTGTGTGAGACCGAATTGTTGCTTGTAGCTAAGAGATCACATATTTATTGCACACAATTGAATGCATATCAATTTCCTAACTTTTATTTGATGTGATTTTTGGAGGTCTTTGTTCTGTCTCTCAATGTTAAAATAAACCTACCATAACAGTTATAGACCATTCATTTCTTTGTCAGTGGGTAAACTAACAAAATTGGCATGGGATCAAATCGTTATTTCCTCCACTGGAAATAAGGAAGTGGGAGTGCTTTATAAATGAATTCAACATGCTGTAGTTTATATGATTATAAACAGTGATGTTAAAATAATCATTGGCAAATGAAGAAATGATGATATCGTAATCCACAGCTGCAGCTGACATGCAGTAAATTGACACTTTCTCTTTCTGGCTTCCCGAATAAAGTAAAAGGTACAAATGTTTTTGCATCGTCCCTCTTATTCATGTTTGTTCCTTAATCAGGAATCAGGAAACATTTATTGCCAAAATATGTCAAACATACAAGGAATTTGTCTTGGCGGTTGGTGCGTGACAGTAGACAGTGTAACAATAGACAACAAGACACTGCACAAGTAATAAAATAAGGTAAAATGAAATGCTAATGCAATGGGTTAGTAGAATAAGGCTATTGGTTAGTATAAAACAAGAGAATAAAGTTAAAGTTAAAAATGTAAAATATTAAAAAAGTTAAAAAATATTAAGCATAAAGTGCACTTTAGCGAACAAGTGACAAAGTGACGAGTGACAACAAAGTGAAAAATGACAGTTAAAGTGACATGTGCAGTATGAAGGGGAGTGACCGGTGGAATGTTATAGTCAGACAGTGGGGGACCGGCTCTGTTGATGAGCCCGACTGCCGACGGGAAGAAACAGTTTGTGTGGCGGGAGGTCTTGGTCCTGATGGACCTCAGCCTCCTGCCAGATGGAAGGGGCACAAACAGGTTTTGTCCGGGGTGAGAGGGGTCGGCTACGATGTTTTTAGCTCGCTTCAGAGACCTGGAAGCGAACAAGTCCTGCAGGGACAGCAGATTGCAGCCGATCACCCTCTCTGCAGAGCGGATGACACGCTGAAGCCTGTCCTTGTCCTTGGCTGTGGCTGCAGCGTACCAGACGGTGATGGAGGAGCAGAGGATGGACTCCATGATGGCCGTGTAGAAGTGGACCATCATCGTCTTTGGCAGGTTGAATTTCTTCAGCTGCCCCAGGAAGAACAACCTCTGCTGAGCCTTCTTGGTGATGGAGCTGATGTTCAGCTCGCACTTGAGGTCCTGGGTGATGATGGAGCCCAGGAAACGGAAGGAATCCACAGTGGTGACGGGGGAGTCACACAGGGTGATGGGGGAGGGTGGGGCTCTGTTCCGCCGGAAATCCACAACCATCCCCACTGTCTTTAGAGCGTTGAGCTCCAGGTTCTTCTGGCTGCACCACGACACCAGATGGTCAGACTCCCACCTGTAGGCGGACTCGTCCCCACCAGAGATCATCCAATGAGGGTGGTGTCATCCGCAAACTTCAGGAGCTTGACGGACTGGTGACTGGAGGTGCAGCTGTTGGTGTACAGGGAGAAGAGCAGAGGGGAGAGAACGCAGCCTTGGGGGGAACCGGTGCTGATGGTCCGAGAGGCTGAGACATGTTTCCCCAGCTTCATGCGCTGCTTCCTGTCAGACAGGAAGTCTGTGATCCACTTGCAGGTGGAGTCGGGTACGTGCAGCTGGGAGAGTTTGTCCTGCAGCAGAGACGGGATGATGGTGTTGAAGGCAGAGTTGAAGTCCAAGAGCTTAAGGTACTCGTACGGCTCGTACCGGCCTCTGAAAGCGCAAAAAAAAATATCCCGGCAAATGTAGCATGTGGCATGTTGGCCAAACCTGACCAACATGCATTTATCTCCAGGATTAAGAAAGCTTTAGGCCACTACTCTTGAGTCAGCATGGTACCCCCCTCTGTACCCTCTGTAACATTTTGAGTTCAAGTCCCACTTATCTTTTATTTACAACAGCAAGAGCCACATGCTATTCTGCAAAAGCAGAAATATCCCAAACTCGTCTTAAAAAGACAGCTTTACTCTGCTTATCCTGTGACTAATCCGCTGTCTGTTTGTATCAGCGGCCATACCCACGTGACGGTCAGAGTGATCTCCATTGGTTCCACTGATTTACATAACGGCCACTGCCGGAGCAACATATCTCAACATATCTCTCATCCCACAGCTGGATTGAATACAGCATGCTACTTTTTGGTGTCAGAGGAATGCAGTGACATGCTGGTTGTCCGGATTGAAAACCTGATGGCTGTAAAAGTGAACTTTTTCAGCGATGGGCCTGCTACCTCACATGTAAACTCCAAGGCTTGGGTCTAAAGTGAAAAAAAACAAAAAATGCATAAATCAGATGATGTGCTGTGGTCACGCACAGTTGTTGCCGGTTAAAATGCTGTGTGCTTAATACACATCTCTGCACGTCAGAAGGGAGACCACCGGCTAGTGATCCATAGCCCACGCCCTTGATGTCTGTCATTGTAATGGATGGCGAGGTACCAGGAAGCGTCTGGCTGCCTTCCCGGCGCTGAATTTAATTTAATTTCCGATGCAATCCTACAAGTGCTTGTCATAATAAATGCTTTAGCCCAACAAGTTGAAAATATTCCCCACACGGCACAGACCTGGAAGATATAAACATTTTACATGACGTGTGCTGAGCTTGATTTAATCTATGTAATTGTTTCTTGGGGAACCTACCTGAGCTTTTAGAGCACCCATATTCCTAATGGATTAATATGTAAGCGGCCTTTTCATTTCATCCCTTCTCCCTGAAATCTAGTTGATGTATAGAGTAACAGGAAATACAAAGTACACAGTAAACAACTAGTGCACCAAATGTGCACAATACTTGCAGGACTTTTCCCACTGCTTGATGGTGATGACCTAACAGGTAGAGCCATTAAAATTCAATTCATCTATTGAATAAAGGGAGTTCAGAACTGTGTGGAATTTAATCACAATGCAACCGGTAACACCGGCAAAACAACAATCATGACATTACCAAAATTCCAGATAATATCTAGGCTCATACATTCGTAAGTCTATGCATTGCTCAATATATATTTATATTAATTATGATTAAAAAATGGTAATTTACATATCTCTAACCTTGGCAAAGTATCTGTATCTTTACCATTTAGCATCCAAACTTCCAAACCTGCTTATGCCGTTTATGTAATGGCCAAGCAGATGTTATTGTTGATGAATTATTAAATATAACTTTGCAACTTTGGATAGTTACAGAGAAATGGGAAGAAGACAATGCATTCCTCTGGTGCGATTTTGCTATATGGCTGTCAATTCTTGGACTCGGTATTTGGAGTTAATCCAGGCCTGTTTAACCATGCTGTGGCTGATCCTCTCGGTAAATACACCAGCACTAAGTGGCTTTCAATCATTACCACCAAGTATCTCTAACAGTCCTAATAGGCTTAGGACAAGTTCTCCCTCTCTCCCTAGACCCACTACGCAACGGTTGCTTGCTCAGGCATCGGCTTGCACTTTGTATGTGTGTATATTAGTGTCTGTCTTGTTGCATTAGCATGACCATCTGTCTCTCTAAGGGGCTCCGGGGAGCTTGGCTGTAATGGTCGCCCTGCCTCTTAGGGAAATAGAAATTTAATGGATTGGCTTTTTGTGATGGGTGAATCAATAAAGACCATGGCCATTAGTCTGGAGAAAAAAATAAAAACAACGCTTTTCAAAATTACGAATGGAACAGGATTTGTGTTGTTTTTGGGACGCTGAACAATGGACTTCAAAAAAGGCAGCGGTGGGGAATCTGGGAATTATTGACATTATATTAACAAGTGGTGTGTCTCCCTCTTAAGGACAAACTGGGGTATTACAGCTGTGAGGGGCAATTTACAGTAATGCAATTTGTAAAATGCAACACACAAGACATTAAG